TGTTAACCGGTTGGCTGAATTTGACTCGCATTCGTAATATTCTTTGTTCTATTGTTAAGTTCAGGCACAGGTCATAGGTTAATTGATGACAAATGCATTCGGCATTCCGCTACGAATTATTCATGTGAAGCACGACTCGATTGGCCAGAAATTGAAACATCAGAACGCACCCTTTATATATAATTCATAAAGAATAATCAGCATGATGTTGATTTCAAAATAATAATCGACTCGATGTTATGCTGTAATTTCAAGTGCCAAAGGCACTTTTAAAATCACATGAAAAGTAAGACTAAAGTCAGCGATGAAGTCAACTTATGACAAACGTTGGATCATCACACATATATAGAAATATAAGTGCAACAACAGTATACACACCGTAAAGAAAATACTGGGTATATCAACGAGTAAATCATTTAATTAATGAGCAATTTATTAAATTATAAACAAAGCAAGCCTCCAATGCGAAACTCACACAATCTAAATTGACGCTTGAAATGATGCCCACTTGCTTTATCACATTTCCCACATAGTTTCGACGCTGACAAGTGCAATGATTTTTCAACACTGGACAGTCGCCAGTTAGTTGATAGTCAAATTAAAAGACAAAGTGGTGTGGGGAAAGAGGGGTTGAGAGAGGCAACACCGTATCGCCCGGCATTATGCCACTGTCAATTGTTGCAACAATTTGTTAGATTGTCAAAGTGCGACACTGCACAGAATCTGTCAATGCAGAGAGCGAGAAAACTGAGTACGAAAATAGAGCTGAGAGTCGGTAAAAAAAATGTTTTCAATTCATTTCAATTGGCGTGTCAAATGGGTTGAGATGAACGCTACACATACATATACGAAACATATTATAGATTTAATTATCATAAAAAAAACAATGATTAAAAGTGTTGCGATGAAAGTGAAGAGTGAAATTAAAATATATTCTTATTCAGCTTAAATAAATATTTTAATTGTTTTTACTTTGGAAATAATCATAGCTATCATGATGAAATTTCAAGTCAAAGATAGTAATATGTATAATAATTGGTTATGAAAAGATAATGTTCGCCTGTTTAGCAAAATCATATCATAATTTCTTATTGGAAACATCACTATCTGGATCACCTAGACTATTAAATGGTTTATTTAAATATCTTATAGATTCTTATATTTGACCGAAAAGCCAAAATAAATTGAAAAGATGAGAAAACATCCCTGTAAGTCCCCATTTATTATTTATTTTAATTATAATTTAATTATAAGTACATTTTATTGGAGTGATAAAAAACAAAAAAAAAACTTAAACTATAACTTTTAATTTATGCATAACGCTGCAATAATAATGATCAAATATTTAAGTTACTTTATAAATAAGAGTGATTATTTTTAGTATTAAGGGTTCATATGCATGAAAAAGATTGCTACCTCGATGTTGGATCAAGATATAGTTACACTATATTAGAATTTTAAATTCTTATATGAGCTTGGTTCAAGCTGGCGTATGCCAAGTTGGTTTCCATCTTCAAAAAGGGCAAATTATTAAAATAAGTCTACTTCAAATATACATTTTAAAGAGCACTGCTTAGGATGAGTGCCGCACTCAAACCATATTTCAAAACAGTCTCAGACTTCTTGATCTGAAAACTGGTGCAAAAAGTGTTTCCTGTGTAATGCTTCCGCAATGTTGTCTGCTTTCTGTTTCATCTATGCCTAAGCGAAACTAAGCCAAACATCTCGACCTCGCCAGCCTCGAGCTCTGGCATATATGCAGTGTCGTTTACACACACAAATGCGCGGTCTGACACCTGACAGCCACTCAACAACGAGTGTCTGTCGGATATACACAAAAAAAACGTACGAAATAATAATAAAAAGCGACATCAACAAAAAAACAAAAAAGAAAAAGAAAAAAAATGAGACAACGAGAAGCAAACACCATGCATGCATAAATGGAAGAATGAACAAAAACAAAAACAAAAACAAAAACAAAAAAGCAAAAAATCAAAATAAAAAAAAAAAAACTGGCTGGTGTTGACATGCACAGGCACAAGCACAAGGATGCAAAGGAAGTAGCAAATGACAGCACACTTTTGGATGTGTCAGTTGTGTGACAGTCACACATGGGGGCACTCGAGTCAGCAGGCTCGATGCTTGTTGGCTGGCGACTTATTTTTGGCTACCTGGTGCCGCAAAGCTTTTAAGATTTCAAGGTGAGGCAATATACATACATCTGTGTATCTGAGGCAAGCGAAAAGTCAAAGTTCAAAAGTCAGGACAAGAGTCGGACAACAACAACAATAAACAAGGGACCCAAGGATTGGGGCATCTGATACTACGACTGTGTCGACCCGTCCACGCCACAAATATGCTAAGTCAAGTGGCAATTTATCATTGCAATGCAACCACAGCAGGGGAAGGGTGCCAGTGGGGGCTGCAGTGTGAGGTTAAGTGGTGCCTAGTGCGAGTACAACTAATTTAAATGGGCAACCGACAGCTGGAGACCGGCAAACCGGCGAGCACAACAAATGCGTAGGCATGAATGAATCCACACCTACACCTAGAACCACACAATTGCAACAGTTATTTTGTGTGTGGCATACCCTGTTGCACTAGTGAAAAGAGTGATCAACACTACAACATTGCATTGTAGTTTAATTAAAGTCGTCCAACAGTTTTGTGTGCGGAAACAAGCAAACTAGTTTAACAAATAAAACTTGAACTAAATAAGTGTATGTAAGTGTATAACTGCAGGGTATGCTGTAGTCGACTGTCGGCTTACTCTGTTTTGCTTTTCTTTTTAGATGAGCCCTCGACTAGCGTTAGTTAAATCGATGCGACGCTGACCTTTCCCTCAATTAAATACACACAGGCACAAACACAGAGTACAGTGCTAGGCAATAGTAATGGGCCCAACTGTTCATTGGAGTGTGTTGCTGTTGCTGCAGACGCTTTGGCTCATTAGGTAACCGACAACAGTAGGGTCCATAATTTATTGGCACCTTCTGCTGCTGCATATTATTTCACAGATTTGCATCACAAATAAGTATGGCAAATAAGAATGGATGCTGGTGAGAGAAGTGCTCAGAACAGAGCAACACAGATTGGTTGCCCCAGGATAGATAATGGACTAAAACCAATGCTAAGTGCGGCCACAAAAGCCAAGCAATTAACAAGGCGTTTGGTTTAGGAGCTTAGTCATTGGCCAGTTGTCCGGTTGCAGCGCAACTTGGCTACTTGACAATCCTGTCAAGGCGAAAAACCAGGACAACCGCAGGCAGGATAACCGGAAGTGCAGACTGCTGCTCCTGCTCCTACCCCAGCTGCTGCCGCTGCCGCTGCCGCTGCTCCTCAGACTGCTGTTGACAGCAGTCTAAAGCACTGACTGCAACCCGGGCAAACCAAAGACACTGGCACTCGTCAGTAAGAGACCGCAGTGCAACTGGGGCGGGGATTGGCCGTAGATGGAGGGAGGGAGGGGGAGTCACAGTAATATGCGTAATTAAACAAAACCGCAAGTGGGGCAGCTGCACAGTAAGCGAAGCCTCGCGCTGCAAGGCTGAAATGAAATACAAAAAACAAGGATGCCGCAAACGACACAACAAACACAAGATTGCAGCAAACGGAACTTAATGCGTTTCAAGCCGACTTTATATGTACCCTTTCAACGAATTGGATCAAATGGCATAAAGTAAATGGGGCCAAGACATAAATCTGGTTTTATTCACCTCACAGCTTTTGATTAGTCTGCAAACGCAAACAGAAATTTATAGTAGCTCTCAGGTTGCCAAACTCATGAAAAAGTGATGGTGGCCCGATAAAGTGAACTGGGTCGCTTAAATTAAATATTTGCTGGCCAGCGTTCGCTGGTTGAAGTGTCAAGAAGGAAAGCAAAGAGTTAAAAGAACGCATCACCACATTAATCTGGAGCATGCAGATTGAAGTGTCTCTGCACTTTGGATCTGTCAGAGACGGCTGTCAGCCACTGTTGTCTGCCAGGCAGGCTATGAAAACTCCAAAATGCGAAATGAAAACAAAAAATACAGGCTCAACTCACTAGCCTGATATGAATTTCCATTTGTGGTGCTGCTGCTGCATTGGCTTGAAGTGACAGATAGATCCGGCCAACTATTATACAGTGCTCAACTGCGTATTGAGTTTGGTTTGGCTTTCTTTTTGGTCACTGCCCATTGATTTCACCTGTAAAAACGGAATATGCAACAAATGTGCCATCGATTTTATATTAGCTACGAGACAATTGAGCCAGAGACCCCACAGCACAATATATTGATGAATATACGTAACACTGACAAAGGCTAAATACGAAACACAGCAACAGCAAAATAGTAAAAAAAAAAAAAATGTATAACGCAAAAAAAAAAAATAAATAAATAGTTGTCCATGAGACAAAAATAAATAACGACCCTCGACTTCAGCCTCTTAGCCCAGTTAGCTAACAAGAAGTGTACACGGGTGTATACAAGGGCGTAAGGAGGTGATGGGGTGGGGAGAATCTGTTCGAATGCATTGTAGGAAAATCGGAAAAATAAAAATAAACTTCAAATGAGTTTTGCAAACAAGCATAAGAAACTTTTGTTTCTGTGATTATAATGTGTGAAATGTGGCTGGGATTAAATAATAAACAAAAACAAAAACCAAAACCATACAACTCATCAACAAATTCTTTTTGTATTTCTTTTTTTTATTTTCATACTTTTAGTCGAGAGAGATTTTTTGCACTTGGAATACCAAAGACTTGTATAAATTATATAAAACATAAAAATACTCGACTGAAGATTAGGAATTCAGAATTTCCTTTAGATGGAATTTGTATGTTAGTTTATTAAAACCGAAATGGAATTCAATTTCAAATATCCAGCAGTCTTAAGCGAAAACAACTTGATGCAGCTGTTTCATTTAATAAAATAATAAATAATTCAAATTATATATTTATTTTTGGAACTGTTTCGCACATTTCTGAGTGCTGATTATAAAAAAAAAAAATCACTCACCTGTTAAAGCCGCCAAATTTAGAATAAATCCAATTAGCCTCATTGCCACCACAGCTTAGTCCTTATTGAGTATTATGAATATTTATTTGACTATGTGGAATGTGGCGAATTCCCGTTCAAAATGTATCAATAATAATTGCATTCATCCAGCTATTGTCGGCAAATTTCTGTGGCAACAAGCACAACTTCAAATTCTTTTCAGAACTTCTCAGCTTATTGCTGTTGTTGTTGTTTTTGTTGCTGCTGCGCCGATCCGGAGCTATTTAAGCATGCAACACGAGGCAAACTCACGTTTCGCGCTTAAAGAGAGTTTCAGATAGAAATAGAGAGAGAGAGAGAGAGAGTAATCAGAGCTTGGAGCTTACACGAAGTGTAAGCCAACCAACGCGCACGAATTTCACTTTATCACTGAATTTGATTTTTTTTTTCAATAATTCCTCGCTCGCGAATGTTGCACTGCCGGCAATGCGCATGTGTCTCGCCACATTTTTCCGATTCTAAATGTTGCCGCAACATGCACGCCGAACTCATAAATAAATATTTATAAAGTAATTGCGATAAAAACTATATTTAATATCTAATTTTAATATAAGTATATTTTATTTTACACACATATTTATTTGAATTCTTTGCAGTTGGAGTTTTGAAATTTAGCAGAAAGTTCGTTTGTAAATTTTGTATTTTAAAAGTGGCGCGCTTTCTTCGATTAGTTAACAACATGCTGACAACGAAGGGGTATCAAGTGCGAAATGTTGCTGCAACTTTATACGAAATAAGGGGCGGATTTTCGCAAAACTTGCGCTACCTTTTCGAGTCTTGTGGTAGTGAGTCCAGCTTTTATACTTCGAACACTGTTTTGTCATACGTACTACAGTTTTTATGTTGAATTGGAACGCCACACACCACATATGCTAGAAAATATCCAAGTTGCTTGTCGACACTTGGTTTTTTATTACAATTCAACTGTAATAATTATTATAGCAAGGTTAGCCAAGCTCAGAACCAATATAAAGTTTAAAGATGATTAGGAATATCATTTTAGTGAACATTGCTTTCAATTTTGGAATGTAGTAAAAGCTAATCAAGAACCGTTATTTATAAGCTTTATATTCTTGCTGACTTGAACAACTGCGACAAAGTTGCTCAATGATGAAATTAAATTTAAAGTTTTGTACGCAATATTAATCGACATTCGCCCTCGAATTGCTATCGGCAATTTATTAAACAAAAAGATAGAAAACAGAAACTAAAAACACAGATGGCAACGTTGGCTGTGCAATCATCTTATCACCTACACATCGAATGACACATCGATCGGTTCCATCAGACCCCGTATCAATCGCTTGAAATATATTCAGTGAAATTTTTTAAATATTCTAGAAAAGAGCAATGGACGCATCAGAGGCTGAATCCTCAACTGTCCCAGATGGAGCATGTGTCTCCACGCTGAGGACTTTGGACGTAATCGATACTGACATTGGCCAAGTGCTGACGGAATACAAAATGAACCACAAGAAACGCGGTCTCGGCCTGATCTTCAGCCATGAGCACTTCAACGACGAAAAACTGACACCGCTTCCCCACACGAAAGTGGATAGTGCGAAACTAGAACGTGCTCTTAAAAAATTGGATTTCAGAGTAACAATTTACAAAGATTTGACCCATCTGCAAATTAAAGCGAAGATCAACGATGCTGCTGCCCAAAATCATGCGAATCGCGATTGCATCCTGGTGGCTTTTCTCACGAATGGCGACGACAACGACAAAATCCATGCCAAGGACGAGAGCTACCAGCTGGAAAGCATCTGGCAAGCATTCGCAGCGGACAAATGCAAATCGCTAGCTGGCAAGCCAAAGATCTTCATTGTTCAGGCATGTCGCGGCAAGAGACGGGAAACCGGCTATTTGATTTCAAACGCCGGATCACAGACCGAAACCGATGGTCACGCCAAGATTAGGAGTAACTATCGGATTCCCTGCTATTCGGATTTCCTGATTGCCTTCTGCACTATTCCCAAGCACTGCTCGTGGGGTAATACGGTGGAAGGCAGCTGGTTCATACATCATCTCTGCGCCGAACTGGAGGCCAACGGCCGGAAACTGAACATGCTGCATCTGCTCACATTCGTTGCCCAGCGCGTCTCTAACTGCGAGAGCTACGACGAGCATCAGAAACAAATCACCTGCACCATGTCCACTTTAACGCGTGATTTGCATTTGGCAGAAGGCACCCATAAAATGAATTTTGATGCAGGCGCATCTGCCTAATTATAACTATTTTTATGTTTCCAAAGAACTGCAATATGTATTGATTAAAATAAAACTTAATGCAATCGAACAAACGAATTGTCGATTTTTCTGAGATTTACAGGCTGTGCTTACATATAATTTGAACATGCTTAATGTCTTTAATCAATGTGGCACAGCCACATGTTAATATTTTTAATAAGCCAGTTAATACAGAATTAAATGTATTTTTCATAAACACAGATATGTCGTAAATAAGTTCAATTTTAAGTTCAATTTGCAGCTATCGATGTCTGTATAACTATATTGATATCGATATCTATTTGCGATACTCACATTCCTCTAAAATATCAGATTACAGAAAGTTTCCAAGCAAACAACAAGTGGAATTCAAAAAACGCAGTCAACAATGCACTTTTCCAAGATTTTTGGAGTCCTCTGTTTGGGACTAATTGCTGTGTGCAACGCTGCCATAGAACGCGTCGATGACTCCGACCTGATTCACATTCTGACGGGTAAAGGCGACGTGGTTGCCCTATTCACAAAAACCGGTTGCGCGGCTTGCGTGGAATATGAGAATGTTGTGGGCAAAATTCAGAGCGAACTGCGGCAGACGCTGGGCGCAACGGTTGTCCAGGCGCACAACAGCAATCTAATACACATTTACGATCCAAGTCGGGAGCCGGCACTTTTGTATTTCCGGCGAGGAATTCCGATTCTATACCATGGCGCTGTCAATGAGGAGGAGATTGTCCAGTTCTTTGGGGAGAATCGCGAGCCGGGGGTGAAGGAGCTGTCTGACGATAATTTCGAGCATTTGACGCAGGCGTCGACGGGCGCCACAACCGGAGATTGGTTCATCTTCTTCTATTCGGCGGAATGTGTGCTCTGCCAGCGCCTCTATGCCGTCTGGGAAGCCGTTGGTGGCACTCTGCGACGCAAAATAAATGTGGCACGTATGAACTCATTAACCGCTGGAATGGGCACAGCGCAACGCTTGAAGATTGCCGAAGCTCCCGAATTCGTTTTTCTGCGCCTCGGCAAATTGTACCGGTACCCGCTGAAGGATTATACGCCAAAGGCCTTCATCGAGTTCGTCGAGGACGGCTATTTAAGGAATACACAACCGGAAGATGTACCCAAGCCATCCAGTTTAATCGATGAATTATCATTTGAACATCTTATGGATTATATCAGAAATTCTGGCACACTGCCATTAGCCGTTGTTGGCACTTTTGCAGTCTTGTTTCTCTTTTATGTTGTAAAGTCTTTGTTCAAACCATCAGAAAAAAAGAAGAATATTACCAAAAAAGATAAATAGTTTAGGCAACGCTTAAGCGTGTTCGGCCTCATATCTTTCATATCATATCATTCCATATTTTAACTCATCTCAAAGATGTTTAAAATATATTCCAATTCAAAATAATATTTTTGTTTTTCTTGTTGGAATAATATTGTCGATATACCGACTATCTGTAATATTCTTTGGCATGGCGATAGTCTTTGAATCGATATTTTTAACGAATAACAGCTGGGGACGTCGATGTTATAACTATTGCACACCACAACAGAACATCTGTAATAAGTTTAATCTTGGTATTTGTGTAATTGCCCTCTACGGTCACACTTGTTGTTGTATCAAGAATTATTGCAAGAAAATAAACAATGGTTGGCTCCAATTTTGGCATCATCTATCATCCAAATGCCGGCGGCTCTTCGGGTCAAGTAAATCCAAGTAGTGGAGCCGCGTCGAGCGTGGGAGGCGCCGGCAGTTTCAACGCGGTAGGCGATCGCGCAGCGCCCGCCTCACATCTCAGCGATTTCTTGCTGCAGCTGGAGGATTATACTCCATTAATGCCAGATGCTGGTAACTTTTGCTCTTAATCATCAATAATAACAACTGAATAATCGTCCTGCATTTGCAGTCACTGCGCATTATCTGAACATGGGCGGTTTCCACTCGGATGACAGACGTATTGTGCGCCTGATCTCGATTGCCACGCAGAAATTCATGTCGGACATCATCGATGATTCACTGCAGCATTCCAAGGTGCGCACCCACATGCAGAATTCTGCCACACCTGGCGGCTCAAAGGTACGACTTTGAACTCCCTTTGCTCATTTAGTTGATCTTCAATAATATTCTCATCTAAGGCAAAGGATCGAAAATTTACATTAACCATGGAGGACCTGCAGCCGGCATTGGCCGACTATGGCATCAATGTTCGCAAGATGCACTATAGCCAGTAAAGTGCAAAGAATCGGAATATTGGCATATTCAATTGTCAAAATAAGCAAATCAAACACAAACAAATCTTAATTCAGTTTAATGTTCGCTTGAGATGGAATCACATTCTTGCTGACATCAATTAGATATACATATTTGTAAAGCTGTAATATAAATCAGTTTAAATATCATCTACAAGCAAGATGTATTACTGTTAAGATTTCTCAAAATGAAAATGTTTATTTTAAAATAATTAAAGTTAATATAATGCCTTTTGCAGTGTATGAGAATTAACTTAATTATAATTGCAATCAATCCCTCATCGGCACATAATAAACCGCTTGATGCTTCTTCCCGTGCCCCCCGCCACCTTGAAGGCAATGGCGCCGGTGAGAACTGTAACAATATAGTTTGGCAACAAGGTGGCCCAATAATATCCATCCGCATTGAGCAGTGTCAGCAGGGAAACAAAAAGATGTGTTCCCACAACATAACCAATGTGTACGTAGTTATTCGTATCGAAGGCATTGAAGAAGATGATGCTCCAAAATGTGTGCAGCAGCACAATTGACAGCGCCTGAGCCGCCGACGTGATAAAGAAGAATTCGGAGCCGCCCTTAAGGCCCATCGTTCCCGGCCCACTCTACGATAGTAAAGTACAATAAATAAACCATGTTAAACAGAGGCAATCGAGCCACACTTACCATATCCGCCAGCACATTGACCAGAGCAAACATGGCCGAGATGATGCCAAATCCCAAGCCAGAAACATAGGCCAAAATATGTTTGTTCTCTGTGACGCGCGTATCTTCGGCAACAGCGTGCAGTCCTTGCTCTGTGCTCCGCAGTATGCGATAGATAATGTAGCGGAAGCACTCCTGAAACAGCACGGAGAACACCACACCAAAGACGAGCACATCGCGCAACGGGACAGCAGCGAACCACAGCAGCGAGGAGAGCAGCAGGGAGAGCAGCCAGAAGAAGGCGGCCGCAATGAGTATTATGATGCGCACCGGGTCGTTGGCAATGCTGAACACGAACAGGGCGAACGGTGGTCCGAATGCAATAAAAGTGCAGCCAAAAAACTCCGGAAGTGTCATTATTTGATTGTCACAAACTGAAAATTATAAATTATGCTCCCACTTCTTTTTCTTCTCGTTCGATGACAATAGCCGCTTTTGTTGTCCGTGCGTGAGTGTCGCGTAGTGACTTTATCGATAGCGTAACACAATGTTTACATACGATAGCGATAACTCAATGTTTACATACGCTCTCCAAAAAGTGCATACTATCTAAGTTATAATGCAAAATACGCTGCTACCATCAGAATACCACAAATAATAACAATTTACGTTGGCATATCATTTAATAAATATTTTACGGTATGAAGCATATTTAACACACATTTAATTTAATAAATGTTTTACTGTATGAAGCATATTTAAAACACTTTTAATTCCAGTTAAAACAACAAATATATGCTCTGAGGGTATTCAATAGTCGGTGCATTTTGCGAATATCTCAGAAACAAAGGCGTCCAACTTATTATGGTTTATCAGTGTTTTGGCTTCCGTTTGTGGGGGATTAGTCACTTTGCAGATTTATAAAATCAACATAATCGGTAGAGTCCCGATAAAAAAAAGCAAATAAACAAAATATAAACTCATTGCTCAGCTGCTTATTTGTTTCATTCTTGCGTTCTCATTTGCAACCAGATGGCAAGTGAGTAAACAACTACTACACAATTAATATTAATAGGATGATTAGAAAATAACAATATGAATCACTTTCATCTATTTAGTGCACACTGTGGGTGCCAGACGCTTACTGCCCCACCAGCCCTCCGAGGACTTCCCCAATCCAGATGACGAGCCCGAAAGCCCAGCCATTGAGGCTGCCTTGGCCATTTCAGCAGATACATCTGATCAGACACACTCAAAAGGTGCGTACCCAAAAATGTATATATATGTATACATACTTCCAGTTATTTTTTTGCCTTTTGTTCCAAACTTGTAAGGTTCATTTAATTATTGAGAAGTTGCAGTCACCAGTGTGATGATTTCAACTAATTAGACTAATTAACTAATTAGAATTACTTCTACATTATATATATATATATATATATATATATATATAAAGAATTCAACTTAGCTTAAACTAAAGATTTTTGAAAATATTTTCAATTCCCAATAGCTTGCTGGAAGAAGAGCTTTCCACATAGGTTTACGCCTACTGCCGATGAGAGCACTGAGCTGCGCTTAGAGATTTTGCAGGCGAACATAATGCCCCGCGAGACCGACGATACCAACATCAAGCGATTCGTTGTTTATGAGCTGACAGTGCGCCTGGACTCCAGTATACTGGATGAGCAACCTGCCACAATTGAACGTCGCTACACGGACTTTCGCGAGCTGCATCAGTGCCTGAAACGCCAGTATCCCAACATGATGAGCAGCATAAAATTTCCCAGCAAAGTGCTAGTGGGCAATTTCTCCATACAGCTGATTGGTGGACGTAGCAACGCTTTTGAAGTGTTCCTCAGACAGATCACTGAGCAGCCGCAGCTGCGTGATTCGGCGGCATTTTTGCGCTTTCTGCAGCACGAAGAGCTGACCAGGGCGTGTCAGTATCTGGACGAGCGACGCAATGAGCTGGCCATACCCTTGCTCGAGAACTGTTTTCGTCTGCTCAACAAAGTCTACATGAATCGATCGCGACCCGTATTGCTAATACTTTGTCGACTAGTCGCTGCCTGCACAGCGACACCAGTGCCGCATCATTCGGCGGAGCGTTGGGCCCTCCTGGCGCTCACTCGCTTTGAAACGCTCTGTGATATTGATCTGCTGCCACTCTATATACCCCTGCTGCACACTTGCGAGCATTTGTGGTAAGCGAAGCGAAACTCGCTCAACTTTCATCACATTAAGCTTAAATTGTTGTTGCTTTCAGGTGGCAGTGTGGCCGGGATCAAAAGCGCCTAACTGACCGCTTGACGGAAATGTCGAGGCAGGGCATTCCCATATCAAATAAAACCAGTCTTATGCAGGCTATTCACGAAATCGATCCACGCACCGAAACCATTTGAAGCATAATCATATTGTGTGCATATACTCATACATACTCACACATTTATTTATAGAAAACTCATAGAGCGTTAGCGCTAAGCTTAAAGTGCAATTACTAAATTATTGTGCAATTAGTATTAACATATATGTCAATATATCTGTAAAATGTGATTTGTCTCATTTCGTCTCAATTTTTGTAACCAACCGTTTTTGTTTCCATGCACGTAATACATCGTAAATATTGTGAATTATATTATTGTCTGTAGTTCCCTTGACGTGATTATAACTATAAATCAAATTTTAAAGCACACAAGTAAAATTGTCAATATTCAACATTCCTTGAATTTATCCAATATTGAAAGCAAAGTAAAAATATCGCCTTAGAAGGAAATTGTAAAATACATCATAAAATAAAGTTATATTTTGTTGTTTTTTGTTTTTGTGTATTAACAAATATTGTCTTTTTATTTAACGCAAAATAAGGAGTCGGACGATCAATGTTGCAGAACAATATCTTTCAGTATTATTAAGGTCAATATGTTTAATTGAAACATAAGATCAAATGAACTTATTCTGCCTTTTATAGAGCTTCCAAATAATTGTGCTAATTACAAACAATTACCATAAATTCATGTGAACATATTGAAGCTAATTCATGGAAACCATAAAATTCACTAAACTAGTGATAGGTATTTCAGAGCATGGGATAACTTCCGTCTAGTGCAACTCGTAAATTGGTCTATTGTATCATGCCATTCTTTGAAAATATACCCAAATATTTTATTACATTCAGTAAATATATTATCACATTCGCAGACAGACACTGAATGAAAAAATGTGGCACAGTTGAGTGTCTGTAAATCGCACATCTAACGAGTTCTGTGGTAAATGAGTCCCGAAGGACATAGTCTGCAGCTGCAGGGTATTAATTCAAATTCAACGGTTTAATAGGTTTGTTTGTGTTCTACTCAAACCAAAAAGGAAATGGGGCAGACAGGACCCACCTCATTAAACAGTCGGCGAACGACGACGACGCCGACTTCGTGCAAATTATTATTAGCTCTTTAGTTGCCGCGCAAAGCTCCAGCTGTGCAGACGAAGACATGGACGTGGAAAGGAATGCGGGTGCGGAAATCAAACTAAATTCGGTGCTGCAACATCCATTGCGACGCCGTTTGCGTCGATGGCTGTCCGCCAAACGGTTGTACGAATCCTTGACACCGCTCTTCCATGTCACCTGTTGGTATGGGCTGACATCGTTCTATATCAGCTGCCGCGACGAGAATTGCTGCAGGTACATCAAGAAGTCCTGGCTTGGCTACTTAAATGGCATAATCCATATCGGCGTATATACTGTCTGCTATATTCTAACTATAAACAACAACTGTGAGTCAGTCGCCAGCTATTTCTTCCGCTCGAGAATCACCTACTTCGGGGACATGCTGCAGATCGTGAGTGGCTTCATTGGCATCACTGTCATCTATCTGACGGCCATCATACCCAAGCACCGATTGGAGCAGTGCCTACAAAAATTTCATACAATGGATTTACAGCTGCACAGTGTTGGCATCAAGATCATGTATAGTAAAGTGCTGCGCTTCAGCTATGCTATCATGTTCTCCATGTTCCTTGTGAACTTCGCCTTTTACTGGGGCACCTTTGCCGTTCTCTACTCATCCAATGTGTCTCCAACTTGGGCATTACACTTCACATTCATGGTCCAGCACACGGCGATTTCGCTTGCCGTAAACCTGTTCAACTGTTTTACATATCTAGTGGAAATTCGCCTGGTAATGGTTAACAAGGTAAGCTGGAAACTGGCTCGAAATGAACACATTGCTAGTAAAAGATCAAAATTAACCGACCGATAAAAATATCTGACAAACCATTAGGTGTGTAAATGTATGTCTGTCTGGTGAGTAAAACTGAACAATAAGGTATTATATACCTTATCTGGGGATTAAAACTGAACAATAAGTTATTATATACCTTATCTATTATATACAATTTATAAGAAATAAGTTAATATTAAGTTTTCCTTTACAAATTGGATTGCCCTAAAGCCAATTTAGAGGAAGATCGATTTGCCTCGATTTAAAATTGAGTCCTTATCTTTGGTGTTAACAATTTTCGAGCACATGACCGAACTCAATTAAATTAATTAACTCAGGCCATAAGCGATTTTCTAACACCCACACCTTATACCTTATAATGCATAACAAAAGCAAACTGTCATTAAATAAACGTAGCGTGTTTGCTGTGAAAGGTTTCTCATTACGCGGCTGCTGACAGCACCTCGAAAATGGGCAGAGTAAGTTCAAGGACTTTAACCCTGTCAATCAGAATTGTGGCCAATTGACAAGCGTAAAAGGGTTTTTAAAAATATTGATATTTGATTCTGATTGACAACCCACCAAAAGTATAAAAGGTGTTCCGCATCCGGTACAGAAACTAGTTCTATTTTCGAAAGTCATGCGGTCAATTTGGAGACAGTTGTTCCATCCACGAGATGCTTACGGTGCTGAGCAGTCGCTGCTTCTGTTCACCTATATTCTAGGACTGACTCCTTTCCGTCTGAGTGGTCAACCTGCAGCACGACATTTCCAGATGAGTCGCCTCGGCTATCTGAACGCTCTACTCCAGCTCAGCTTCTTTGGCTATTGCTTTTTATCTGCGCTCATTCAGCAACAGAGCATTGTGGGCTACTTTTTCGATTCGCCAATCAGCCAAGTGGGAGACACCCTCCAGAAATTCATCGGCATGATCGGCATGTTTACACTCTTTCTCTGCAGCGGGCTGCATGTGCGGCGACTGATTCGACTCTTTGATCTGATAGCACGCGTTGATGATCACCTCCTTAGTGTGGGCGTCTGTTTTCATTACGGCAAGATTATGAATCTGCGCCACACGAAATTGTTCCTCATCTCCGGCATGCAAGTGGCCTACTTGGCCAGCTCGATTTGCATGCTGCTTTGGAATGATATTTGGCCAACTTATCCAGCTGCCGTTGCCTTCTATGTGCCTCAAGTTTTTCTGCTCAGCATCGTTTTGCTTTTTGACGCAATTCTTCATCGCTGTTGGCAGCACTTTGAAGCCTTAAATGAGGTAAGCAATGATACGGTTAACAAGTAAGAGTACTGTAGTCGAGTGAGCTCGACTACGATTTACCCCGAACCCAGTTGTTAAATATTTTCAGTTTAATTGCAAAATTTCCATTTAAAAGTTTTGCACCAAAATGTGAGCTCTGCCGACAAACACGCATATTCATACATACATACATATGTATATAACGGGACTCAGCAGAATACACACAAGGACATATTGACGCTCGCGTCGATTATCATGTCATCTCTTTCTCACACATACGCATGCATACAGAAAATGCTTGAGGCTGCTGATAGAAATGATATCAACTTGGGTCTTTCCTATCCGATCTTGATGAAATTTGAGCAGTTGATCAATAATATGCACATTCATATTATGTATTAATTAGAAGATGTTGCCTGTAAAATTGTATCGATAATCGAGAAACGGAGGCAGCTATCGATCAAATAAAGCAAACTTGAGCTGCGCCTGGTATACGAGAACCTATATTCCAAATTTGAAGTCTCTAGCTCTCATAGTCTCTGAGATATGCGTGTTAATACAGACGGACGGGCAGACGGACATGGCTATATCGATTAGGCTGTTGACCCTGATCAAGAATATATATACTTTATGGGGTTGGAGATGCTTCCTTCTGACTGTTCCATACATTTCCACAAAACCGTTATACCCCTTTTACCCATTTTAAATGGGTTCAGGGTATAAATAATAAAAAATACAACAACGCTTATCATTAGATGGCTTGAAATATCTAGATAAGTGCATATAATTTTTCGATTTGAAATAGATGGCAAACGACAAAATTCTTATCTAATTTTTATATCTCATTTATGCTTATAGTGTAGAGCACTCAAAAATTCATTAAATTTAATCCCATTTATCAATCAAGTGGGAATGAACACACATTTCCTACAAGGCTCGTTAATTAATTAATTAAAGGCAATCTTAATCTTGAACTTAGAAAATTAAACAAATTTGATACATTAAGAGAGATTAGAAAAGAAAACAAATTTGACATATTAAGTTGAGAATAGAAGTTAAGTCGTTGCTCATACGCCATGAGGTTACCGGACTATTTGGACAGACTAGTGCATCCCGTTAATGTTTACGGCTGCTACCGGGTGACATTATTTCTGACCCTAATCTTTGGCATTGTGCCGTATTGTGTGGACAGTTCAGCGGGTCGCCTGCGACTGTCGTGCCTTGGCCTGGCCAACACGGTCGGACGGATATTCTTCCACATGCTGAACTTCATCTACAGTTGCTTGGAACATCGCTCACTGATGATGAGCAATTCACTGACGGATATGTCGGGCATCACCGGCGATTTGGAGATGTTCAACGGCATATTTGGGATAATAATAGTGCTACTTGCTTCGCTGCTGAATTGCCAGAAGTTGCTAAACCTGATGACCATATTCGATGGCCTGGAACGTGAGGCATTTCCACGTGTCGGCATTAACTTTGACCAGATGCGAGCGGCTCGGCAAATCAATGGCTTCGCTGCATTTCTGCTATGCACATTGATTGGTTTCACTGCCTACAGTTCCTTCTTGATTTTACCAGGCGCAATGACCTATATGTCCTACTCGGCGATTGTGAGCCACTTATCGCCAAATTTCTTAGTTTGCATAGTTAGCATTCTCGTGACTGGACTGTTTATCAAACTACGCATTTATCTCAACGCATTAAATGAGGTCGATTGAGCTAGCTTAATCGCACAATTATTTCAAGCTAACCATATTTATATTTATACTTTTAGGTCCTCAAGAATCTCGCTCATCAGTGGGACACATGCGTCATTAAGGCCGTGCAAAAGACAAGATCTATGCAATGTTTGGATTCCTTTTCAATGTATACCATTGTGTCAAAGGATCCGGCTGAGATCATACAGGAGACCATGGAAATACATCATCTAATCTGCGAGGCAGCTGCCACGGCCAACAAATACTTTACCTATCAGTTGCTAACGATCATTTCAATTGCCTTCTTAATCATTGTCTTTGATTCTTACTATGTGCTTGAAACGATACTGGGCAGGTCAAAGCGTGACGGCAAATTCAGGACAGTCGAATTTGTAACGTTCTTTGCATGTCAAATGATATTGTATTTGATAGCCATTATCTCGATCGTTGAGGGCAGCAGTCGGGCCATCAAAAAGAGTAAAAAAACTGGGGGCATTGTGCACTTGCTTCTCAACAGGACGAAGAGTGCGGAGGTCAAGGAGAAGCTACAACAATTTTCAATGCAATTAATGCATATGAAGATCAACTTTACAGCTGCTGGTCTCTTCAACATTGATCGCACGCTCTACTTTACGGTAAGAGAACAGTCGAACAGTCACTATTACTATTATTATTTAACTATTACATTTTCAAACAAAATCACATTCTTTTTAATTTTCGATTTTTCTTTTTAGATTAGCGGTGCTTTGACTACTTATCTCATTATCCTGCTGCAATTTACATCTAGACAGAAAGCGAATGTAAATATAAACGCATTTGAATGTTGTAGGGCGGCTTACAATATGACAAATCAAACGCTTTAATTCTTGCAAGTAAAACTGGAAATACGTTCTACAATAATTTATATGGTTTGCCAGTGGTATTATTATAGATTTAATTATTAATGTCAGTGAATTGAAGGAGCTGATTGTGTCAGTGAAACTGGTTAAAGAATGAGAAATGCTAAATTTTGGAAATATCTAAGAAACAATTCTTAAAAATGTTCTAGAATAGAATTTATTAAATTGTCACAAACAAATATATTCGAATTAATAAAATCAGCATATGCTGTCCGTCCCAAATTTATAAAGAAATCCTTATTAGACATACAAACCATTTTAAATCGCTTCCCTGGGAACAATCTAGATAACATTAAGTTATTGTTATTCAATAAATGAGCAGTTGTATCCCCTAATTTTCGGCAGGACAAAGATAGATACTTTTACGTCTTAGTTTGTCAAATGTCACTCTCCAATTGTTTACCTCATTTCATTAAAATTTGGTATGCATACATCTGGTAGGGGTAACCATAATTCGCAATTCACTTATTGCAAATTGCGCAGACTTGTTAACATGCTACACTTGTTGACCCCTTCCACGTAGCGCCTAACGTTATGCTACACATTTAAGCTTAATTAAATATTTACCGTTATCGGTATTAGCTTATTAAGCCGTCCAGTCGTCCAAACGACTTCTGACCTCAGGTGCGCTAACGATTTTGATATATGAGCACAGCTGAACAACATTTCCGCAGTCAGTTGGCGGCGAGCAACCGAGGTGAACAAACGTGAATTCCTGGCTGAAATAAGTAGTTAGCTGGCGATGGCTTTGAAGCTCTGGGAGCGCATCTCGCAGGCGGATAATGTGTTCCAATCGCTTCGACCTCTCACCTACGTATCCCTGGTGGGTCTGGCGCCGTTTCAATTGAATCTAAACGCGGACAAGGAGGTGCACACATCGATGTACTCTGTTGTCGCCGGCATTGTGCACTATTTGTTCTTTGTGATGTGCTTTGCGTTTTCAGTGCACGAGGACGACTCCATCATCGGCTACTTCTTTCAGACGAACATCACCAAGTTGGGCGATGGCACCTTGCGATTGACGGGCATCATTGCCATGTCCACGATTTTTGGATTTGCGATGTTCAAGCGCCAGCAACTGGTGGGCATCATACAGAACAATATTGTCGTTGACGAGATCTTTGTGCGTCTGGGCATGAAACTGGACTATCAACGCATTCTCCTGTTCAGTTTTCTCATCTCTTTGGGCATTGTCATCTTCAACGTTATTTACCTATGTGTCAGCTACGGCTTGCTAATCAGTGCCACCATCTCACCTTCACTTTTTACCTTCACGGCCTTCGCTCTGCCCCACATCAATATCAGTCTTATGGTCTTCAAGTTTCTCTGCACCACCCACTTGGCCCAGAGTCGGTTCAATATGGTGAATGAGGTGAGTATTCCTACAACACCAATAATATATTATATGTAAAACATGCCTACGACGAATTTTCCCTTGAAACGATATGGCTTTAAAAACCCATTTTAGTTTTATAAAGCGATTTTGCTTAACGCTTATAATAAAGATTTCCTTTAAGCATAAAATTGTTTAATTTTTTCAAATGAAAACTTTACATTATTCACAGGTTAAATCATTGTTGACGATTAACAATAATACTCTGTTTTTTTGTCTACATATTGATATTTTTGCAATCTTTTGGTCTAAAATTATTACAGTTGATGTCACACTTATATAAGTATACAGCTAAAAACAAAGAAATTTCTTCACAGATTCTACAGGACATTCTGGATGCGCATATTGAACAGAACAACGCTCTGGAGCTGTCGCCAATGCACTCGGCGGTGAATCATCAGCGATATGCGCATCGATTGCGTAATCTGATCAGTACACCCATGCAGCGTTACAGTGTTACCTCGATTATACGCCAGAGTCCCGAGTACGCCATCAAGCAAGTGGCCAATATACACAATCTGCTCTGTGACATTTGCCAGACTATCGAGGAGTATTTCACCTATCCCCTGCTTGGCATCATAGCCATTTCGTTTTTGTTTATACTCTTTGATGACTTTTATATATTGGAGGCACTGCTGAATCCCAAGCGCTTGGATAACTTTGAGGCAGATGAGTTCTTTGCCTTCTTTTTGACACAAATGCTTTGGTACATTGTTATCATCATTTTAATCGTGGAGGCCAGCAGTCGCACTATCCGCCATAGTAGCTTCAGTGCAGCCATTGTCCACAAGATACTCAACATAACCGACGAACAGGAGCTACGGGATCGATTATTTCGCCTGTCTCTTCAGTTGTCGCACCGCAAGGTGAGCTTCACTGCTGCCGGCCTATTTCGTTTGGATCGTACATTAATATTTACGGTGTGTACTTCAGTATTATTAGTATTTCTTGATTTCTGATTGGTTTACTTGTCAATTTACATGCAGATAACTGGCGCCGCTACTTGCTACCTCATTATACTCATACAATTTCGCTCTACTCATCACCTTGAGGAAAGTGAAGGCACTAATAATACGGACTATATACAGTTCGATTAAGGATCGGAATTATATGCAGCTTTTGTAAAATGTTGTAAACTCAATAATATTAAAAAACAAGCTATTATCAAAAACTTTTAATGACGTTTGGAATTATGAAATTTATTGAAAATTGACTACCTCATTTTTTTTTTAAAGAATATTGTAATATCAATTTGGATTACTATTTGCTTTTAAGTTTTAACGTAATATAAAGTGAGAGATAAAATCATGATCAAAACTATATTGTTTTAGATAATTGCGATACGGTTGACAAAGTTCACATAGTAGACAGTTAGCCTTAAGACTTTAAAATTCAGCGGGCGCTATCTGTCGTATAAATTGGCCAGCTCATGCGAATGAGAATGGACAGAGTGGCAACACCAGCAAGCAAGCAGTGTAAGCAGTGCAAATAAAAACCAGCGCACGCTTTACCAGCTGGCAACGCTACAACAATTCAGAAGCGAACCGTTAAATGTGAGAGAGATAAACACAGTTGTCCTATTTTTGGTGGAAAGGTGCACGCAAGCCAAGCATTGTCACATTGCATAGCATAATCGTAGACAGGCTTTGACGGCATCAACCACCACTAATAAGTTCAGTTACTAATCCATATAGACACGCCACTTGGTCGCCACGTACTCTCGCATAATCCAATAAGAAGTCCCAAATACGTTGTCTGTTGCCACTTATCAATTGGTGCAACGACATTTCATTGTTTTATTGCCTCAGCCGTTTGCCGTTTGCCATTTTCATTTCCGACTTCGTGGGTGGTGATTGCTTTCAAATGCGACTCAATTGTCAAGCGATATTGCTAAATTGCCCAATGCCCGCGGTCCACTTGCACTTATTACAACTGTACAACTGCACATCTGTACAACTGTAAAACTGTACAACTGTATATAAATGTGAGGAGACTGTATGCGTATGGATTAAGTGCATGTTCACTTAGCGCTAATCACATCGATTAGCCGCATTGATAAGGCTTTGTCGAATTATAATCAATATTCGATTTGTATTTATGATTTGTTCACTTTTTCACAATCACCTTTCCCATACGAAATGCACTCGAATGCTTACTTACACAGAGATATTCATATTTATGTAAGTAATTGGAATTGTTGATAACGAATTGTAAAAATACAATTGTTGTCGCCGTCTGAGCGTTACTTGTGCCAGTACATAACAGCTTTCACATAAATAAAGAAAAACACTTGGCTTTTTAAGTCTTATAAATTAGCTCATGCTTATAAACAATTGCAATTTGAATTCGCATCAGTTTTAAAATTCACTAAACTATTTCTATTCGCATCTATTTTCAAGTAGAGCTTTAAAGAGATCGAATTTTACAAGCACTGTTCTGAGGGTTGAATTCAATGTTTAAGTGACAATCATACATGGAAAAAACTAAAGCGCAAATTAACGCAAACAAACAAAAGCAATCTTTGAGCGCATTTTCATACTCTTCCATATTACATACATACATATATACATACATACATACATAAAAATATGCATACATATAAGTTTCACTTACATACGGCCGCACATCAAACATTCATCAAGCACAGCAGAACGAGCAGTTCTCAGTTCACTAAGAACACAAACGCCGTAGTCGCCGTAGTCGCAGTAGCGGGCAGAGCCGTCAGTCCGACAGAGAGGGCCGCGCACAGTCGTAATCAAGCGTTGACGAGAACGGTCACAAGCGCTATTTTTTGTGGCTCGCCCACTAAATCAACATACTCTCGAATCGCGATTCGTATCCGTGTCCATCCGTATCCGTATCCTTGTTGTCTTAGTTACGCGTAAGGATATATTGCAAATAAAAAAGTGTGAGCTATTGGTGGACAAACAGAGTTGAAGTGACAAAAGGATTACATTGGCTATATTTTTGAAACCAACTCTCTCCTAATTGAAAACAAATACTTGTTTCTTAATCGCTCGCAGACTTCCTAAGATTGCAGGGGCATTTGGAGAATGTAGCAAGTACTCGAACTGTTAATCTAGCTGCCGATAGGGTTCTACTTAAACAAAATCGCCAGACGAGCAATAACTTGAGTACAATAACCACTGCATCTTTAGTATATGTATGTAACACAATAATGATTTGGACGTATTGAGCAGTAATTACTATTTTAGAAAAGCACCTGTTGCGACGAATGAACAGACAGATAATTAAAAACTAATTGAAATTAATGAATGTCAACACTTGTGCCCTTAGTCACATGCGACAACTTACTTTTTGCACACATGTTGAACTCTTTAAATGGTTTAGTTCACCTAAAACATAAATAAAAATTGTTATTAGAGCATAATAAACTACACCTTTATAGAGTAATTGCGAAAAGTACTTAGATCACGAAAATTAGGTTTTTGCTAAATATACAACCGCATAGGTCAGGCAGCAATATACACTGAAATATCTAAAGAGAACTTGGCAGAGAGACAAAATGTTGAGGCGAAGCGAGTGAAAAGATATGGCAACTATAAGTAGCGACAACAAATACAAATTGCGTTGTTGCCTCAAATCTTTTGAGTCTAGTCACAATGCAATTTTTGTTGTTGTTGTTGTTGTGGGTTAGCTGTAACTGAATCTCTGACAGAATTTAATTCGTAGATGTTGCAATTGAATGTCGCATCAATTAATTTTAATATGAAACCGCTATACCCGGGTGTCAAACCGAAACGCATTTAGTTTCCGATTCCGATTCTGATACGTATAGTCTGAAAAGACCGATAAAGATTCTGTGGTAAATATCAATGTCTACACTTTGAGGTGACTAATTTCCCATTGAGAGACTCATCGTTTTTTATTAACAATTTTTTGACAATATTATTTTTATATTTTTGGCATTGCCTTACTCTTGATCGATTTAGGTTAATAGGTCCAAGAGAGAAAGTGGTATAAACGTTGGAACATTTTGTATATGTTAATGTGACCCAAACCGCAACACGTTTGAAAAAACTGATATAAAAGACGAAAGGCATCAGATGAAGGGGGATCCACAGAAAACCCAAATATAAATATGATACAATTGTATCTTTTTTCAGCTGCCAACGACTGGCTTGACACCAGTCTTTAATATTAATTTGTCGCCTCGATTTAGTTGCACTATGCCGCCCGTCGTCCCATTGGACTATGCCGCGTGCCACAGTTGTAACAATTAAGTCAAAAAATTTAAATAATGTGGGAGCTGCTCATGAAATAGCTAATCTCTACATGCAAATTCAGTTCAAATGAATTGAGTTGTGCTTCGATTTGTGCTCGATTTATTTATTAAAAAATGAGCAACTTCATCAATCAAAGAGGCACATTGGAAGCCCGATACATAGGTAGATCGGTCCTAGAGAATCTCCAGAACCCCACTTAAATTGTGGATGTTTTCGAGTGTTTTCCTTTGTGATTTATGTGCATGATGTCATAGTTTGATGTCACATTTGATCGCAGCACTAATTATAAAACACAAAATTCTGTTGTGAGACTTAATAAAGAAACAGCAAGAAGAAATTGTCAAGTAAATATAAACAATACAAAAAACACCCACCAAAACTCACATTGAAGGAAACTTCTATTTCAGCAATCAAAAGCATTAATTTATGTAAATATATGAAATTATTTGACAAAATCCTGCACCAATTAATAAAATTAATTTGCATACGAGTTGAAGCAGGTCAAACCAATTCAAAGTCAATTTTCACGAATAGAATTGAATATGGTAAGTGATTGAAATGATCGTGTTGCGACTGTAAATGCAAATGTAACTGTAGGCAGATGTTTTGTATATTAATTTGTCATCTATCGGTTTGATCAATAAAAATAGAAATTGATGTATCTGAACAAGATCGTAAAAAGTTTCCCATAGCATATGAGTTGTAAAGTTGAGATGCAATCGGCAGAGGGGTGGAAAATTTCTTTCGATCTTGTTGAGATACATCAATTTTATTTTGTATACGGCTGGTAGATTGAAATGTATCAAAATTTGAATTTGGTTTCCCTTTACACGATGCTGACCCCTCTTTAGGAAATGCTGGCTACGCCCTGCAGAGCTAAGAATACATTTTTAATTTTCAATGAAAATGATTAAGTCATTCGTCAATTAAAATTGCAATTGAAACGGCAAAAGTAATAAATAACACCTGACAACATTTATGTCTTCAAAAGTATTCAAATACAAATATATTATAAAGTGAGCTGGATTGCATTGTAATATTGCCGGAACTACAAACAATTCTAGCTGTAAACAAATATATATTTTAGACATTTTAGTGTACAAAATTTCATTTTACAAATGGGATGATTATATTACACTTAAAATAATAAGGATCAATAAATATACCTATTTATATGGTTAAAAATATACATTTAAAATTATTTTTTTAAGACGCATTTTGAAATCATAAAGTATTATTTTATGAATTAGTAAATTTAAATCATATCATTTATGTCAAACGATTCTTTCAGTTAATTTAACTCCTTGACATATTGTGTATACTAAATATTAAAATATAACAATCCTTAAGATTGGATCTCTTTATGTGCCAATTTGATCTGACAAAAGCATCACTGCCCAAACTTTAGTGCATTCCAGTCTTGAGTCGTATATACTTTTTCAGATAGTTAAGTCACGACGAACGGGTTAAAAAGGTATTTGTGGATTTGTAGCGAATGATAGATAGAAGTGGCACCCAATCTATCAATTTACGGTTGCATTGGCAGCAATTTGTTAAATTTCTATTGCATGCAAGGCTCACGGAGGTTAACTCGAGCTCTTTATTGCTGGCACCCGGAAAAGCCATCGCATTGTTGTTTAATGATTGGATTTATTATTAAAGTGGAATATCACATGCTTAATTTAATAATGAAAAATACTTTATGCTCGCCGCAATAATAAATGTCAGTTAAAAATATAAAAATTAAAGTAAGTGACATCGTTGCTGTCGGGTGCCAACTGTAGAATACTCTGATCGTAGTAATATAATTTCCGCTGATCAGAGCTGGCAAATAACCTTCTTGAGGGAGTAGGAATGAGGTGCCAGTGTGGCAGTTATGTCGAATTATCGATTTATGGGCAGTGGGTATTGCCTTCAAATGTGGCTATCAATCCTTAAAGAAATCTACCGGTAAATATCTTCCAAATAGAAATAAAATGCATTTCCAAGTTGTGGGAACGGAGTAGCTGAGCGCGGCTGTGGTGTTCCTAGTCCTTGTCGTTTGTAAAGGACATCAGCAGCAATATGCCATCCAATTTTATAACTCTAGCTAGATATGTGGTTTTATCGATTTTCAATTTTCGATTTTATAACACTTTATCTGACGAATATATGTCCCCAGTTTCAAGTCTCTAGCTTCAGCCAGTATACTCTCATAGCTTCGGGATCAGAGTATAAAAATCCACACCCAATTGAGAGCAATTAATTCGAACGGAGGTTTTGACTTTTTTTTTTAAATTTTAGTCAAAATACAGATGCATATGGAATGAATGTACACATATGTGTATATCTATGTATATGTATATGAATATATGTACTTGGGCTAGTTTATATGTATTGTGTTTTATGCGGGGGCGTTGATCTTGATTTCAATTAAGTGAACGAAACGTTAAAATTAAAAATTTACTCAAGTGCTTAAGCAAAAAACTTGTACTCATATTTTTCAAAATAATACCAGCATTTAATGAGCATGTTAAGTAAACTTTTCCATTGTAACTCAATAATCGCCAATAAAATTGTATGAAACCATTAAAAAAGAAAAAAAATGTAAGCAAGTTTTTTCTTTTTACATTAAAAGCAGACTGAGTGCATTCATCAACATGCTGTTGCTCTCTATATATAGATATGAGAGTTTCGTAGAATCGTTTGGTACGCTATAACGGTAGGTGTCAAAGACCCAACATCGGGGTCAATTGAAAGACTCAATTATAGCAATATATCACTGTGCAGATACACATGCATAAATATATATACATATATATATATATATATATATATATATTTGTGTTCGTATATGGTTCGCCACGCGATCTGAACAAATTGTATTCGTGATAATTGTTCGGTGCACATTACGTGAGAATTTTTAAGGAAACCATTTGGTTGAATACCCTGTTGTGCCCCCGACGCCCTTTCGATAAGATTCCCGTGATTGCATCTCAACGCATTTCCTTAATTTTCGCGCCATCTATTATTTTTGTGCATATTTTTTTCTATCTGAGTGTCTTCAGTGCTAGCGCTTATCAGGTTCAAAGTACGCTTATCAAAAACGACTCAGACAACAATTTATGATTATCAATTGATTTTCTAGCCGAGACAACTTTAAACGAATATCGTTTACGGTAGCTGTAAGGAACAACAAAGAACACATGCATTTGTTATTCAATTCGAAATAAAGATACTCATATTATTTCATATACGTATCGGCATGCATCGATTATAAACAAAACGCCGGTTTGCATGTGCTTTGCACAGCGCAGGTTTTGTAATTATCACCGCTGATATGACAATCATAGCAAACAATAAAATACAAATGATTATTTCAATTACAAGAGCGCCAAAAACAATTACCAGTCACGTGTTGTATTTCTTGTTGCAATACTATTAAGAGTGTTACTCAATTATGGTAATTTGTTCAGCAGTTCGATGGAAGAGCTGTAGGTGGCACAGTAAATTGAACTAGGATCGACTTGGCTATTCATCATGAATATATACCTCAAGAATATAAATGCCCTTTTCGCCTTTTTAATGGGTACAAAAATGAATATAAAAAAATGTAAACAATGCAATTCATTAAGTCATCCAAAAAAATACTGCCCCCAACAGCAACATGCTTAAAGTAATTGGTGTTTAATTTCCGGAGAGGAAAACACTACAAATCGTGACAAAATTAAAATACCTTCACTTCTTCTCTTCTCATCTCTTCTCTCTTCTAGGCTTATATCATCTTTCAAGCACTTTGAAGCAACTTTAATAGAACCAAAATGCCCACACAAAGCAGTGCGCTGTGGCGACAGAAGAGCAATCGGGGCTTAATTATTGTTATTTTTGGATTTTGTCTTGGACTATTTGGGATAGTGTACGGTATGTTCTGGGAGGACATATTCAATTGGATCAAGCATAAGGTAATTCACAGTGACGCTTTTGCAGCTGCATTCGCTTAACGCCACTTGAAGCCAAGCTTGTCAGTGGCCCGTCAGTTGGCTCAAAAGTGCCGCCTCAATTGGATTGAAGCTTGCCGTGCCCTTGTCGAGATTTTCAATTAATAACAATTGGAATTTGATCTTTGCACAGGAAATGGCGCTCGCGCCAGACACACAAGTCTACGACAACTGGAAGACGCCGCCGGTAGAGCTGCACTTGGATATCTACTTGTACAACTGGACGAATCCTGAGGAGTTTGGCAATCAGAGCAGCAAACCCATATTGGAGCAATTGGGTCCCTATCGCTTCATAGACAGACCGGACAAGATCAACATTAGCTGGCATCCGTCAAATGACTCGGTCAGCTATCGACGGCTCAGTTTCTTTTACTTTGACGCTGCGGGCAGTGTGGGTAGTCTGGATGATGAGGTCACAACACTAAATGCCGTGGCCTTGGTTCGTAATATCATATTATATTTATACTATCGCTGCTAATCATCAACTAATGCAGTCGGCAGCTGCCACGGCCAAATATTGGAATTCCGTTAAACGTGGCATGGTCGATGTGGGCCTTAAGCTTTATGGCCAGGAGATGTCCGTGACGAAAACGGTCGATGAAATGCTCTTCACGGGCTACAGCGATCCCATGATTGACGTTGCCATGGCCATGCCCATTTTCGGAGATGAGGTCAAAGTGCCCTTCGATAAGTTCGGCTGGTTCTATACACGCAACGGCAGCGCTGATCTAACAGGTGTCTTCAATGTGTTCACCGGCGCCGAAGATCTACAAAAGCTGGGTCAGATGCACTCCTGGAACTATCAGACCCATACGGGCTTCTTCGATTCGTATTGTGGTCTGACCAATGGTTCTGCTGGCGAGTTTCAGCCGCAGCAGCCGCAGCCAGGTGGAAGCATCGGTCTCTTCACTCCAGACATGTGCCGCACTCTGAACCTGGACTATGTGGACACGGTCGAAATCGAAGGATTGCAGGGCTACAAGTTTACAGGTGGTCCGCGATCCATTGACAATGGTAAGCACCTCAAACAAATACCCCAAAATTTACCCATCTCAATTAAATTAAAAAAAAAAAAAACTTTAACAAATATCTTAAATATCGGATACATCATTTTCCCTTATCGATGATAATAGTTTAAGCTTTTAAATAATATGCAAGTTAAATGATTACATATTATTTAAAAATTGGGTCATATTGAGACTATTTTAATTATAAACAATTAACATGTAGGCCTTCAGTTTATTTAATTCAATTAATTATAGACAGCTAACACGTAGGCCTTCAGTTTATTTTATTTAATTTATTCCCATGGAGATATTTGAATTAAATGTAATCAGACTAGTGTTTAGTCAGTAAAGTAGACACTTGAGACGTGTAATACCTTCATGATATAAATTAAATTGAACGTAGAGAGACAAATGTTTAGTCTGTACAGACAGCAGACACTTGAAAATCAAGTCTAATTTAAGTTCTCCACTTGCAGGCACTCTCTATCCGGAGAATCTGTGCTTCTGCGGCGGCGAGTGTGTGCCGTCCGGTGTAATGAACGTCAGTTCATGCCGCTTTGGCTCGCCGGTATTCATGTCGTATCCGCATTTCTATAATGCCGATCAATACTATTTGGATCAGGTGGAGGGTCTGGAGCCCAATCAACAGGATCACGAGTTCTACATGGTAGTGGAGCCACGCACCGGCATTCCGCTCGAGGTAGCAGCACGTTTCCAGGTCAATATGCTGGTTGAGCCCATTGACGGCATTTCATTGTATGAGGACATTCCACGCATATTCTTTCCGCTGATCTGGTTTGAGCAGAAGGTGACCATCACGTCGGATTTGGCCGACCAGCTTAAGCTGTTGCCGTTTGTGCTACTGGCTGGCCACATCTTTGCCGGAATTTGCCTGGCCGTGGGTCTGATAATGCTCTGCTGGACACCGGTGCAAAACATGCTCAGCTATTGCCAGACGCGACAATATGACGTGAAGGTTCAGCACAAGAGTAATGGCCAATACAAGAGTCGCTCGCAATTCTCCAGCGCCGAGGAGCTTAAGTCCAAAGCCTCGACAATGGTATGCGAGAAAAGTGATACGCCAGACAATTCGCCGCTTCTCGAAAGGAATAGCAAGCCTGCAACTATAATGTCCAAGTCGCAGACTGGTGACAGTGTCGCCACTGCTTCAACGGTCCTTAGTGATACGACGGAAATGAAGCAAATCTAACGGAGGAAACAGGGAATAAACGTAAACTTTCCACTTAGCCAGTAAGCCGTCCTAGTGCATTAGATAGTCCTTAGTCAGTTATAATAGTGTAGGAATACATACATAAACAAAAATGTCCCTCATCGCCTCTGAATTCAGCTCCTCATTCCGCAGTTGATCAAGAAGTGGCAATGCCAAAGATTATGTAGCTTGGTTAGAGTGGCATAAATTACGAATACTCTCTCTACATCTACATAAATATACATTTATAGTTTTAATATGGTATTTGAAATGATTGGGAATTTATCATCAGCGAGAATTTTGATAAAATTGTTTTATATACTCGTTCTACTTAAATTATGTTTGACATGTAAAAGCTCTATCGAATTAAATATTTTATATACAAATTAAGACTTGTGTTTCATATGGAATTCATTTCAGTGATAAATAATCGGTACAGTAGCTCATTAATTATTAAATTGTTATTTTAAATTCACAAGAAACCACAGAGGAACCCAGCAAAATGGTTGAAGCTCTGCAACCACAAACTGTAATTCAAGCGCAGTGCAATCGTAAACAGTAAAATACTGCTTACCGGCACTGCTTCCGTGGTTCGTGTGCGGGGTTGTGCATTTTCTACAGTTGCAGAAGCTCTGTAACCACAAAATGTAGTCCAAACACAGTGTTATCTTAAACAATATAATACTGCCCTCCGGCACTGCTTCTGTGGTTCGTGTACTTGATGCACTGCTTGCAAAGTACTCAGCTGCTCTAAAACTGTCTGACTGCTGAAGCGTATACAAAATAAATAATTGGCGATCAGCATCGAAGTGAAATTGCAACATATTCAAAATTAACTATAATCATAATAATTTCCGCATCAGTTATTGGTATAAAAGGTAACAAAATTCATATTTTTATTGCTTCAATTTCATCAATTAATACAATAATCAATGCGTATATGCTACATATAATATTTACATATATTACTAATTTACTTATGATACAAAGTACAATATACCTTATAGAAATCCCTAGTAAAGTCTTTGCTCTATGTTAAATGATGTGTGTTCGTTTTGTACAAAATTGATACATGATAGATTCAAACTATCGCTTTCCACATTCTTGGAGCAAATAACTAAAAATTACAATGGTACAACAAATATTTGCAATATCACAAATGACCCAACTTCTGTTTATATTATTACGTTATATAGAATATATTTCAAAAATTAGGCATGAAAAAGAAATCCAGTTATTTCTTTGGAGGTACGTAGCCCTCAGTATATCCATAGCTGTCAGCCACTGTTCAAAGGATAAGTATATTTAATAAACTGTAGAGGTAAAAGGTGCTTCAGATACTTACGCTCATAATCCTTGGAGTACAACTCAAAGAATTCACCCAGCATCTTGCCGGGTGGTAGCTCCCAAGTAGCGGTGCCACCATATTTTGGTAGCAGGGCGCTTGCATCAATGTGCGACGTTAACGATTTCCAGTCCTTGCCATGGAAAAATATCTACAGAGGATTTGTATATAAGTATAATAATAAGAGTAATAAGTTTAAAAATTGTATAAGAGACTTACGCGCTTGCGCAGCTTCTCACGAATGAAGGGCTTGAATATGGCAAAAAGCATATTGAATATATACGAGTTATTCACAATGTGAACCGCCTTCAGACGCATACAAATGCATTCCTGTACATAATCCAGCAACATGGCGGCAAACGATGGTGTAAACTGTGTTATGTGACTCAAAGGCAGACCTGCAACAATTCGTACAAGCAAACATAGAAATCGGTTCATCAAAATTGATAAAAAAAATAATATTTAAAAAATGTAAACAACAACCATGCTGCTTTGTTAATGTGGTTTTCAGATCGTAAAGCAAAGCACAAAAGTGTACATTATTTACACATATAATGTGCCATTAACCTAAACATAAACATGCCCAGCGAACTTTGTAACCGGTAGTTTTATTTTAATTACCTTCCATATCAATGATGACAACTGCGCCACAGATTTGTGAAAATGGCTCCACCATGGAGCCTAGCACAGTCAACTGAATGCCCCGGAACAGATCCGGCAGCGGCACCTTTGACGGCTTCCATTTTTCTATTAGCGCCAAGAAATTATATATTTTACTCAGTAAATCATTAGTGAGCCAATTTATACTCACTGCCAGCTTCCAACACGAGTATACGACGTCCAAACTGATCCCTGTTGGGCAACAGATTCAAAATATCACTTTCGAACACATTGCGCAGCTTGGCGGGCACAATGTCATCGCAAGCCAAACCATATTTCCACTTCATGTTGTAGAAGTGCTTCAGCTATTGAAAAGTAAGCAATTTAATTAAGATACAGAAGTAATGAGTGAATTTTTGGAAACTTACGCGATTTAGAGCACTTTCGGGATAATAGTGGCAAGGACGCAGAAACATCATCATGTATTCATCATCTAGTGGCAATTTCAGGTACTTTTCATCTGTGAAAAATACAAAAGCAAATGGCATAGTAAATATGTAAATGCTAATTGTGATTCCTCAAACGGACTACTTACTTTGGATTAGCTCTCTGAGCTCCTTGATGGACTCCTCCTTGATGCCGGGCAGCTCACGTAGTTCATCTTGTGCTTTTTTCAGGGCCCAGTCGGGCGCCTCTTCCTTTTCCATGCGTATTTGTGCAGTGCCCAAATCGAGGTAAGGCACCTGATTGTCATCGTAGGTAATACACTGTGCTTTGCCCATCTTTACCAGTTCGCTCTGCAATCGAGAATAAAAGTCTTTTCAATAAATGCACAGAGTTTTGTAGCCAAATCGCTTGACATAACCAGGTTACTTCCGCACCAATCATAGCGGTACAATGCCTTGGCCCAATGGACAAACATGACTCAATGCTTAGCTTCATTAACGAGCCCACAACGGAAGACGAAGCCGACAAAAACACAGTTCAAGACAACAAGACAGAGAGAGGGAGACAGACAAAGCGAGAGAGAGAGAGAGAGACAGAGAGAGAGAGACGGTGAACGGAAGGGCGAGAAATAGACAATGTGACCAAAACTGGTCACACAACGTCACAAGCCGCACGTCTCAAAACCACTAAGGTTTTCGTTAATACCCTGTAGCAAGAGAGTTGTTCAATTTATCACGTTGTTTGCCCAGCATTAAATACAAAACCTGCTTTAGAACACTTATTCAAGTCGGTCAACAAATAAACTTTAAGAAACTGCCTTGATTATCTAAGTCAAGGAAATGTTATTAGATGAATAAAATGAAATGGTTTATACAAAGCCAAAATAAAGTTATGAAAGTAAATTAAACATCTTGCAAGAGTATTTAAACTTCCACTTGCGAACACATGATTTTTGTTTCTACATTGTTTCGGCTATTTTTGACCACTCGCAGACGACTTGGCAACGACGTGGTTAATAAAACCTGGCCCAACTTGGCTGCGCATGACGTAGCGATTTATGCTCTGCACTTGACCCACAGCAGAGTGTATGGGACAAGAGAGAGAGAGAGAGAGTGTGTGAGAGAGAGGGAGAGAGGTAGGTAGAGAAATAGAGAGAAACAGAGCTGCGAAGCAGTGTCCATCGGAGGCACACCAACTGATCCAAAAGCCGTTTTGCTACTCATGCATTAAAGCAATTAGTAACTTTATTTGTGTGCGACAATTTCAAGGTGAAAGTCAAGGCCAGAATATACTTTTAGCTGATTTATTATTTCATTTTTAGTACGCATTGAAATTAATACAATCAGCGAAGAGGTATAGGCTGATTTCGGTTTAAAAATCATTTCGGACTTTCAGTTTGCTGAGCACATAAAAAGTTCAGAAATTTCGTTAAAAAAATTCGAAGTCTTTTGTTATTCCATTTTGTTGGCTGTTGATTTTTTTTCTCCCTTTGATTGGTCATTTTATTTGCCTTTACTTTGTGAAAAGTTCATCAGCCCACAAAGTTATGCGCATAAATTTACTTTTGGGCCTTCAGTTAAACAAAGTTAAGTACTCAAACCGGACAAAATTAAGAGAAATAAATGAAAGAAATAATAATAAAACAAAATAATATGTAAGGCAGTAACGTGCAAATAATTTGGGTTTAGATCGTGACACAAATGCGATTCCCAATTATCCACATGCAAAGTGTCACGTAAATTTGAAATAAAATCATGAAATTGCAAGTTAATGATGACTGGTTATGAAAAACAAAACTAAATTGATCATCCAATTAATACAAGGACGTCTTATGCCTAAAGCCAACTGAAATAACTTTATCAAGCTGTTGTGTTCTGAAATATGTGCATTCGATTATAATTAGTGAACAAACGATCTTGACTAGAAAGAGTTATTCCAAATAAGAACGAAGAAAATACTGTTCTTGTCAAACATGTCTGTCATTATGGCTTTATAACATCTTTTTATCTTCTGGAGGGCTAAAGCAAAACATAAGTTTAGCTATACATTCATCGTCTTCCCAACTTAATAAAGAAGTGAATCATTGCATTATATGAAAATATAAGCAAAGAACAAAGCCAATTAAACAAAAGAAAATAATGAACTGATGGCAGACAAAGAAGATATAAAACTAGAATGTGAAGCATTTAGTAGATTTCAATGTGCACAACATTGAAAGGTGATAATATGACTAAATTATGAATACAATAAGCCATTGACTTGTCGCAATTCTTTTTAAATAATAATCTACACAAGGAAGCACAAATGAATAAAGTAAATAAATAAAATGTATACAAATATTTATCTCTTGGAAATTTACTCAGAAAAATTAATATATAGCGAACTTCAATTTTTAGCAATATCTCCAGTCTTCAATTAAAATCTTAAACCAGTTTCCGTCAAGGTCTACAGGAGTCGAGATCACTTAATTTTAATAGGCTTTGCCTTTCACAGTTCTCGGACGAGTTTCAGAGAATCTTTCCACTGTTTATATTCAAAATATGCAATAAATAATACTTCTCAATGCGTTTTCATATGCACAAATTCCGATTATAGCACTTATAACTGACCTCGCTTGAACCAAATTACTGCTAAGCTGAAATTGCTCGACTTCTGGCACTGACGAACTGCTTTGTTTAACTAGTCGACTTACTGGCAATTTAAAAGAATTATTCGTCTGCTGATAACTGGTATCTGCAAATACTTCTCATATACACACACAGATTTCAACTTCCCTTCGATTGCCGAAAGCCACAATAAAAAAAGATGCATGCGTAAGTGTAACTATCGTATAAAACTACATATTAAATTATTAAATCTAACAGATTATGATTAAGAAATTCATGTTTATTAAACGTAATCGCTCAACTAAATATTTAAAGACGAATTAGTTCACTCACTTTGTGATCTGCAGTGCACAAACTCTGCCAATACTAATAAATAAAATAGTCCATTCACGCACGCATCTCTAAGTAAACCGAATAAACTGATTATCGTTGTGTACACTTATATATATATATACATATGTATATGCATGAGTACTAAGCAGCGACCCCTGCTATATGCGAAAACTTTAATCGCTTTATGTGCATTAAGTCTTAAGCCCATATATTTCCAAGCGATTATCGTTTCTGAACAATAACTATTAAGTACCCGTCAGATAGTTGACAGCTCTTGTTGCTTGCGTCTGATTAGCACTACGAAAACCATAAAATGCGATTCGCAAACCTGAAAACTAAAGCTGCATTGAAGTCCAATTTCAAAATATCACGTTGCCCCCAATATCCATAAAAATCATTTTTCTAAATGGGCAAAACAAAACAGTTAGCGTGATCTGCATAAATGAACGCATACGATTAGATCTTAAATTGATCAGCCAGTCAACCATTAAATGCAAATTACAAATTACTGTTTTCACAAAATCATATAGACCACACACAGATGACAAAGCACTTGTTTTGGAATGTGCATTTAACAAGCACACTGCGCATATGTATGTATATATTAGCAAGTATCTAGCGATGACTTGACATTGTGCTTTATAATATATAACCATAGTTGAAGTTGTAGTTTACGTGTGAGCCGGTTAATGGTCATTCATGAGAAGCAAACTTGTTCAATCTATAATAAGAAAACCAAATAATAAAAACCGTCGGTCACCTATAATTACTACTTTGACCAGAATCGAAAATTGTAGTTTATCAAGGCGGTGTTGTTCAGTATACCCTGTAAAAATGTAGCACACTTGTCGTGCAAATAGTTAAAGTCTTATCGGGTTATTATTTGCACTTGGCAATTATTCGCAATTACAATCATTCAGGAATGGAAATTTGAAATGCAAATTAAGTCAATTATTTTGCGGGATTACCCATATCGGTCCTTGAAGCTGTCTGTGTGTCAATATCAAATATGGTTATATAATATTATAATATATGAATATGTAACTTTATCATTATATATAAATAGAGAATCTAAAAATTGAAAGCTTGCAATGATCTCATCGAAATAATTAACAACACTGTTCAAAGTTATCTTTACCTTAAACGAATTGAGGAGCTGCTATTTATTATTAGCTACACAAATATTTCAAGTACTGCTATTTCCATAAAATGAAAGGAATCACAGTAAACAATCAATGGGAAAATCAGCTAATACAAAAAGTATCCATTGTTAGCGGATAGTAAAATTGTCGCAAAATAATACAACTGTCTATTACAAAAAGTATAAGCAGACCATGAAGTGCTGATGTGACCGCCAAAGATGTGACCATGGTGGTGTTGCCATTTTGAAGCTCCTCTATATATAGTTATTGGTTTTATATGACAGAAAACCAGAAATGGTTAAAAATACTGAGAAAACAAAAGAAATGATGAAATGATGAGATAATGAGGGTAAAACATCCAAAGGCTAAATGGGTATATAAATATTTTATTCAACACACACTTCTGGAAATAAAAAGCGCAATTCATTTTAGTTGAATAACAACTTTGATCTCAGCACCTTTTCAAATCTGGGAATTGTGAACACTTCTCGCAAAAAATTTGGCAGTTGAAATAGCCAAGGAATTTGCATAGAAACGTAATTTTATATACATATTACCCGTTTCGCAGGCCAAGAAACCATGCTCTAGAATCAGTCCGAGCCGGTTTCGATTTTCAAACAGTCAACACAGTCGAAGTCGGTGTTGATATATAGCAATAAAAAAAATACTTGCCTTCAGTTCAAGTATAGATTGACACACGCAAATATTTCTACATACTTATGTGTTTGTATTTTTGTATTTCGCATAGCAAAATGCCAAAATTTCAGAAACCGCTTTTGATTAGTTTTTTTCTCTTTCTGTATTTGTAGGCTCAGTTCAGGCAACACTTGACAAATTAACTATCTGTACAAATGTAGGTATACAATCAAGATATAGCGGCTGTTAAAGATGATCAACTGGTTTTTCAGTTCGAATATTCAGTTTTTGGCGCTTTTTATTATAGTACTCAGTTATAGTGGCCTATTCAATACAAAAGCCGTCATCAAGGTCTCGGCTTGTTTAGAAGTTGATATTGTGTATAAAGAGACCAAAAATTCGTTAGCCAAACACACAAATTGAAGCAAAAGTCGAATGTCTAACGTCCATCAACATATTGTTGGTGTCATTAGCACGATGCTCGGACTGATGTTCATGAGGCCGTCGTACCTCCAATGAATCAGCATTAACATACATACATATATAGCATACGAAAGTGAATGCGTGTGCGAGTGCGAGAGAGAGAGAGAGAACGAGTACGCAAACAAGTGCAAATTGTATGCAATGAAAATCAGTGCGTGTCAAGCTCAACAACCTTCAGTTGACTGACAGCAACAAATCGTTCCCAAGTTAATTAGTATTTAATATTACATTTACTACATTTACTAACTTTACTACATTTTTTACATTTTCAGAGCTTCCTCAATAAAAACTTTCTCAGGTCACAAATAACAACAATTTTGCCAAACAATAAAAACTTCCAACCTATTTCACAATTTTGCTGTTGTAAAAAATTTGCAGCTAATTTGCACCCATGTTCGCAACAACAACAAACAAAATACTTACAACAAATTGATTTATTTTATAAGCCGCACTCTAAAAAAAAAAAAACATAGAATTTATCGTGTCTTGCACAAGCTTAAAGCTTGCTTTAAGTTCCTTCAAATAGTTTTCAATCATTGATAATTGCACTTAGCACCTTTTGGTCTATACTATAATTTTATAGTTTACATCACTAAATGGCCAGCTCTCAAGAAGTGTCACTTTTTTAAAGTCAAATGCATTGTTAAATTTTTGGCTGATGGAGCTAGGAACAGCTGCAGCAGATCGAGGGGATTATGTATGGGCTGGTAGATGGACAGATAGCTGACGAAATGCTGCAGGCGAACAGCTAGTGGTAATTGTTTTTATTGCCAATTCGCTCGAGCGGCACTTGAATACCTAGCAAGACTTATGTTTTCTGGTTTGGGGCAGACAAACAGACAAAACAGGCGAAGGCAGAAAGTGTGTCAACGTTGCCGCACATGCGCACAACAACAACAACAGCAATAGCAATAGCAACAGTAGCAGCAGCAGCAGCAGTAACAGTGGTATCACCATCAACAACAACACTGAGTACTCGCAGTCGAGCTGACCCGAACGTAACTTACCGCAACAATTGCTCAAAGCACTGTTTTACTGGAGTATTCAAAATGCGAAACAAAATATAACAAAATTTGCGATGGGCGAAAAAAAGAGATTTCACGTTTCACTTTACGGAGATTTTGCAAGCGACAAAACACACACACAAAAAACAGTCCAATAAAGGCTGAGTTTTATTTTTGACAGCTTTTGGGTTGGGCAGGACGCGGTATGGCGGTTGTCGAGTTGTAAATGTTAACAATGAATCCGGAGAAAAAGAAGCGAACGCGGCAAACGACGTCCAAATGGCAGCGCGGCTAAAACGTCTCTGAGTTGGAAGCTCGCTCGCGAGCTCATGAAATTAATTAACTGGCCAAGTCAAGCTTGACAAAACAACGGAAAAGTAGCTAGAGCAGCAGCAGCAATGAAGAGAGATGCAAAAAATACTCCAATAATCACATAAAAAGCTTTGCTTGCTTTTTTCTCTTTGTGCGGTGCTGCTAACTTGCTTAAGGTAAAGCTTTGCTTTAAAAATGCAAACAGTGCAAGCTTTGAAAGTTTCGCTTTGCGCTTTTTGTTTTCATTCGCTTTTGACTTTGATTTGGTTGCGCTAAGTTGACCGACACTGTCATTAAGTTTGTAACGCTCAACATTAAATAAACTATGGATGTTATTTCTAAATAAGACAAGAAGTGATTGACAGAATGCACCAAATACAAGAAATATATATTACAATTATTATTATTCAATATTATTATTTACAATACATAATGAGAACTAATTAGCTTACATTGACCGTTCTCTTGAGAAGCCAACAATTAAAAAGCACTGAAAAAAAAAATTTCCGTTAGAGTATAGAAGCTTCGCTATGTCGAACACATTTATTTCCTTTGTGTTTTCTTTTTGTTTGGCTTTGTTTGGTTTTGCTTTTCGCGCTGCCAGCGAAATCAATAAACTACCGGCAATTATGTATTGCGATAACGGGCTATCGAAAGTGTTAAATCTATCAATAAAGCGCTTTACAGCGCCGACTCTTTCGTGTTTGAACAAGCTTGCCCTCACGACAAGTGTAGTTAACATTTTTATACCTTGATGCCGAAGATATCGTAGTATACTGGTTTTGTATCTGTCTGTCTTTTTTTCCTTACCCCTTACAGATAGAGACTTGGAACCTGGAACACATACTAGTCTGTGCCTGGGGGCTATGAAATCGATAAAAGTCGATATTCGCAAATCGGAAAAGCCACAATTTTAAGGCTACAGTCACCTAATTTGGTTAATTGGTTGTTGGCGACGTTTTTCAACGATTGGCACATGCCACGCCCACCTCCGCCGCCTAAACAGTTTTAAATGTCTCTATCTTCCGCAGTTTTTGAGTAAGAGCCGTCAAATTAGGTAGATGTGTTACTGCTAGCCGTCTTTAAGAACCGAAAATAAATTTATATGGCCACGCCCACACCTGCGTCCATAATCGCCAATGCCGATATTTCAGAAAGTGTAAGTCGATAAGTCCGCATATCTCCCACAATTTTAAAGATAGACTGACCAACTTGGAAGGTGAATTACTGGTAAGCTCCTCCAAAGATGGGCATATACATTTTCAGATCACGCCCACACCCACCGCCTCCATGAACTTCGGCCCTATAAATCTGAAATGCGCATATTTTTCACAATTTGTAAGCTGGAGTCACCAAATCTTAAAGGTCTGTTACTGGTAACTCGCCTAAGAGATCGATAAAAAAAACTCTGCCTTCCTAAACCGATACACCTGCTAGTGTATTTCGATAGGACCGTATATCTCACACAATCACCCTGTGATTTGCTACCTGTTATCAGATGGTAATACTTACGGTATAAAAGTATTTAGCAGTCGGTTACGCCCGACTGCAACGATTTCTCTTGTTTTTGTATGTCATGGCAAATGTTGCTGATTGCAGCATTTAAAGTGAAATTCTTACCTTTCTTTCGTTTCATTAACTTGCTCAAGGGCATTTGGGGCAAGTTCAACGCTTGCGTTCTTCAGTCAAGCAAATTCTGCAGTTTATTTTTTGTGCAGTTATACAAAAAAAAATAATCAGATATGCATTACTTGGTATATTTTTAAACCTCTTTATCAGCTGATGTTGCCTTGGTACTTATCTTAATTATTGACACCATAAAAACACACTCATGGCTAATAAAAATTTGCACAAAAATATGCCATAAAACTTGCTGATTGATTACCAATCACATTATGTAACAGATTGTGGTCAAGAATAAATGTAAGTTAATCTTAATCTTAATTGTGGTCAACAATATATGTAAGTTAATCTTAATTAGCGCACGTATTATTTGCTTACGGATTACCAACTTTTCATACATATCTGATCCAAGCGACAAAAATGAGTTAACAAGTTGAAGTTTATACATCAAGCTTAATTAGATGTTGTCGTATTTATTTATGATAGTTTTTAAAATATATTCATCGTACATAAAGTTAGCAGATACATGTCTCAGTTCAACTGTAGACCCTTTATTAGGTCAACTATAGGATATATTTTATATTCTTAAATCTGCCAAGTAATAAGGTTATCAAAAATATGGTTTTAGATTGCTAAGTGTGTAAAGACGTGGTATTTATTTATAATGACAATTCGCATCGCACTTATTCATTGCTTGTAGACCAACAAACAATCCTTAATAATGTGTTACTGAACTTTGTTGGCAATTTGCTTGAGTGACTCATGCTTAGTTTATTTAAGTTGTAAGGTGTGTGGTTTAGTCAATTTAATACAAGTCAAGCTACAATTGAGCTGCAGATTATTAAGCTGAAACAGTTCACAAGATGAACCAGTTCGCAATAGTTAGTACTCAATTTGCTGAAAGATCCCGTGTGACGTCATCAACCGTCCGCGTTTCAAAGTTTAATGAGCTCTCCATGACTTACACAATATTAAGTCATTGATCAAACACTTGTGCTCGTTCCAGTCCACTTGCAAAACTAAACAACTTGTGTACGACGATCTCTTGCTACACCCTGTAATGTTAAATAATTATCCCTTAATGAAACAAATCATAAGTTGCGTTGTCCACACAAAGTGCATAGTACAAACGGCAAACAGAAAAGAAACTTAATCACACACGAGTGTTTTCTTTATGAATGAACAACGATTTTTTTGCCTGTACAAAGGGCAACCATGTGTTTTCACAAGGCTCAACAGTTTGTCTAGCATGGAACGCGGAACAAACGGAATAATGCTTTGTTCTTGGCATACTTAACTAGTTAAAGTGGAACGCATTTTTAGGCTATTGTATAGTGTTCCGATTATGATAATACGCTCTTAAATATATACACGACTATTGCTTGCTTAAAATACTTTCACTTTGTAGTTGGATTTGTCAACAAATTTAGATCATCAAAGTTATTGATTTTATTACACTTATATATTTATATTCTGTACTTCTTTTGCAAGACAATTTTTAAGATTAGCAACTCTTTTTTTATAAAGTGATATAAAGCGCATAAATAATAATTGAGTTCTTGCCAAATCAAAAAATGTTACATTTGAATATAGGCTTGTTGTATATATATATATATATAAGTGATTAATTATTATTTATTTATTTCGTTACATAAATTGTTTTTTATTACTACTACTACGACTATTACAAATGGATGTGTGTTATCATTTCACATATTTAAATGGTCATTAACAAAAGCAAAACAGAAGTTCGATAAAGCGCCGGCAGCAACAAGAACAATAAAATTTAGCACACTCAGCAACTAAGCAACGAAGCAACAAATAAATAATTACAAAAACAGCAACAACAAATACTTGAGCAGAATTGAAAACAAAGAAGCAACAACAATGCTTATAACGACGACGATGACAACAAATCGAGTCAAGTGCAAAGACTTTGCCCTATGACTACAACCCATATCCACGGTTATACACGTATATGGATTTATGTTCATACGGCTAACAAGTGTAATTATTTGTGCCCCGTTCACATTTCGGAACACAAAACACACGTCTCGAGGTGTCAGGCAAAATTCAATAATGATAATAAAATCCATATTATGAAAGGCAACGCGAACAAATTAAGAATGATAACGTTCCTGTCCACAACGCGCTGGTTTTCAAAAGCCTGAAATTGCCCCAATACCGGCAACTGTTTCATTATACCCGATAAATTCAATAAGTGTCTGAAACTTGTGAAATTCACAGTGCGCTTTGGTAACCGGCTGCACAATAAATTGCTGCTTAACTTGAACTCACCTAGCACATTTTCTATATCTGTTATATCTAAAATATACCCTACAAATAATAAAACTCTAGTAAAGTAATTTAATATCTTTTTGAAACAAATAAGACTAAAATTATCTTCAATAAGATAAAATACCTTGCCCATGAAATAAATAAATACTCTTATTTGAAGAGCCAAACTTTTATATTTGATTCCTACTCGTAAGATTAGGAAGCGAAACGGAAGCCAGAAACTTATCAATTCAACAACATATTTAATAATAAATCAATAGTTCTTCATTCCTATCTATTTAACAAAGAGCAATGCGCTTAAAGTATAATTTAACTTTTGATGGACTTTTTGTATTTCAGCTTTTAATGGAATTCCACAAAGTGACAGTTTGTCTGCTGATTCTTCTCAACAGGCGAACTTTATGTCAGATTGTCAATACTCACTGAAAGAGTATCTCAAAGAGAGATGCAGCCAACGTTAACGTCGACGTCGCAGTTGACGTCGCTGCTCAGACACTTGTCGATCGCTTGCTGCGCTGCCAATTGTGATAAGGAATATCGAAGAGAAATTGAAGGCGCTGCGACAGCGGGCGGGGTTGCCGGCAGTTGCTGCCTGTCATTCTACACTAGAATGAAAATAAAACAACCGATAATAACTGAAATTTTCGGCACCGTTATCAGTTGAAGAAATTTTTTAAATTGGACTTTAGTCGGCAAGTGAAACCCACTCCGTGTCCGTAACGTAGTTTCGATGAATGTAGTTGAATATTATGGTTATTTTGCTTTTTGGCTCGCTAACCCCAGCTGCCTGCTTTATCGCTGTCAATGAGTGTGGCCTCTGTTTTTTTTTTTTTTTTTGTCAACATTGCAAAGTTGGAATTCGTTTATTGCGCCGCTCGGGTTGGCCAGGGTTCAAGAATGGAGCTATGTAAAACCCAACGCCCGGCCAGGGATCACAATGGAGCATGATGATCGTTATGACGTGACACGTGACCCGAGCTGTTCTTCAAAATCCAGTGGACACGGAGTTGCCCCTTGTCGAGGGCACAAGTTGATTGACAGCTGGGAGTATTCAAGTTCCGAGGCGATAAGCTATCTCATAGCTAACTACCCACCTGGCTACCCAAGAAAGACCAGTGCATAGGCATCTATAAAAATTGAGAGATGCCTGAGCGATTGAGATTATCATAATCTGAAAGCAAGTCGAAGCAATCAGAGCCGACGTCGCTGACGACTGCGCAGCGGACTTCAACTGCGACTTCGACGGCGACTGCGACTGCGACTGCGACTACGACTACTGCGACTGGATCGGACGCTGCCTTCGTAATTGTATTTGTATTTTGTATTTGTGTTTGTATTTGCGATAGCCGCTTGTGTCGATCGTCGCTGCTGCTGCGACGCCGTATATAAAACAAGGCGTAAACGTTAACTCGGAAGGGTTTTTGAAAAGCAAAATTCAGTTGGTATAAAACACACGAGTCGCGAGGAAGCAGAACCAGAACGCGATTGAATTTCGTTAGAGCTACAAAAATAAGCAAAGAAAACAGTTTTGCCACTTAAAAATTTTCACGCGCATAGGTAAATATGAGGCATGACTTAGTACAGAACATTACTGTCAACAAAAAATATAAAAAAAAAAACCTCGAAAGTTGCATTTGAGCTTTGCTTATTTCTCCGTTCAAATTGAACACATCGCAAATTGCATTTCTTAAATTGCTCCGTGATCATAGACTAATTGAAACGCATTCTGAAAACACGCAGGCAATCAGGAAACACAAACACCAAACACACACACACACACACACACACACACTCGACTACATTCCACAAAATGGCCGCAGTCGACAACAGTGACGAGGCGTTCCATCTGCGCCTGGGCTACTTGAGGCCAGAGACCATTGAGTTTGCCCGAACGGAGCTGCGTGAAACGGAGGAAGTCAAGGCGGAGGCCATTGTCAAGTTGCGTGCACTGCTCAAGGAAACGCCAGAGATCAACTACAAGGATGACGATGCCTTCCTCACCATCTTTCTGCGCGCTACCCACTTTTATCCTGAGGGCGCTTTGGAGAAGGTTAGTAATAATGCATTAATCTGACTTGGAACACACAACTTAGCTACAGCTTTCGGGTTGTTGTCCAAACTTCAATTCAGCTACTCAGTTCCAAGCCACACTGAGAACATATCTATTATACATTAGTGATATATGTTCTACACAGTATTCAAATTATTTCCATATGATCCACATTTAATAGATAGATAACTATAAAAACTATAACTATTTTAAACTAAGTTGCGAGAAAATGCATAGCTATTTTAAGGATAAACTACTCACTTAATACATTATACATTATATATATATATATACATAGTCATATACAATCTACACAGATGAATAACATTCGCCTCCGACTCGGTTATAAATTACTGCACCCACATAGCAAGTACTCTGATCATACGATTCATATTGCATACATATTGAGCGTCTTATCTATGAGCTGATATACCTAATGACCCCTATTAAGATGGACTACTCGCTGCACATAACAGGGTCGACAACCTCGGCTCTCTCTAATCTAGCGACAAACTGACTCAAAATAAAAAAAGGAAAACAGAATATAAATCAAAAAGAACAGATATCTGTGTCACGCCGGCAATCATATTCCCTTGCAGGGGAGTACGGTTATTGATCTGAAAAACTATTCAAAATAAAACGATCCTATGGAAGCTGGAGCAATGCTGATAATTTTCTTAGTGCATCAAACTGGGATACTTTTGGCAATGCAACATACGAATAAACGAATCAGTTATCAATAATATTTATTGCGTCGAAGATGTTTGTTGCCACATTGCATGGCAAACTTATAAAACCCAACCCGAAGAGGAATTGCACGAGTGAGTGCTCCACTTGTTTCTAGGGCGATTCACAGACATGCAGAGCATCGATGGCGATTCTCGCATTGATACGAATTTGAACTCCCTGACACTTTCGTCAAAAAAAAAAAACACAGAAAATAAAACCTAAAACAGAAGCGATAAGCACCTCCTAAGTACATTTCCAGAGACATACATAATAATACGTATATATGTATCTATGTACATGTAGACTAGTTATATACATAATGAATGCGGCTGATGTTGTTGACCAATACGTGGCTTGTGGAACTATTTACTCAATTGCTGAGTTCAACTAAAAACAAACTAGGAATTTATATTATTATCATGGCATATTATATTTATGGCCGGCCAATGTTCGGCTACTAAGACGCCGTTATCGGGCTTGTAATTCCAACAACTGTTTATTTTTTATTGTTGCAGATGAAAACCACCGCAAGCTTTCGTAAGGAACACGCGGCATTGGTGCACGGACTGCAGGCGGAGCAGCTGAAGGAGTTCTTCATCAAGGGCAGCGTCATCAATGTGCTGAGGAACTGTGACCAGAAGGGACGCCGAGTGCTGATCGTCAACGCCGGCAAACTGTGGGATCCCAATGAAATTCCCAGCGATGAATTGTTCCGCATGCTCTACATGGTGCACATTGCCGCCCAACTGGAGGAGGAGACGCAAGTGCGTGGCGTCGTTTGCATCATGGACTTCGATGGCCTGGGCATGAAGCAAGTGAAGGCTCTGTCGCCCAGTTTCTCAAAGCGTCTGCTCACCTTCATTCAAGAGGCAATGCCGCTGCGCATGAAGGAGGTGCACTTCGTCAAGCAGCCCTTCATCTTCAACATGGTGTGGACTCTCTTCAAGCCCTTCGTCAAGGAGAAGCTGAACAAGCGCGTAAGTTATTCAAGAAACCATCGAATCCTTCAAGTTTCCCCACTAATTCCAACCATTTGCCAATTCAGATGCACTTCCATGGCAGTGACATGAAATCCCTGCACAAGTTCCTAGATCCCTCGGTCCTGCCGGCCAACTACAAGGGCCAGTTGCCAGCCATCGATTATGGCGGCAAGGAGTGGTTCCCCGCTCTCGAGCTGCAGGCCGACTTTGTGAACACCTGGAGCGAACTGGGACCAGCCCAGTGGTAGCCATGTCGATATACGTTAATGTACTCTCACAATTTGTGTAATTATAATTACTTATGTTTTTGATTAGTCCTAACCGCTTCACAATAAACTAGTTCAATAATTCAAACCTAATCGAAATTATTTCCAAGTCTAGTAAAAGTTACAGATGAAATTTGAACTAAGCTGAAATCGATGCTGAAGGAAATTCTTTCTAAATTGCAGTTGAATCAACACAAGCTCTAAATATTATAAACGACTTTCAAAAATGTTGAAAAGAATTAGAAAAGATCTGTAGATTTTATATATATATTTTCGATTATTATCCGTTCATTTTACTCGATCCATCTATAGTATATCAACAGAATCCCAGACCAAAATGAAGCCTGTGTATTTGTTTCACTTTCAATTTAAGTTCGATTGTGTTTAAGAATAGGGGACTACATACATGTGCTTTATTTATTTAACCGTTCCAGATACTTCAAGGCTACTGTTATGACCAATGACTGAGTTTAGGCATACATTTAATTTATATTTATATGCTTGTTAAATGTGACTTGAGTAAAATTCATATCGAATATCATTCGGCTAGAAACTATGGCGCTATGAGTCGAGCAGTGAAAACATAATTTAGGCCAAGACACAACAGCAGCAGCAACCAATTAAAAATATACAAATTTATATATATATATATATCTATATATAAATATATATATACATATATAACACTGAAACTATTCCAATATCTTTAGCCGGGATTTGAACTTGAGCCTGGGACCTTTTCGCTCGATGAAACAATGGCGATCGGCTTTTCGATATATAAAATTACACGTCTTAAAGAATCATTGTCTGTGGATCCTCCATGAAGTCGCGGAAGTGCTTCAGCCAAACGGCAGCCACGGCGCCATCAACAACTCTGTGATCGGCACTCAGCGTTACGGTCAGCATATTAACTTCCTTGAAACTATAGTTTTTGGTGTGGAGAAAAAATGAGATCGATAAGAATACCATTAAAGGGATGTAAAGTAAAATATAAAAAACTACCCCTGGGGACTGTCCGGAGCCAGAACCAGACTTTTCGTTGTTGTACCAATGGCCAGGATGCACGATTGCGGAGGATTGATAACGGCGCAGAATTGATTGACACCTGTAAAAAAAATCAGCAAATTAATTGAATAAATTTAGGTTTTGGTTTGGGATTTTTTGTTGACTCACCGAACATGCCCAAATTGGACACAGATATGGTGCCGCCCTGGAATTCTTGTGGCTGCAACTTGTTGGCGCGTGCCTTACCCGCCAGCTCCTTAACATTCCTCGAGATCTCCAGCACACCCTTGCGATCGGCACCAAAGACAATGGGCGTAATGAGACCCTTGTCCGTGGAGACCGCAACAGATACATCGACATCGTCATACTCCCTTATAAAGGTGTTCATCCAAGATGAGTTCGCCTCGGGCACCTTGCGACTAGCAATGCCAATAGCCTTAATAATGAAATCGTTGATGGAGACGCGGGCACCCTCTTTCTCATACTTTTTGTTCACATGGGCGCGGAACTCCATCAACTGAAAGTGAGGCAATTAATAGCAATTAGCCAGGGTATTAAATGGAATGGAAAGGAATTAGGGCTACCTCCTACCTTGTCGATCTGGCACTGAACGGTTACATAGTAGTGTGGCAGATTCTGCTTGGACTCCAGCAGACGCTTGGCGATGACACTGCGCATGGTCGTCAGGGGGATGTCCTTGAAGCGGGCACCGGGCGCGGCGGCCGGCGGATGGGCCAAAGGCTGTTCAGCCGCCTGCGAGGCTGCAAGATCACCAGATTTAAGTGAGCCATGGACGCCGGAACCTTTGCCTGCACAAAAGGCCAGTATTAGTAAGGAACATCACGAGCGGCGCTTGGATTAGTGGGTGAGCGGTGCATGCACACACACATCAGGATGGGGGATTAGTGATAACAACCTTGTAAGCGCATCTTTTGAGTTTCGGCTAATTTCTTTGCCATTGGACTTGCATAGACACGACCGCCTGGCGCGGTAGCGGTACCTGGAGCGGCGGCTGGTGGTGGTTCTGGCGCTGCAGCAACTGGGGCAGCAACTGGGACAGCAACTGGCGGTGGTGGTGGTGGAGCGGCAGCAGCAGCAGCAGGCGCCGGAGCTCCAGCGGGAGAGTCATCCTTGAAATCTGCGAAGGCAGCTATGCTACCCTCATCGGGGACAATTATGCAGACCAGCTTGCCAACGGGCACATCCCGGCTGCCGCCAGGCACCAAAATCTTGGCCAAATAACCCTCCTCGGGCGTCTCAAAGCCCATGGTGGCCTTGTCCGTTTCGATCTCGCACAGCAGATCACCTGCAATAATAATAGTCAATTACTCTGCAGTTAAAAAAGTCTACGTTTTTTTTAATTCGAGTTTACCCTCATTTAGCTTGTCGCCTTCTTTCTTCTCCCAGCTGACAATCGAGCCACGATCCATGGTTGGCGACAGTGCTGGCAGTGGGACACGTATGTGATCCGGCAAGTTGGCGTAGGCGCGGGCGAAATTGCAATTCCATGTGGACAATATTTGGGGTCGGCTGAGAATCGGTATTCCATTAGGTGTTGTTCTAAAAATACAAATTGTTGTTGTCGTTACTGTTTGCCATAAGACTCGATTGACAGGGGCTATCAGCTATCAGCTGATCACCGACTGCAGATGTTAGCATTGTTGTTATCGATAACACGTACACAGAATGTAAACAATTGCAGTTGAGAATGCCAATCAGAATTTACATTTAAAAAATAAACTAAAGCTGCTGCTTGTTATCAGCGATGATTATCAGTCAACATCATGCGACGCCAATTTAATGGTAACGCACCGGACATACACAGATACGACTCACGTATACAACACATATATACACATATATATATTTATATATATGCCACCCACTGGGCGATGTTGCAGCCTCGCATTTTGCAATATTACACAACAGACGATTTCTAACCTCAACGCGAGTTAACAGTTGCATTTACAGTTAGCAGCGGTCAGCAGCCTTAATCCAAATCCTACCTGATTCCAAGCAAGCATCGCTGACTGCTCAAGGCCCGAAATCCGCCGTTGAATCCACGTCGCGACACCTGCGAGCGAAGGAAGACGGCACGAAGTGCGCCCAATTCATGTCGTGTGGCAGAAAGAGAGCGTAGCATTGTCCTTTGTCTGAATGTCTGACCTTATTTGACAGTTAGTGACTAATTAGCCGTATTTTATACGAAAGTTACTTTTATACGCTTCTAATAATTTTGATAAATAAATCGTTTCGAATTCGAAGTCGGAAAAATTTGCCAGCAGCCGACCTTATTGAACGCCACTAGGTCACAACTTGCTGCGACGAATCTGTTTATTTGTTTTATGCAGCCCTTTGCCTGCTCCTCAACCAATAAGAATTTCGCTCCACCATTAACATGATTGCTCCTTACCTACCAGAATGAACTCCACAACTAACAGTTTTGAACTTTAAGTCAATATAACAGGCAGCTAGCAATGAGCTGCAATCGCCAGGAATGCGCCAATCGATTTTTTATTTCAAATGTCTAACAAAACCATGTATACAAATTTATTCAGTTACAACAAGGTAATGGAAATTGTATATTTCTTTACTGTATAGTAAGCACGTGTATTCATTTCAAATCAATTCAATTTAATTAATTTTGATATTTCGCGCGCTGTCAATGAACATCTGTTCTTTCGATTAATTATACAGCCTCCATCTCAATTAACAGAATTGATTGCGAGTTAACATATTATCGCAGCATTCTGCAATTGACCTTGTTTTTGCTGGCAATGTTGCAAAAACATCAACTATTGCAAATATATATGCACATAAACATTTTTAGTTTTCTTTACTACAATTGACAGCGTATATTCTGGCAATGTTGCAGAAGCGTAAATTTATTGCATATGTGTACATAAATATTTGTGGTTCAATATTCGCATATCGCGGCGTTGCCACCTGTCGCCAAAAAGTTTGCCATCAACTCAATCCAATAAGAAAACGAGTTCGCATATTAATATTTAATGTTTATTTAAAGTCAGATTATTAATACACAAATATTAAATACACATTCTTAATTAAAACGCAGCAAATGCCAATCACCGCATATTGAGTGTACTTCAACATGTGCCGGGTTACGAGTGACACCAGAGCACCTGATGAAGTACAATAGACATGGGAGACATGAAATGTTTGCCGATGTTTGCTGAGCAGGCGCCGTTTGTTGAATGCGTCTGGCCACCACGCGCGCTACTTCAGGTACCTGACTGTGGGATAATCAAAACCAGCCCCGGTCACTGATTAGCGCGCGCGGTAAACGACGACGAAGAAAGAGAGAGGCTAAGATAAGCCCAAACATATGTTGCCAACTGGTCCGACAAAGTAACTGCTGCTGCTGCTTCTTCCTCTTCTGCTGCTGCCGTTAATGCTGCTCCTAAAGCTCCGCAGGAAACGACCTTGCGCGCTGTGTCCATTTTGAGCTTTAAGGTTAACGATCTCCTCTCTATGTACGGCTGTGTTTATGCGACGCAACAACGATGACTTCATTCCAAACTCACGCTCAAAAATACACATATACATAAACATACATATATATTGTGTGAGCCTCTTGAGCTGAAGCTTTGCTTTTCTTACAAGCAGCAGCAGCCTTCTGTGTAAAATTTGCTTCACGCATATTTATGCAATAACAATGCCAAATTAGTCATATGTTTTTTCTTTGCGCACCTCATTTTGCAAATACACACACACAGACATGTACACACATACATACATACGTGCTAATGGCTACATAGTCCACACACTCCAGCGAATCGGATATGACGTCATCGTCATTTGCAAGATATTTTACATGTCGCTGCTTGTCATCTGCCGTCTGCCCCGTTTGCTTCGTCTGCAGCAACAGTTAGTCGTCATATTTGCAGCAGCGCTAGAGAGGAGGCCCTTGATATTCTATATTTGAAATGCTGTAAAGAAAAGCCAAGAAAGCTGAATAAAATAAAATCCAATATAGAAAGAGAAGCGCAGAAACGAAAAAAAAGAACCGGCGTTTCGTTCGCTGCTCTCGCTCTCTCTCTCGCTGTTTCTGTTACCAAGCGCAGCAGCAGCAACACTACGTGCGTGATCGCCGACAAACACTCTCGCAAACAATCACATACATATACACACGCATACATACTACTGGTTGGTAGACACACACGTGCCCCACTACATTCATACACCTATGCATGTATATGCACACATACACCAACACTAACACAGCAGACAAATGCAGAGAGACAGACAGAAATCGAATTTGCAAACGCGTTCAAAGTTTTTCGTCTCCCTCTCTCTCGCTCTGTCTCTCTGTCACACTGTGCCTTTTGCACGCTGTTTCGCCAAAAAGGAATTAAACGAATTGCCAGCAGCTACACTTTTATATTTTACAACGCCTCATAAACTTTAAGCCTCTCGCGCAGATTGTGGTATAATGAACTTGGACTTTCTGCCGCCTGTGTGTAAGCCACTATATGTGTGAGAGTAGTGTGAGTAAGTGTGTGTGATGTGTCACGGCGGCTGCGGCTGCTTCTGCGATCGCGAGCAGCTTTTGACTGCCGACGACCGTTGTGAATAATTGCAAATTTTGTTCGAATGTCGTTTTTGTCGTGCCCAGCCGAGCATGTGTGCGTGTGTATGTACGAGGCATTTAATTGTGTGTGTGTGTGTGTGTGTGTACCTATGTACATAGCAATGGCGAAGTCGTCGTCGGGGCTGCCATATGTATGCACATAGCTATAAACATATATGTACATGTATATATTGGTACTATGTATTTATATGTATATAATGAGCAGCAAGCCAGCAGACATGACTGCTTTATATGCCAGTGTGAATACGTATATCTGTGTGTGTGTATGCCTTGCTTGGGTGGGGCATTCCTAACCTCAAATAGTAACAAATGCGCCGACGACTGCCGAGTGCATGTCTTTCTGCCTGTATGTGTGGGTGTGCTGCCTCTCTCTTTCTCGCTCTCCCTCTCTCTGTGTGAATGCGCTGCAAAATGCAAGCACATGCTTTTAACTGAGTACGCCCTTAACCCTGAGTTGGAGTTTGCCATCAAAAAAAAAAAGAAAAAAATAGTTTGCAAGTCCGATCAGACAAACACGCACACACACGAAATGTGTTTATGTGTGCGTGTATCGGCGCCGCTGGTCTGGGCTAAATTTTTGTCTAAAATTAATATTTGAGCGACAAAAAATTTCGGTGTAGCTTTTGTCTCTTTAGTGTGCGTGCGTGTGAGCTTGTGTGTGTGTGGGCAAAAGAAATTTGGAATTATGTAGAATTTACACTGTGTATGTGTGCAGGCAGAATCATGTGGTCGACGTCGCTTCAAACATTTTTGCTGCTATTTGCGTCAGTCTTCCGCTGCCGCCGTCAACGCACGAATTCTTAGTGTTTTGTCTCTCTGCTGACTCTCTTTCTGCGTGAGCGAAAATGTTGTTGTTGTGCCATTTGTTGTTATTGTTGGGACTGCTGCTGCTGGTGCCTTGTGATATCAAAACGCTAAAAATAAACCCAACCTCAACTACTCTCAATTTGTTTTTTTTTTAATTTTTTTGTTCTTCAAGACGTCTTTTTTAACGAGTATTTGGTTCGCTTTTGACCTGCGTTTGAATTCCAAAGGCAGAAACACCCAGAAGTTGATGACGTCGTTACCCCCGCCGCCTGTCCCGCATTGAATTTCACAATATGTTCTGTTCGGTTTTTATTATTCTCTTTTTTCTTTTTTTTCAGGGGGTTTTAACATTTCTGGTCACATTAAACTTTTGTTGCACTTGGCCTGCTGCTGGCAGAGCTTTTTCATTGCTTTTCTGGCATTTACACACACACGCGCGCGCTGCTGCTGCAAAGTCAAACTTTTTTTTTTCAAGTTGTCCGTCGCTTATTGAACACACACACACACACTCATAGACAGAGAGACACAATCAGCCACTTGATGTGCAAATGGCCAACTGTGCGACAGCCTAGAAACGCTCTGGCCTTTTATTTTGTTCTGATTTTGACTTTGCCTTTTTGCTGCTTGCTGTTTGCTACTTGCTACTTGCCATTTGGCCAGCTGCTCTCTGTCGGTTTGTCTGAGAAAAAGCGAAGCGAAGCGAACCGCGCACGCCGGCTGTTGGCGATCAAATGCTCAATGTTGCTGCTTAATCAAAAGCCGAATGCGCGAATTTTATTTCGCACTGCCACAAAGTCGACGCTGCTGCCGCCGTCGCTGCCGCACAGTCAGCTGTCTCTGTGTGTGTGTGTGTGTCTGCAACACAAACACATTCACAAGTAGCAGCAGCAGTCGTCGTATGTGTTGCCGTTTCTTTCGCTTCCTGCTTCCTACTCCGCGCCTTCCGCTCACACGCACACACTGCATATACTTTTTGCCCAGTTCTCACTCATGGGTTCCTTTGTTATAAAGCTGGCTGGCTGGCTGGCTGGCAGGCACCACCAGCCTCAACTGACTGCAGAAAAAAAGCCAAAGCACAGTGGGTTTAGATCACAATAAAATAAATTCCTATTACTCTTGGCACTAAGGATATATGAGAAATATACAAATGATTCCTATGTATACACATATAGACAACAAACTAATAGAAAACTCTAAATTTTCATAATCATTTTTTATTCAAGCCTTCAACTTTCTTTAGGTATTACTTTTATTTAGAAATGTGCAATTACAACTACAGATTTTATTATTTATAAACATATGTTAAATACAAACTGTAATAGATTAATCCTAAAAAAAAACATCAATGTTTAGTTTGCGGAGTTAAAAATTCCAGTTTATTAAATAAATTAGACTTAATTGATTAGAACCTACATTAGATTAAATGTACAAGCAATTGGTCCTCATCAATTTAATTAAAATTATAATTTTATTTTACTTAGACTCGAAAAATGTAAATTTGGTAATAGAGATTGAAACATAATGATATTTTTAAAATGTGCTTAAGAATGAATATCCAAATAATGCCAACGATTTCCAAGTCATGCAATGCAAAGCTTTTGGCTGCCTGCACCACTGTGCGACGGATTGATGTCTGTGTCCGGCAGGGCGGAATTGTCGCTGGCTGGCTGCTTGCTGCTTCGTCGATGGCTGTTGACGTCGCTGCCGCTGCTGCTGCCACTGTTGCTGCTGCTGCATATGCTTTTTGGCCATAAACGTGGCGTGCAGTCGTCGTCGTCACTGCCATCGTCTGCGTCCCTCCCAGTTTGTGCAGTTTTCGTGTCTCTTCGACAGTCCCCTTGTCCGCTGCTCGCTACCTGTCTGACGCTTTGTTTTTTTTTTATTTTTTGTGTCTTGGTATTGGTTTGTGTGGCGTTGCCGAGGAGTGTCTGGGCGGCAATGTCAATGTGCTGCTGCTGCTTGCCGCTGCTGGCTGGCTCTGCCACAGTGTGCACTTTTTATGCGATGCGCTGTTGCTACACAAACTGAGTGCGCCACAGCACCACTGCACCGCACCAGCGTCTGTGCCGCAGCTACGGCTTGCGATACATACGCGTTGGCTTTTCTTGCCCGATTCCATGATTCATGTTGGGGCCCCCGAAGTGATGAGCTCAGTGGTGAACAACAGAGAACAAAATGAATAAATCTCAAGACGGCTGCGACTGGTTTTTTTTTTTTTTTTCATTTGTTTGCAGCTCAAGTATATTTAAGTCTGAATCAGTATCGGAATTGATGAATTTTTACTATGTATTTATAGGGTATGTTATCAATTTATCAATTAGCTACCAAACAAATACTTGAAGTCTTAAGCACTATGCACAATCTAAAAACTAAAAAAATTCGTATGAATCTCTAAGAAAATACACATGACAATCATCAGGAAGACTCATCCAAGCACACCTGGGCATGCTTCCAGCCACGCCGCTAAGGTGAGGCACTCGGCTGAGCCGGTATAAATGGCTGCCAGCGCAAGCAGGAGTCGTCGATTTTGGGGAATGTGCCACGTCGCTGCACACGCTCTTTATACTCATCCAGCACATCCTACAATTGCGATGACGATGCATATCGTGTGTTAGTATATTGCAGATATTCGTTGCATATATTCCGCACTCACCTGCTTTTTGAGTACAATGTGCTTGCCCTTCCAGTATTTCATCATGCCCAGCGCCTGCAGTGTGCTGACAATATCATACGAATATATGGCCATTTCCTGTGATAAATCATTATAAGTAAAAATACTCAATTAGATCTCAGGAAACCCACCTGAGATACATCCTTGATGCAAAGAGTGTTGCCGGAACGATTGCACAGATAGTCGAGCAGGACATCCTTCCAGTAGGAGCGATATGAAATGAGTCCCAGATCGGACAACGGCTTCTCCGGCGAACCAATTTTGCCCTCCACTCTGGTTAGCAGATAGCCTGGTAGAATCACATAAAAGACACATGCACATAAGTATGCTATAGATAGAACTGGCTTTCGAGTTCCGGCGCATTATTTATGGTGACCAAGTTTGCCCCGCCCACAACTCTAACCCGAACTCGAACTCAACTCAGTGTTGTGTCTAGACAGGATTCCGCAAAGTGTGCGTCCCAAGGGGTGGCAAAGGGGGGTTGCTAAGAGTGGGAGTAGCACGGGCAGCACGGCCACATGAATGAGGAGCGGCGGGCATTTAAACAACGTTCTGGCGTGCATTCAACCCAAAAAAAGCTCAACCCCCAAAAGCTCAAAGACGACGCGTCGTCGTCGTCTGGCAGCAACAATTCTCAAGTCTAGATAACAACAACAGCAGCAGCAGCAGTTACAGCAACAATGAGTGCAGCAAGTAAATCAACGAGGACGAGCCCGACGTGCCCTCACAACACAAAACCCACTGAGGCAGGCTCGGGAAAAAAGCCAAAGCAACACATACACACAATTTATGTACATATACAGACAAACGCACACATGCACACATATTTTCGCACAGACGCTGGTCGCACTCGACGGTGACGGTGACGGCAGACACAACTGCAACTGGTCGATAAGCGGGCGGGGATTGAAACGGCAGGCGAAAGCTTCAGCCGCTCTTTATTGTTGTTGTTTCTACTGTGTAAATTTACAATGGAACAAATTTGTACTTTTTCTGATAGAAAACAATTTTATTAGAAGTGCTCAATAAATAAATCAAACCAAAAATATTGCACATGTTAAGATACCAGCTGTTAACACAGATGTTGTGATCAAAAAACCACTGTTTGTACTACTGATGAATAAATAAAATAATTCATACTTAAAGCGCAACACGTTTGTTGATTTTTGTTTTTTAATTTTAAATCTGACAACTGTTTTATATTTTGATGTGTAAACATATTTTTTTGTTTTCTTGAATAACCTGTTTTTCATGCGATCTTGTTGCAGTTTATTGCATTGTTGCGTCACAATCAATAATTAATCTTATAGCCCGGCATAAATTTAGCTCGAAAATTTGGAGTTTTTACCATTGTAGAAGATCTTGACTAGCAGCTATGCGATGAATTTGCATATCGATATCGGTGAGCGCAAAGTGTTTAGCAGCGCAGTCTATCGATAGAACAATGCGTGACGTCACAACACAACCAAACATACGGCTGTTGTTTACATTCCTGAAATGCGCAAAAATGAAGTGCTCCGTTGTAAATTGTCAATATCGCCGAAATGTCGATGGAAAAGTAGTCAGTTTCTTCTCATTACCAAAGAATGAGAAGTTAGCCAAAGAGTGGCTGCAGTTTTGTGACAATCCGAAGCTGAAAAACACGCGATACGCATTTGTTTGCAGCAATCATTTTATGTCCGATGATATTATTGGCCGCAAGGCATTTGAAATGGGTTTGTTTACACAAATAAAATATTTTTTATTTAAAATTAGCTTATATAAATATATGTTATACTTAAAGGCTTGAGTAAGAAAATGCGACTGAAGCCGGGGGCGGTTCCCCGCTTCCAAATTGGGCTAGAAACGGAGGAAACGAAAAACCGGCAGAGTATAGTAGAACAACGCAATAACAAACGCTTGGTGAATGATCTTTTGGCTAATTCAAATGCCAATGCCGACAACAAAGCTGAGCTTCAGCATCATGAGGATACAGTAGAAGAAGCAAGCAGCGGCATGGTTGATTTCTTGGATGTGGAAAGCTCAGGAGCAGTAATCGATGAACTGAACAACCAAATGTAAGACAAATAATATATTTAAATAACTCGATTCCTAACTGTTGCCTTAATTGCAGCAAAATTCTTCAACAAAAAAATCTACGCTTAACGGTCAACTTTCAATTGGCACAGAAAAAATACAAAGATGATGTTAAACATCTGCACAAACAATTGTTTCAAGCTAAATCGAAAATATTACTTCTGGAGCGCCAGATAGAAGAAGACTCAAAGTAATATTCGAATTCAAAAGTAAACGAAAAAGTGATAACCTCATTAAAAATAGTGTCCTGTTTATGGTTGCAAATATCATACAAAGACTGCACTCAAGTGCCAAATACTGCAAATATTTAGTTAAATGTAAGCATATTAATAAGTTATCTTTTAAGTCTACAAATCACTTATGTAAATAACTATTTACTTATATGCAATATATTTTGTGAAGCAGAAATTGTTTGCCACTGTTAATTGTCTTTGGACTTTGCAACTTTTCCCACTGTATTCGCAGTTTTGTGCGAAACTTTTGCTCTGCTACCAATGCAGTCGCCGCCTCTTTCTGACTCTCTCGCTCTCTCTCTCTCTCTGACTGTCTCTCGTTTTTCGCTCTCTCTGTGTGTGTGTTTCGTCCTGTGAGTGGGGGTAGGTGTGAGGGGCAACGTCGAGACAACTTTATCGATCCATGGCTGATACGCATTGCTGGCTGGACTGCGCAATGTTGCATACCCGCAGGCGCCGCATGTAGTCTCGACTAGCAGAATCAGGCAACATGCAACTGATAACTGATAAATTACGTTAAGATTTTCACACAACAACGGCCGCAAATAAAAAAGAAAAAGTACAAGATAACAATTAACAACTTGGGAATCTTAGACAATTAGCGCTGCTCTAATTGTTGTTGCGCCTCTGTGGCGCCAATTAGCCAAAAAGCCACGTTTACCGTGGTATCCAATACGCGACTACTCAACTCACTCGTCTAACGATTGCCGCCGACTGTGGCGACTACACTCGTCGCGTACACGTAGAGGACGACGCCCTTTCATTGTGACCTGCGCTGACCTTTGTTGTCTGCCGCCAATTGCGATGCTAGTTGTTGTTGTTGTTGTTGCTGCTGCTGCTGCTGCTGTCTGCAAAAATTTGCGTTTTTTATTGGTTTTTGTTTTTCATATTTTCTGCGAGCTTTAAGCGGCGGCGGCTGCTGAACATTTCTTTTTTTGGGGCTGCTACTTGTTAAACGATGCAGCTTTCAGATTGGGCTTAATTTCATTAATTAATACATTAGCCAAGTAGATAAGGGCTGCCCATCCCCTCCGCTCCCCTCCACTTCTATCCCCTCCACTAGCTGCACACCTCCTGCGGCCCACCTCAGCTCTTAACTCATTTGCATATTGCGTGCAAGCAGCAGTTATTACACCTGACCACATTATGTACTTGGTATGGCCATCTCGCTCGACTGACTGGCCGTCTGTTAATAAGCCAGACGTGCGGAGACAGACATTCACGAACTGTGCACGCTGTCCTTAACCCTTAAGCGGTACACCAACCCCCCACTCCCCCCTCTGCCACCACACCTGCCCTAACAACCAATACAAAACGGGCAAACGCCACACATTTTCTGGGTGTTGTTAATAATGACGAAAACTGTTTGCTCTCGCAGTGCGCTCGGTTGTTCCTCTCTTTCTCTCTCTCTCCCATTCTCTGCCTCTCTCTCTCTCTCTCTCGTTCTCTCTTTGTCAGTCAATGCATTTCTTTGTGTGTGTAAGGTCAATGTCGTTTGGTTCGTTGTGGCATGCCCCTCCTAGGCAGAGACCCCCTGTTCCCCCTCCGCCAGCACTGCATGTATCGAGTTTGAATACATAGAGACCGACGCTGTTGACGCCGTTGCCATTCATCCAAGCCGCCGCCTATGACTCAAGTACTCGGACTGACTCTGGACTGACTCTGGACTGTGTGTAATTTTTATATATTTTTTTTATATTCTCATTCTTTGCTCTTTTCGTTTTTGTTTTTTGTTTTTGTTTTATGTTTTTTTTTTTTTTTTTTTTTTTTTTTGCAGCTGATGCGCCTGTTTCTTTATTGTCTGGCGTTCGTTTTCAAAGGCAGATTAATTTTAAACAATTTTGGGTAGAAACAACGATAAAAAAAATTACTTATGCGATGCATTATACACTTCACATACTGCTTACACCTGCAGCAGAGCTTGGTCTACGCTTAATTGATGCAGAAATTGCATGCAACGGAGCTCTGTAGAATGGAAAGCCAAGCTCGAATGGGGCCGAGCCGGGCTGAGCTGAGCTGGTGTGTCTTGTTGGCTGGCTGACTGGCTGGCATGTTGTTGACTCTTCTCATGCAATGATGATTAACTATATTGCACTAGCCACATAAACCAATGAGTCACACGCACATCGTACCACTTAAATCGATAGACGGCTCATTAAAGAAAAACCCAAATAATTAAACCAAAAATATTTTGCAGTTTTCTTTCTTTTTTCTTCTGTTCTAGTAAGCAATTAAATTGTAAAGAAAAAAAACTTACAAATGAGCATCTGATTGCCTGCAGCCAATTTAAAAGATATCTGGTTATGCAACAAGGCATTCTGGAATTTAAAAAATTAATATGCAGCTCGAAATCGCAAGCAGACACAAATAATAAAGTAATATTCTGCAAATAAAATGAATACATTGAAAATTGAACATGCGTATTGAAAAGTGTGCTAAGAAACTGAATTTCTCAACTAAGTAGAGTATAATATATACTGAGTATATCTGGTATCTAGTCTCATAATATTAAAATTATTTGAATGCCTTGCAATACAGCATTTGAAGATCCTCATCCGAAATTAACAAGCAACTTCAATTTGCATTCACTCTTAACTTTTGGCAGTTTCCAACTCCCCCAATATATTTCAAAATTCTATTTTGTCTATTTGATCTTGGAAATTATGCTTAAAATTGAAGCTGGACTACTTGCCCGGGTTGGAAATTGTTTTTGCACTTACTGAAATCAATGAGGAGTCGACCGTAGCCCTTGCGTTGATATGGAGGCAGGGTAAGAATACAGGATACGTTATAGAATGAGTTTTTCTCCTGCAAGAATGGAATATGCTGAAAGAAAAGATATGAAATATATTGTTAAAAATAAAATATATAATAAAGCACAAGTTTTCAACTACATTTTTTACATTTACCCAATTAGATTCCTCTGTCAAACAGAAGCGATCAATTAAAGCGATCGAACACTGTATAAATGCTCTTTTTATTGAACTTAAGCTATTGTTTTAAGCAAGGAAACAATATATAATAATACATTACAGCTAACTCTAATATGACAATTAAATCAACAACAAAAAGCTGCAGGCCAAACACAGGCTCAAACAAAAGTCAATCGGCTGGACTGGCAAACATTTATATATATGCTATATATGAGGCGGCAGGCAGACGGACGGACAGACAGACAGAGAGACACATAGAATGTGTATTTTTGGTAGACGGAGTGTCAGACAATTCTGGTTGGGGGTTGTCATTTATCGCTTCTAGCTTTTTCGGGAGTTCAATGACCGACCAGGCGACGTAGGAATTGAATCGATGCTCTGCAGAGTGCGATGCATAAATACACATGCAGAGCATATATCTATATATACATATATATATAGTATATATGTGTGTACATCTGTGTATATGTATAGATAGGTATGTTTATATAGAATTATGGTATATATGATATATAAGCGTAAGGGGCTTGCACATACGCGTAAAAAGAGAGCGGGCGAGATGACAAAGAGACCAACAAAGTTTTCCCGACTCTGACTCCGACGCAACGAATGTGGCAGAAGTGGGGGAACGGGGCGTTTGGGGCGGAGCGGGGGATATTGCCAAAAAATGCGACGTTGTCTGCGGCTGCTGCTGCTGCTGCTCATGCTGGGTGTGAACCAAAAGGCAACAATTCGCAATTCGGAAATACATTTATGTACAACTACGTTGAGTTTTTATTCTTTGTTTGTCCGCGTCTGCCATGATGTCTGGGAACGCACATACGAGACAATCAGCCCATACTCCCCCTTACAAACAGTTGGAGCAGGCGCACGAGCATCATCAGCTTCAGCATCAGCAGTAACGAGCAGCGGACCGCCGAGGTGCACGACCTCAATCGTGTACGCCCCAGCAGCAGCAATGGCAGAGGCAGCAGCACCAGCAGCAGCAGCAGCAGCAGTAGCTGCAGAGGCAGCAGCAGCATCCCATCTCCAAAAAAAAAAACAAAACCGAGAGCAGCTCAAATGGCTGCCTGCCTGCCCCAATCCGTCATGTCTGGCTGCTGTCTGGCATAGTTGCGCAGCATGGAGTTGCATGGTGGCAAGTACTACACAAAGCATTGCCGAAAATTATTAACGTGCCACACACACACACACACTCCCCCAGACTCAGTCAACATGTGGTATGAGCCATGTAAACTAGACACCCAAATAGCGAGTAGTGTGTAACCAGCTGCTGCTGCTGCTACTGCTGCTGCTCCTCCTGGTCTGGGATGAATGGAAATACAGAGTTCGGGTTTGGGAATGTGCCTGCGCAGCAGCCAGGCGCGACATGCGCAATTTGTAACACAAACCCAGTCTCTGGCAGCGCCCAAAAAACTTGTATGCAACTGCAGAGACTCTGGCTAGACTCTCGAGCCGAGCATGTTCAGGGGGAGGTCAAGAAACCGTGCGCACATCACAGACAATCTACGTTTGTTTTTGCTGTTTGGTTATTCCTTTTTAGTTTTTTCTTTATCCCTTTTTTTTTTTTTTTGCTGGGGAAATGTGCCCCGCCTGCCACGCCTTCGATAGTGTCTCGCGGTTGACAAAACAATTTTTGGGTATGGTCAAGAATGCGGCCTGCTTCTGTCTGATACATAGCCAGCCACAGCAAGCAGCGCCTCTATCTATCTATCTATCTATCTATGTAGTACATGGATGCTGTGCCTGGGACTTCGTTTTGCCTGCTGCTGCTGCTGTTGCTGCTGCTGCTCATGTTGTTGTCTGTGCTTTGCCTGGCTCTGTCTGCAGACATAAAAGAATCATAAAACTGTGAAATGGTATTATTCAATTTGAATGCAAGTAACAAACTAAAAGTTCTACGTGCACCCAACAAGAAATTCTTCTCGGGCAGGATTAACAATGAGTCTTGTCTTATTTATAGATATAGTTAGAGATTATCTTCATATTCACAAAAAAAAACCTCACTTTATATTTAAAAAGTTATTTTTAAAGCCTTTCGGCAGCTAATGCAACTAAATCCACTCAGCATTTAATATGCATTGCATTTCTGCAAAATATTTCATAATGCCAATTTAGATATAGTTTAATTTGCAATATTGAAACAATTTACTTGGTTGCAAACTGACTGCATTAGACTGCATTAAAGATACTAAACCAAATCATAGCAGAAAATATTTCATAATTTAATAAATAAAACTATTCGGTTATTTGAAATTATCCTAATAATTTGTTGGGTAATTTTGGAATGTGATAAGCAATTCGATAAAAATAATTAATTCCAATACAGTAAAATATTCATATCTCTATTTTATATCTTACGTTCTCTAATAAAAGAGAAAATTCATATTTTAAATATTTATATAGAAAAGTGGAACACTTAAAAGTCAAAGCGCATTGAGTGATTTATAAAATAATTGCCAAAATGCTTAGGTATACATTTTGAAACCTTTACTGAATCAATAAATATTCTGTCGAATATTTAGTCTTTACGCAACTTCAGTTAACTAATCATTTATATTATCCATTTACACTAAACAATTAATTTATGCTGAGGATTGATGTAATTGTTTGAAGCTTACCTTGCTGAAGTAGCCGACAATGTGACAGCCATCGACATCGGCCAAGGTCATGATGTAGAAGAGAAATGGCTCCACGTCATAGTAGAGCGTCTTGTGGTCCAGAAAGAACTTGGCTAGCAGGCAGAGATGCTGACAGTACTGTTTATACCGTTTGCCATCCACTTGCCACACCTGAAGCTTGCCCTTGCGATAGATTTCGTCGCCGGGCGGATGACGCCAAACGCATTTCTGGGCGTGTCGCTTGATGCCCGTCTCCGATTTTTGGTAGCGCAGACAGAACTCACAGATGTACATCTTGGGCAGGCGGGCGGCATCATCTGGATAGGGCGACTGATACCACACCTTCATTTTGTACTTGCCCATGCTGATATATCTGTGTAAGAATGAAAAAGATCTTTTAGAAAAACAGTGGAAATTGCAAGGAATGCAAACGTACTTGATGCCTTTGCCAACAGGCAGATCCTTGAGCTCATCCTCGATGCGCTCGGAGGCCTGGGCCTGCGCCTCGCGAAACAGCTGCAAATCGTAATCGGGCACAAGCCCAGCCAGACTTGGCTCACGATCCTCGTCCCTGGACTCCTTGTCTATCTTGACCTGGACATTAAAAAATGGGCAATATTAATCAATTTGAAATGTAAAGGGAAGATAACAGTTTAATATTATTAAATAATTATGAAACAAATAAAAACATTCAATATAAACACAGATTGACAAATAAATAATGAGACAAAAGTAACTAAAAACTATAAATTTGTACATCGGGTATATGGCTTAAATATACAATAAGAAATATTCAAGTCTTTAATTTGAATGTATTTTCATTTATTGAGTTTCAGATTTCCTGTGCAACTACGAACAGCATTCCAAATATTTGAGGAAATAGTGAAACTGGCAACATATTTGAATATAGTATTTGAAATTGTTAAACAAAAGACGCACCTTATCGTTTAGGAAACTGTGGCTCATTGGACGAAAAGTGGAGCGAGATTCGCGTATTTTGGCCAGAAACTCTCGCTGCTCGGGCGTCAGAGATTTGAGATTGCTGTGCTGATTGCCCGGCGTGCTGACAATGTTGATGGGCAGCTTCAAGCGTTGCTCGTTGCGCTGACGGCGCTCATTGGCACGCTCCTTGCACTCGGAGGCGGACATGTTGTGATAGATGGGACACGCCTCGGGCAGAAAGTGACGATCCAGATTGCCACTGAGATGGCCCGAGGAGTCACAGCCCTCGATCGGACACTTCTTCTCCAGCTGCACAGCTGGCGAGATGGGTCGCGATTTGATGGAAGTCATTTCCTTCTTGACCTTGCATTTGCTGAGGCTGTTGTTGATGTTGTTCATGCTGCTGAAACCGGCAGCTATCGCGGACTTCTTGGCTGGACTCTTGGAGTGGACACGCTGCTTGTCGTCCTGCTCCCTGTCCAGCTCGGGATCCGTTTCCGTTTCGCTGCTCGGCTGCTTGGGCTGGTGCAGCTGCTGTTGTTGCTGCTGCTTGGAACGGCGCATACTCAGCGAGCGGGTGAGCTTACGCATGGGATTCGCCTTATCCTTGCGCTCCTCCTCGCTGTCGCCAACGATGACCCGTTTGCCCTTCGGATTCGCTTTGCCCGTCGGCGGCTGAGAGCTGTACGAGTTGCTTGAATCACTGGCCTCCGATTCGCTCATGGAGCTCGTCTCCGACCCGGAACCACTGTCCGAATCATCGCTGCCATCGCTGCTGCGACTCCTCGCCCGTCGCGCTGCAGCTGCTCCTCCTCCTCCTCCTGCTCCTGCTGCTCCATTCTTGCTGTTTGCCTTCGCTTGCAGCGCCTTGGCGCGCATCTGTTTGGCTCGCACAGCGGTCGCAGTGCTCGCCAGCTTCAGCGGCACTTTCCGTCCATTTTTTACCTCCTTGCGCGAATCATCGGTGCTGTTCGAGGAGGAGCTCAGCGAGGGTCGTTTGTTGTTGCCATTTGTTTTTGCTGGCAGCGTTGCTTTGCTGCCAGATGCTGCCACTGTTTGCTTTGCTGCCGCGCCAGTTGATGGCTTTCTTCTTGCTGATGCTGCAGCTGCAACTGCCCCTTTTCCTGCACCTGCCACACTGTTGCTTATTGTGCGCGGATTCTTTTTAGCTGGCGGCGCATCATCGACATCGTCATCATCATCATCATCGTCGTCGCTGGAGAGTGCGCCATTCCGCTGGTTGCTTGACGCCACCACGGCGCGCACCTTGCTCGCTGCCGACGCCAACGGGTTGCTGCTGGCGCTGCTATTGTTGTTATTGCTACTGCTGCCGGCTGCAGCGGCGGATTTCGGTTTCTCATTTTCGCTTGCTTTGCGTCGCACTGCGGTTTGTTGTTGCTTCGCTGGTTGGGGTTTCTCCTCGGGCCTTGGTGCTCCGGAACTGCTCGAGTCGGAATCGGAGGAGCTGCCGGTGTCGGAGCAGCTGGAGGAGCCACTCGATGAGCTGCTGCCCGATGTGGAGCTCGAGCTGCTGTTTGTTTCCATGTTGGCGGCCTATTTGCAGCAACTATGCGCACAATTTGCGTATTTGTTTTTATGCAAAATATGTGCAATTTTTATGTTTGTATTCGATTTGCATCAAAATGAGCAATTGAGTTTGTACTGCTCCGTACCGAAACTAGTTCACTGTGGCAATCAGCTGAGGCAATGGAATCCAAGTTAGAAGGTTACGCAATGCGCACGTGAGCAATTTTTTTTTTTTTTTTAAATACCTCACTTTTACACATTTATATTTGAAAATTATTTCTTTTATAAACAGTCTAATATTCTGCAAGGCTTACAGCTGTGGTGTACATATTGTTTTTGATGTATTCCCTGCAATGTTGAGAAAGTGACGTCAGAACTGCTTGCCTTACCGATGAATGAAAACATTAATCGTTACTAATAGTCGTTACTTCTTAATAGTCCATCGCTAATCAGCTCGCAGCTGTTTTATTGTGTTTGTTTTTGTGGCATATTTTCACTCAAATTTGGCGTCTATTTGAAAAACCTAAACAAACATAGACAGATTGTTATTTGCTTAAGTATTTAAGTATTCGGCATTTATTCAAAGCATGTACAACGCAGAATGCATTGCCATAAAGGATATAAAGCCTGGTCTCAAAAACATAAATGTTATTTTCATAGTGCTTGAGGTTTGTTATCGATAACAAAAATTACAGCAAATTTGATTTGTATTTTTGTTTGTTTTTGTTACGAATAAATATTAAATGCATTGCATTTATTATTGGTAGGTAGGCGTGGCGACTGTGACCAAAGAGAATCGAGAGGTGCGCAACTTTAAGGTGGGCGATCCCACAGCCAGCATTAACGTGTCCATCTGGGATGAGCCCGGCAAACTGATAACACCCGGCGACATCATCCGGCTGACCAAGGGGTATGCGTCGATTTGGCGGCACTGCCTCACCCTGTATTCGGGCAAGAATGGCGAGGTCTTCAAAATTGGCGAATTCTGCATGATATTCAACGAGGCGCTCAACATGAGCGAACCCAAACGGGCCGAGCCGTCGTCAGCAGTTCCCCAGGCCGGACTCGGTGCCGTTGTGCAGACGCCTGTTGTGGCGCCTGTGGGCGTGGCCGCTGCCGGCGCTGTCCAGCCGCCAGTGGGCACAGCGCCGACGGTGGCTGTGCCGCCCACCATCGTAAAACAAACGGGTGGACGCGGAGGACGAGCCGGAGCGGCTCGTTCTGGCGGCCTGAAATCGGAACGCAGATAAAATTGGAAATGAGGCTAAAAGGCAAACGAATTATTAAATTAAGTGAAATTTTTATTGCGAATAGTAGTGAACAGTTTGAAAAGTCTGTAAAACATTGTTGTTTTTTAACGGCATCTGCAAGAATTACATGCATACAAACATACATAAAAATGAGAAATAAATATTGTATTTTTATAAGACAGCAACTAATAATGATTATATAGGTGTATGTGAGAGAGTGAGTGTGTGTGGAATTAGCTAAAGCTAGAGCTAGCCGCAACGCTTATGCCTTCTTCTTCTCGTAGTTGGCCTGAACGGCTTTCAGCAGCCAGCCAACCTCCTCAACTGTCTTGATCTGATAGTTGGCATAGGTCTTCAGCGTTGGCAGCTCCGACACACGGAACGTCTTGCCAATGCCATGTAGCACCTTAATGGCATCCTCATCGGTGGTATCATCACCCACATAGATGATCTTCAAGTTCTTGGCCCAGTCGGCATCGAAGTGCTTCTCCAGAATCATCTTGGCGCCCTCTCCTGCAAAAAAGGGGGAAAAATATTTATTTTTTAGAAAACAATTTTAGGATATACATCTATTGTGGAGTTGAGAATAGCATTTGAAAAACTATTCACTAAGCCGATTTCTTAGTAAGTTGATACATAATCAATTTGCGAGAAACGGGTAACAAAATATAAATTTTTTTAATTTTCATGCGTGCTTCAAATTACTTTTCTGTTTTCGAAAATTGGAGTATGCCTGAATATTTGATTATAAAAGTTTTATTAAAACTAATAAGATAAATATGTTTTCTAATTATAATGCTTTTTTGTACGATTTACATCTTTTGCTTTGGGTAAATTGATCCAAATTCATTATAGGCGTTTATCCATTCAATCAGAATTGTTTTTGAATTGGTGTTATGCATTCTGGAGAATTTGATTGGTTGCCAATACATATATGTTGTAGATACAAGTGGTGCAAACAACAACAATGTTTTATTTCTCTTCGGTTTTTCAAATATTTTAAAGCGTTCACTCGCTATATATAAAGCTATAACCGCCTGCAGCGCTGAACGGGCCAGAGATTTATCTATATGTACGCTCGATATATTCTAGGCGTTATTTTTAGTTGTCTGTGTGGGCGTGGAGTGAGCGAATTGTGTTTGGCCTGCGACTCGTCAAGTAAATGTATGCAAACCACATTTGAAGATCTACAATTCTATATGTGTGTACTCTATATATATATATATATATATATATATATATATACATATGTACATCTATCTCATCCAAAGAGCTGCCTTTTGATTATTTTAATTATGCGGGTTTTTGTGTTTTTGTTTTTGTTTGTTATTTGTTTTCTCATTTTTTTCTTGCCACCTATTAACGCTACATTTTTGTTTAATTGATGACGCATTAGCATTCGTCTCCTGCCTTTTCCCGTCCCAAGTATTGCATTTTTTTTCAGACGGCACCAACAATTCTGATTCTTGATCTTTTGTTGCTATTTCATAGCATGCGCTTGGCAGGCTTTCATATTTCACGAAATAGCTAGAAAATAAATATTTGAGCATCGTTTTTCTGTGTCTGTTTAAATGTTGCTTTTTTGTCTTACTTGCAATATTTGTCCACTAAGAAATTTATTGCTCCCGAAGGCGGGACAATCATAATTAAAATTTATTTGCCATACACAACTATTTGTTGTCTTTTGAATTATGCACATTTGTCGCAGCTCGTTGGAAATGTCTGATTTAATTAAACCAGACGCGATTTGTGGATCATTTTGGAATTTGACTTATAATGTGGCAGTTGCAATGGAATTTTTTTTTTGTTCTATTTACGTATTCCTTTAGGAATTCGTTTATGAAATTAAAAAGGTTATTTAAATTTCGAATAATTCGGGCAAATTAAAATTACACTCCTCTCGGTAGAGAAAATGTACTCTAAGTATTATCAATAATTCAATTATATACAATTTTAAATATTTGATATAAATATTTGATTAAGAAAATGTGTTAATAAAAATATAGTATCTTTGGTGCAGCGTATCTAATAAAATCGCTTATGTATCTCCTCAATAAATACATTATATATGCTACGTTTTCCGATCTAAACTTGTATCTAAAAATATATAAAAATCATTTTGAAGCATCGCATCATTTGCTAAAAATGTTTCAAATTAGATGCGCTTAGTTTGAAATCATTAAAAAACTGCTTCAATGCGGCATTTTAATTGCAAGTGTTTTCAAAAAGATCTCATAATTGCCATTTCATGTACAACATACTTTTAAAATAGAAACCACTCTAAGTCCTATGACAAATTTGAGTGTAAATAAAAACAATATTCTGAATACATTTCAACAATTTCATTTGAAGTGAAATCGAAAAGTTCTATGAAAAATTACACGAAATTAATAATTTCTCATAAGGCAAGTAAACAATTTTAAGTATAGTCATATATGTATTTATAATATCTAAATGGTGGCGCGCTTTTGACATCAGATTTCGGGCTGGTTGTTTGTCAAGAGGGGCACAAAAAAAAAAAAACAAAAAATGTTTGAAAATTTTTTTTCGACACTGACTGCTGTGCTGCGGCGTCTGTCGACATAAATTTTAAGATGTATATTTTAATTTTCGAAAATCGCTTCTATTCGGTTTTTTGTGTCTATGTGGGAATATATTATTTCTAAAATATATCTAAGAAAACAACCGCCCACATGCCTGGGGCAGAAAAATACATTTTTGCGCCCGTGCTTTCATAGAAAATACGGCAATAATTAAATCATCGAATCTTTGTGTTCAAAATCGAATTGTTTCGAACAGGTGCCGAGGACGGAGCAGACGACAGCAGATTGGCGACAACAGTTGGCCAAGATCAATGATTTATATATTGTTATATAGTATATGTATTGGTTTAGTAAGTCATTGATTAATGGTTAGTTGTATTGCTTTTGTCCGGACTAACCTTTGTCCCAGTTGACGCGTGGCTTGCCCTCCAGGGCATATGGCGTCTCGATCAGCTGGAAGCCATGGGACTGAATCAGACCCTTGGCCTCGGCAATCAGTTTGGCCTTCAACTTATCGGTGACACCCTTATAGTGATAGGTCACCGAGATCTTCTTGTCCTCCACCCAGGCGCCAGAGCAAACAACCTTTTAAAATACAAAATTTTCAATACACAAATTTAAAATTTTGGAATTAATTATTTTGTTCTTACCTTCTCCTTCAGTTCAGCGACCAGTTTGTTGTGCTTCTCGAGCAGCTCCTCGGGCATTTCGATCTTGAACTTCTTGCCGGATGGATATTCAACTTCCAGACCGTGATTGCCAGCATAGGTTACATTGGGGAATTTGAGATGATTCTTGATCTCGCTCAGTTCGCGTCCAGAGAACACAACCATGAAGATCTTCTCGTTGGCAGCCAATTTCTTAATGTTGATCTCAGTGTCCTTGGGCATGACAGATAGTTCCTCGGTCAGAGGAGCCAGTGTGCCATCGTAGTCCAGCAACAGGACAACCTGATCCTTATCGGCGGCGATGAAACTGATCGCGCAAAATTAGCCACATAATGTTGGATATATTGTGTGAACAGTTGTGTATGTGGTCTCCACTTACCCATCCAGAGCCTTGACGTAATCCTCCTCCTTTTTCAAGAGCGGTGCCTTCTTTTGTTCAGCCATACTGAGACTAGTTGACTCTATATATGTAATATGTATCTACCGGAAACTGTGCGACGTGCTGGACGTACCTCGACCGACTTAATACTAATGCCCAAGCAGCGCCAACGCCAGCCCCACGCTGCAGATCTATATGTACCAAATATATACGAAAACCGATTGAATATAGTCTCTCACCAATTCTCACGCTCGCTCACTAGTGTGGCAACTCTGGCAGTCGCTCGACTCTTGGCCAAGTAATGTGGCACGTTATTTATGAGGCATGTGCGCATAAAAAAGGCATGCATACCATATTGGAACCTCACCTCATCATATAGATGTGTGTGTGTGAGTGTGTTTTATATATAGCGTCACTATTATATACACAATCTAAGTATTTTTATTTTGTTGGAGCACAGCGAGTGGTTGCCGACAGTCGATGGTGTGGTGGAGCACCTTCGTCCGAGGTCGTTATTGTTGTTATTCTCTGTTTTTTGTTCTTTTTGGAATGATACTCGTTGACACACATCTCACCAGGAATTTATTGCTTTTGACTTGCAAGATTTCATTCATTGTTCAAGTGCTATTGGCCGATGTTGAACCATTGTAAACATGTTTACGATTGATCAATAAGCATAATAAAAATTACAGCTCCTTGGTTTGCTTATAATAAAGTTGATTATTTATTAGAGCCGAAGGAAGTGAATAACTATTTATGAAACAGTGGGCATCGTTGCTTTCAGTTTCTTCATTCTTCTGATACATTTTATCAACAAAACATAAAAAAAATCTCATTATTTGATTTGATATAAAATAGTAATAATTTCTGATATGAAAACTAACCTCATTAGAAATTCATATGGTGACCAATTGTAAATATAATGTTTCATTGAACATAAATTCATTAATATGTTCTAGATCTCAGATACATAGGCAGAAGCTATCCATCGGAGCAGATCCGTCATCAGATCCTGTTTGGGCAATCGGAAGTCAGCGAAGGTTTCAACCTGAGCATCATCTGCAATACGGAAGGAGCGGCCCAAGCCCTTCAGCACCTAAACAGTAAGAAAATATTTTAATTGATTTTCGAGAATGAATAAGTTTTGACTTACCCTCATGGCATCCTCATCGGTGGTATCGTCACCCGCAAATACAACGAGAACCTCCTTTGACCAATCGTCGCCGAATTTTTTGTTCAGGATGTGGAGAGCTGCCTCGCCCTTATTCCAATTGACTGGGGGCTTTGCCTCGATGGCCTCATGGGCCTGATTGGCATGGAAACCATGACGTTGACAGATTTCTATTGCCAGCTTCTTTTGCTCATCCTTGAGTGCAACGGGAGTGTCCCGATAGTGATACGTGAGTGAGACACGTTTATCCTCCACCCAGGCGCCATTCTTCTCTAATCGCTGCTTCAGCTCCTCGACCATGGCCATGTAGTTCTTCTTTATGTCAGCGGGCAACTCGTAATCGTGACGTGACCCGTCTGGATGCTCAATTTCGAGTCCATGATTGCCCGCATAGGTAACACCATCGATGTTTACTTGCGCCTGCACATCCTTCAGTGCACGGCCAGAAATCACAGACAAAAAGATTTGTGGATGCTTGGCCAACTTGTGCAATATGGCTTCCAATTCCGAAGGTATTTTAGTCTTGTTAGGATTGTCCGCAATGGGCGCCAAGGTGCCATCGTAGTCCAGTAAAATTGCCAGCTTTAAGTGCGTGCCCAAATATCTAGAGGGTACATAGAGATAAAATTAGAACAAATACAGGAACAAATTAAAAAGTGACTATATAAAAATGATAAGTTATTATAAAGCAATTATTATTTCAAATTTTTAATTTATTGTTTTTGGATTTTTAATATATTTTAATTAAAAATGTGTATTTTACATTACTATGTTAAGCAACTCATATAAGTTCAATTAAGTATTTAACAAAATTTTCTCGCAACCAAACATTTTTGTTTAAGATTTGTAGAAATTATCTTTCTCAAAAACAACTGCAGCTGCATTATTTACATATTCTGGCTAATCTGCCTTATCTGCAATGCTCTTTCCATGACTTTTTTTCATTAACAAGGTCAAAAAGATAATAAATGTGCTTTAATCTCTTACCCTGGCAAGTGCTGCTCGAACTCCTCCAATCGACTGATAACTGGTGGAATTTGTCTCTCCGGCATTTTGTCAGCTGTTGAATGCCAAGCCAGGTTCAATGTGAGATTTAGTAGCTGGTATGTGTTTAGAAAATCCCTGCAATTGAGAATGATTTTTGTGGACTTAGATTGTGTCTGTATGACTGCTCAACTTGTACTGTGAGTAGGTAGAATAGAGCAGTTTGCTTATTAAATCGCCGGGTTCGATAGTTCGTTTCAGCTGATAACAAACCTCTCGCTCAGTTTCTAATCGCTGCGACTCTAAAGCAAGTTTGTGTGACGTCATTGAATATTCTAAAGGCTCTGTGTGATCTTTCCCAGCTCGTGTCGCTCGTGAATTTGTAATTGCTGCGAGATTGCTTCAATTGTCGCTCGCTGTTAAAATCGCTAGCAACATTTTGCGGAGCGTTAGAAAAGGTAAACTAGCTGGAAAATGTAGAGAGAAAAACTGTAACTAAGAATGCTTATTGCGATTTAGGCATGGCTTCAACTTCAACTTCAATTCAATATCATATTCAAAATATATTTCTCTAAAATGGTAAAGTTTATTGCTATTTTTTGTCGATGTTTATCGATGTTGTGTCAGCGATGAAAGTTATTAATAAGAGAAAAATTAACTAACTAAGGTAAACATAAACTAGTTTTTGTAATTCTAATAAATCTATAATTTGATATATAAATAACAATAATTAACTATCTAAAAATTCTAAGAGACATAAACAGATGAAATCCACTTGAATAGATCCATCATCAGATCTTGTTTGGGCAATCGGAAGTCAGCGAAGGTTTCAACCTGAGCATCAGCTGCGATGCGGAAGGAGCGACCAAAGCCCTTGAGCACCTGACCAGAAAGAAAGTTAGAATTGGTTTTAATTTGTGTTTAACTTTGAGAATTTATACGACTTAGACTTACCTTCATGGCATCTTCATCTGTGGTATCATCGCCCGCAAATACAACGCGAACCTCCTTTGACCAATCAGCGCCGAATTTGCTTTTCAGGATATGGAGAGCTGCTTCGCCTTTATTCCAATTGACTGGGGGCTTCACTTCAATGGCCTCATGTGCCTGACTGACGCGGAATCCATAATTTTGTGAGATCTCTGTGGCTAGTTTCTTTTGCTCATCCTTGAGCCCAACGGGCGTGTCCCGATAGTGATACGTGAGTGAGACACGCTTATCCTCCACCCAGGCGCCATTCTTCTCCACTCGTTGCTTCAGCTCTTCAACCATGGCTGTGTAGTTCTTTTTTATATCGGCAGGCAAATCGTAATCGTGACGGGAACCATCTGGATACTCAATTTCGAGTCCATGATTGCCCGAATAAGTAATACCATCGATGCTTACGTGGGCCTGCACATTTTTCAGTGCGCGGCCAGAAATCACACACATAAATATTTGAGGATGCTTGGCCAACTTGCGCAATATGGCTCCCACTTCCACAGGCATTATTGTGTTGCTGGGATTGTCCGCGATTGGCGCCAAGGTGCCATCGTAGTCCAGCAAAACTGCCAGCTTTGAGTGATTACCCAGATATCTAGAGAAGGATGGAAAATGGATTTGTTAACCGACGTTTTAAACATTCATATCAAAATAATATAATCTAGTGATATTTTCGGTCATTATTTGTGGCTTTTGGAAAGTTGAACTATGTCGATAAGAGGATCTGATCTTCGAACAAACATAGATAACAAATTTCCGATGAATTCTAACATGTTTGCTTCAAATTGGCAATATTTTCATTTCTTTTGGTGCTTGTTTGCCTTATCTCATCATATGACTTTCTTTTCACTGCCAAGGTCATGAGGATAATAATGATGATTTAATCTCTTACCCAGGTAAATTCTGTTCGAACTCCTCCAAACGACTGATAACTGGTACAGTTTCCCTTTCCGGCATTATGTCAGCTGCGGAATGCCAAGCCAGTCCCACAATGAGATGTAATAGATGGTATAGAAGTAGTACTTGCACTGCAATTAAGAATTATTTTTGAGGGTTTAGAGCAGAGTCGAACAAACATAGCTTCGAGGCCATCAAGGAGTTAAGACTCTAAATTTTAGACTCTATGCATAGTATGCAATGTGGAACCCGAATATTTCCAGATCGCGCACTTCAACACAATACGCACTATTAAATTTTTGTTTGCTGCTCTCTTTGTCTGGATGTTGTCTGAACGACAGTTTAGTTTTTTCTGTGAGTGCTAGAATATTGCTTATTAATTTTGATTTTGATTTTTAGAACGGTGGGTTGTATGGGTCGCTCGAGCTGATAAAAAATGTCGGGCTGAGCTTCCAATCGCATCGATGCGAAAAAAACAAGTTTATTGTGATCAATTACGGTCATTTACCACTTGAGATGAATTCTCCACTAGACACTGTGCTCTGTCAAGAGATACAAACGATTATGGCTTCTGTTGTCGTTGTCCGGAGTTTTTATAATAATTCGTTGTCGCCATTTCCTCAAACAGTTTCGTGAATTGTTTTTGTTATCGGGAAAACAAAGGCGATGTTTCTCACACCCTCACACTTTCAGAGACCATGGCAATGCATCATGCGTTGGATGCGTGCCTGTTGCATGATCCCCATGCAATGGGGCATTGCGCCCTCGCCTCCATATCTCTTCGTCAAACAATGCATTTTGGCAAAGACATTTACTGCACTTTATATTTATCCAATAAATTAAAGAAATGTAATAAATTTCTTCATTTCTTCTTTAATTTTTGTCTGATAATAAGTAGCAGGGGGCAACTAAACCGACCGTGTGTCTCATGTTTGCTGCTTTTCTCCGAACCAATTGTTTTCATAAATATTTACTACTTGCACTGATTTGATGGGACAGGCGGCATATATTGAGATAATCACAACACGACAACAAACTTTTCCGTAGAATTTTCGGGGTGGGAAACTACGCATTGAAATCTCTTTGGGAAAATCATCAACAAAAGTGTGTCGCCATAAGTGTAATAAAATTATTATTAGCCGATGCAAAGTAAACATCAATGATTACTTTTACACGAAGTAAAAAAATAATAATAATATCAGATATTGCTCGTTGGCTATATATATTCCAAAGTCTGTACAGAATTAATGAATACTCGTCACAAATGTTGAATTTTCTATTTACTTAATGTGGGTTAAAAAGAGACCGCAATTTTTAAAATGTTTTTTTAAGGATAACAATTTAAGTGTAAATTTAAAATCAAGGTTAAAGTTATAAATTGAATGAAATAAAATTAAACGGGAGTACATTAAAAATACGAAATAACAACAGGAAATAATAAATCTTAACACAAAAGAAAAAAAATAGCCTGAAGAAATAAATCTATAATAAAATAACATAAATTATAATATAACAAATATATAACTAAAATAACTAGTCTAAGGTAATCTCTTTTATTGTTACTGAAATTAAAAACTAAAAAGATATGTTATAAAGACAAGGGTACAGGTCACAGCCACAACTACATACGAGTATATATTGATTGATCTTAAATTTATATTTTCTATCTTTAATAGTCTACCAAACTATAGATAAAATCAGTCGCATCGAAATATAGTACAAAAACAATGGCAGATTTCTAATCAAATCAAATATAGGAGAATTGTGACTTAATGTATAAAATTGTCTAGGAAAACTCCGCACGTGCCATTAGCTGGGCAAATGAATCACGTAGTCCGGTTATTACTGCCAGATCTGATGGAATCATGCCATAGACGCATGCTCTTGCTCACACAATTCCCAGACGTGGCCAGGCCAGGCCCAAAATGTTTACTCACGATATTTGCCAGAAAAAAGCAATAGCTACGAGCAGCTGCTGCCGAACGGTAGCAGACAGTAAAGCGCTTCACATAAAGTAAACAGACTGATATCCATGTACGTATATCATATATATATATGAGGGTAAATTGAACTCCGTCATAGCCCTAATTAGGAGCCCTAATCGCATGGCTTAATCATTGAGCACTCCCAATCAAATCTCAGCGTGCTAATGGTCTTTAATTAAAGCGTAAGAGTTTCACGATGTCAGCATGTGTCTGGCTTCAAATGTTCGACAAGCACATTCAAAATATTGACACAAGCATTTTGTAAAGTGTTTAAAATATATTTTTCCATTGATCACCATAGATTTCCGCTCAACTATTGATCTTGAGCTATACAAATATTTTTCACTCACTTCTGATTGAATTGCTTTGATTAGTTGTCACTAATTTTGGCTTTAGATATTCGAATGATTAATGTTGTTGGGTAACAACGTAATTTCTATTTGCTCAAGTCAATTGGTAAATATTTTTCAAACAGTCACAGACATATGTTCTAGATTTGTTCTGAAAGCATTCTGTGTGGTTATTTTTGTTTTTTAAAACTAACGAGCACTAAACAATCGGAGAGTGGGAAAAAGAGACTATTTTGTGGATATCCTAAAAGTATGCTATGAAAATAATTTATATTTGTTCTTGGTCGATATATTATAAGGCAACAGACACAGGAGCTACTCCAGATGTCAGCATCCAAATAAATAAATATGTTTAAGACTATATATAGCATTGCATTGTAGTCGACATTATCTGTGCCTTGCATACCCAACTACATTAAAATAGTGTAAACTGAAAATCCATTTAATGAACTTTCAATCGTGCTCTAAGAATGAATCACTCCAGATTTACGTATGTTGTACATATGTATTCAACATTGTAACCAGTTCTACTTTCAACTGAATTCGGGGCATTCTCCCCCGATCTATATATACACGCACAAGTGTGAGTTTTATTATGACGTTTCGGTATATATACAAAAGTAATCAATACAAACATATCTGGCCTGACCTTCGTTTATAAGCGAGAGACGGGACCCTTGACGGTCTCAGACGCGTTTCAGTTGCACAGTCAGTCGGACAATCTCGTGGGTCTCGTGGGTACATACCAAAAAATGGAAGTTTCCCATATTTTCGGTAGGTTGATAAGCGATTGGAATATAAATAAATCAAACGTAATGTTAAATTGAATTCGTATTCAGCTTTGATCTTGTTGATTGCTGGAGCAGTCGCATATCCACAATTTCCGTCATGGAACAGTCCACAGAACATGAATCCAAATACATTCATCACTGGACAGCCGGTTACACCCACCGTGTCTACAACGACGCCTCAGCCGACCACAGCATCGCCTCGATACCTGGCCTGTATCCAGTCCTGCCCAGCAACCAGTGAATATAATCCCATCTGTGGCAGTGACAATATCAACTATTATAATTCAGGACGTTTCAATTGTGCCGTTCTATGTGGTCGAAGTATGGTTTTTCTCATATTAAAATTGAATCGGCTTTCAATGAAACTTATATATTTTCTTTCATAGATGTTCGGAATCTACATTTGGGAATCTGCAGCACTACGTAGATCACAATTGAATGCGAGTTGCAAAAGTCTTACAATCTACAGTTCAATGCTCATTTAATGACCTTAATAAAATCTGAATAAAAACAAGTAAGAATGAGCTGGTCGAGAATTATCAACTAAGTGATACCCTCCATCCAAAATAAATTATATTTATGTAAAAATCCTCTCGAAAGAATAAAGCACATATTTTGAAATGTTTTTTAATCCATTAATGTATGGGACATATTAGCCCCACTATTGTTCTGATCTGGTCGTCATTATATATTTATAAATATTTCCACAGCTTCGTAAACAGTCAAAAATCGACAATTATTTCGTATAATGTTGAATTTAAAAAATTAGAACGTATCAAGTTATTTTTATACTTGAATTAAATTCCAATAAAGCACACTCTTTATAAAAATTATATTATTGGTACGAAGTGGCAAGCTCTCTTTATCTGGATTATGGCTATAGGGTGTTTCAAAAACAGATTAATCAACACAGATTTCACTGTTCACACTCTCGCTTAAATCGCAGCTTGTCTAATGTGTGGAATGCCGATTCAGTCGTAGTCAGAACGCTTTGCCGTTTGGTGCTTTAGCGCAGAGATTTTAGCGAGAGATATTTTGAACAAGATGATGAGGCCTGGGTTTTCTCACATATGCCGTATGTGTGAAATTCTCAGTGTGTATGTGGGGTATATGTAAAAACACCTATACTTTTATATTTGTAGTGTTGTTGGTGCTGCTGTATGGTGCACTTGCTATTGACAACTCCAATCCCAAGTCACAGGTGGAGTACATAAGTGTGCAACCAAGTGCAGAGAAGCCTCGCATTGTGCCCATAACACGGCCTCCTTTGCTCAATCAGACACCACCACCGCCGCCGCGCGACTCTAAGAATTTTGCATATAATCCGACGACGAATACCTGGACACAAATTGGAAGCCATGATCCTAGACCGGATGAGGATACTTTCATCTGGAATCAAAGCAACGACAAATGGCTAACTAATGTCGCGGGTTCCTAAAGAACCGACACATTTATTTCAATATGATTCACGACGTAATTACATTAATCACCACTTAAAACGACGCACAGCTAAAATGTTTTGTTAAACACGTTTATGTTTCAATATATTTTTAATATATTTAGGGAATATTGCTTCCACAATCGAGTAAGTGGATTATAAACATATCAGTTAAATGAACGCTTTCTTAAAAGAATCTTCTCAAATTCGAAAAATAAACACACTATAATTAATACATGAGTTTGTTTGCAGGTATATATGTATGTATTTACGTATATTATGTATGTATATAGTTAAGTATATATCAACGATGATTACGCAGTGTGCCTGTAGTAGATGCTGACGTCGGCGTTTGCTGTTGCCTCATGCGGCACAGCTCGGTGGCGGTGTAGTTCAGCTTTCGCATCGCATTCTCCGAGAATTTATCCAGCTTGGCAGTGAGCTGATCTACTTGCTCTCTAAGCACTTGCAGCTCAATACGCCAATCGTTCGCCTGCTGTTTCAGTTCCTGCTCTTGACGCAACTGTTGTGGCACATTTGTTGCCGAACGCGGACGCAGAAGCTCATTCATTTGGAAATGTTGCGTCTGCGTTGTGTATGTGGGCTGCGGCTGCTGTTGCTGATTTTGTTGGTTGGGCTGCGTCTTGGATTCCGTCGGATTCGGCAGCTGACGCTGCAGACTTCGACTGAACATGTGATAGTTCTTCTCGAATTGGCGACGTCGCATGCTCATATTGCGATCACGCCTCTCCGCCACCAGCTTGTAGATGTTCAGCTTAATGTCCTCGGGCAGCTGGGAGCGATCCCGTGGATCATTGGGACGCACGGTGAATTGCAGCATGTCGCGCGAGGTGCGTAGCAGAGCTTTGCGCTTGCAGTAATGGACGAGGGGCGCATTGCGCAGCAGGCGGGAGAAGAAGAGACTCTCCAAACGTGATATCAACTCTGCCTGTCGTACCAGACGATCCAGCGTGGCGGATACCTGCAGGCCCTGGATGTCGCTGACGGCCAGGCCCAGCATCAGGTTGGTCAATATCACTGTAACCAATAGCACAAAGGCTAGAAAAATAATGTGAGACGTAACGGGAAACTTAACCGCATAATCGCCATAAAAGATATCCTCGAATTCCAGCTCCCCAGACATCATGGTAAACGATTTTAGCACAGACCACGTAATATTCTGAAAGGCGGGGTAGTCATTGAAGAGCACAGCAAAACTCAAACCAAATGCAATCAGCAAACAGATGTAGGCCAATAGGAATTTGCCAAAGTTAACAGCCACTGGAAATTGTTTTTGAAAGGTAATTCTGTTGCTGAAGTGACTGATTTACAACTCAATACCCTTGGTAAACATTTGCACATACACTCCGAAAATGGGAAAGCGGCCAACCAGCATCATCAGCTCCAGCCACACCAGCAGAATGACAACAGCAGCCACATGATGCTGCCACATTGGCACCGTCAACAGATTACCCGTCCACAATACTTCCGGCGTCTACAAGAAAGATAGATTATATAATATTGCAGAAATGTATTTGGATCTTAGCTATACTAAATTTTCCAAAATATTGATTCCATAACACAGAAATTATACAAATATTCTTCATTTGAGAACTTAATCTTCTGGTGATAAAAATGTTACTTGTCTATAACACATTTCAGAAATTGTTATTATTATTTTTTTTTACCAATTATTGCATGTTTTTATCATACAAAATATTGTCACTTGATTAAAGCTAGTAAATTAAAAAAAAATGTTTTCCGTAATTATCAGTATATGGTAATCATATTTAGCCAGGTCAAACTACATACCACACATAGGAGCACACCGAAGACGATTAACCATTGCAGCCAGTTTTCCCAGTACTTGGCATAGCCATGCAGGCCGTGCGCCATTTGGAAGAGTTCCTTGCCCAGCAGCACAATATTTAGAACAAGCACAAAGTAGCCCGTAGTCATCACATAGCCTGGTGCCTGACATTTCTTGCCCTCCTTGCACAAGCGCACATATACACCGATCACGTAGAGCGTGAACAGCATCACGAAGAAGGTGTGGTAGGCGAGGCTCATGAGGAAGAATTTGCGAATGCGGCGCCACTTGAGGAATAGAAAGGTCTCGCACAACGGATGCATCAGTATACGCTTCTGGCCCACCTCAATGAGGCTCAGCATCAGCTCAGCCTCGCCCTTCTCCGCCGACGAGCTGGGCACCAGCAGTCTGAAGTCCAACTTAATCTGGCAATCGACGTCGCCAATTTCGTGATCATTCGCCTTAATGGAGCTGTCCAGTTTTTGCATTAGTTTGGGTATAATCTCTGGACAGCGACGCACAATGAATGTCAGAGCCGAAGTGTGTCCATCGGTGCGGGCGGTAAGATCTGCACCATTTTCTGTGAATGGGATCGGAGACATCTTTAATGCGTTATAAACCTTACGACAAAATTACAATAGCCTCGACAAGGCAAAAGAATATGTTAAAATGTTTAAGGATTTCCTTAAGGAATTACAAAGCTCATTCAGATGTCACTCACCTATGAAAAGATAGACACAGCTGCTGAATTCATTGAGGGCTGCAATGTGGAGTGGAGTATAGCCGTAGTCATCCGATTTGTTGACATCAGCGCCTGCCTTGAGGAGTGCATTGCAACAGTCCAGACAACGTGACTGCTTCACTATGGCAGCATGGAGAGCGGTGCGTCCGTCCCGATAAATGGCATTCACATTTGCTCCGTATTTTAGCAGAATTTCCACGCTGCTAATCGACTGGGAGAGGCAGGCCAAATGCAATGGCGTCTGCTGGCTGGCATTGCGACAGTTGACATCCGCGCGATGCTCCAACAGCAAACGAACGCATTCCGCATAGTCATTCTCCGCTGCTGCAATGAACGAGTACAATGTTAGCCGTGTATAGTATAGCATATACTTCAAAGCGAATGCAAATCTTACCCAAATGCAGTGCCGTCACTTTGCCTTCACCGAATTGGGAGCGTACATCGGCATTGTGATTCAGCAGCAGCTGTGCACATTTGGAAAACCCGGATGCGCAGGCGGTGTGCAACGGAGTCTCAGTGTAAACCTGCGGTGTGTTGGGATCGGCTCCATACTTTAATAGAATCTCAACGCAGTCCACCGCATTACCGTCAATGGCATAATGCAGTGCAGATCGCCGATTAATGCCAATATTGATATTCGCCTTGCGTCGCAGTAAAAGCAAAATACACTCAACACTCTTCGAGCTGAAAGAGATTTCAATGATGAGTTCTTGAAGAAAAAAAAATTAAGCTTCGATAAAGGTATTATTAATTTCAAGCGAAAATTATGTTTTCCAAATTTAAATGCAGGATAAACCTTGTTTAAGAATCCATTTCTTTTGAAAATCCATTGAGTTAGTCACGATCCAGAAAGCGATATTTGGGATAGCCTACTATGTGACTCACCTGGCTGCGCAATGTAGCGGCGTCACTTCCATTTTATTATCATATCGATTTGGATCCGATCCGCGATCAAGCATTATCTTAGCAATGGGTGCATTGGCCCGACAGCAGGCAAAGTGGAGCGGGGTGCGTCCGCGGCTATCGGAGGTGTTTGGATCCGCATTGTAGTGGGTCAGCAGATACATAACATTCTCAACGTTGCCATAGAGAGCACAGCATAAGAGCGCCAGATTGCAATCGCTTGGCTCGATCATTAGTTCTGCCAAAAAAAAAATGGCAGTAAAAATAAGTTAATTGCCAACTGCTGCCAGCTGCTCACCCAAAAATCCGCCCGATTTGACCACGTCAAATATGTGCCTGCCATTGGGCACCGCGCACATCGTCTCCTCGATCTCCTGGGGCTGCCAGAGAATCTGATTTTGTTGTTGACGTGCGAAAATCTCATGTGCCTCATTACTGAAGACGGCGTCGCTGTTGACCTCACTGGAAATGCTGCGCTTATCAAACAGCAGGTCCATGTCGGCCGTCTCGCTCTCCGACTGCCATTTCAGATCATTCTCCTGCCAAGACAAATAAACCGAAATCAAACAGAATCGTGCCTGAGTGGCGTGTGGTTGGGGAGAGGGTGGGGGCACTTACGATGATGGAGAATCGCACATTTTCCATACTGTTGATTTGTTTACACTTTTGTGGCCTACAAAATAAACTAATTGGTTGACCATAAGGAATCTTGCTTCAGTCCGCCGACACTCATTCATGCAATTTTCCAGCCCATGACACATAAATATGTGTACAGTTCGTGTAATGGCCTGCAATCAATCTTTGATGTTGTTGTCGTCCGTGGCAGAACAGATACTCGCCGTTTCTCGCCACCCAAAGTGGCGTGCTCTGTTTTCTTGATTTTCCCGTAAATAATTGGATGTATATCGTTTGTTTATTTTGAAATATCGAAAATTTTGAATTGTTTTCCAAGCCGCAACACGATGTTCGTGCTAATTATTACACCTCCGCCTCTGCGTTGTCGATCCCGTTGCCATCCACTCTTTCTGTGCTCTATGCTCTATGCCGAATATTTGTTCGCAGTGCATCTACCGTTATTCACGTTCCGTACTCGCCGAGGTGCTAATGTGTACTGGGTGTGGGAGCTGATGGGGCACAAATGACCGCACAAACTTTGCCTCAAAATATATATAAATTTAATATTGCTTTGTACTCTGCACTCACTGAAAATGGGCATGCAAGGTTACAATGAAGTTGTCCAGTGGGAAATAACACAGTTCTTCCGAATAATCGTGTTTGATTTTACAGAATTTAGTATGTTAATAAAGAGTACACTTTATGGGAGTCACCCACTTATAAGATTTTACTTCGATCTGTTCAGATTGTAGAGTCAGCAGAAAGTCCTTTGGGAATCCAATCGTTGATTTGATAATTTGATTTACTACTTTCGTGGGCATGTGGAAAGCAACTCGTTACATGCTTTGGATAAGTGAATTAATTCCCATATCAACGTCATGGAAGAAGATAAGAATACCCACATACTTATAGTAAGTTTAACAAAGAGATCTAGCAGAATCAACGAGTTCTCTTAGTTTTGAACGAAAAATTGTGCAAATGCCACCATATGTTCTTTTATTCCGAAAGCTTCTTAGCAATGTTTTTTTGAGCTTTGTGCAATTTGTGGCAGGCGTAAATAGACAGCGCAGTAATTAAATAATTCAGTCAGTGGACGAGGCAGCGAGTGCTTGGATGGCTTGGGTAAACTGGAAACAATGGCATGGAATTCAATTAAAAATTAATGTTCGAAATATAGGTAAGAATCGATTAATCTGAGTCGTTGCCATTTCATGACTCTAAAATTTCAGATTCAAATTCATGGCAGTACCTTTCCTAATGCACACGAGTTTAACATTGTAATTTTCTGGAGCATGTTAAATGATTAAAGAGCTGAGCAACCTTGACTTTGATACGAATGCTTCACTCAAGCGTTTGGCCTTCAGGGGCAACTAGAACGGAAACTGTGTACAAGATTAATAGATTAAGTGGAACTTTGCATTACAAAATTTCAACATCTCGCACAAGTTAACGTACTAAAAAAGTTTTCTTTGCAAATTACTTGTTGAAGATAGGCAACAACGGATGGACAGGTTAGAGGAGACTTTGTTGATTGAAGCAAGAGTGCGTGGTGGGCGAGGCGAGGCTGCACACCTTTTGGCTGCTGCCGATGCGTAAACAACGGGAATGCAAAGTGACAGCAGCTATGACGACGATAGCATTTGACCTGCAGGAGGGTTAAAGTTGAAGTGGCAAAGGTAAGCGCACACTGACGCAGGCGATCATCATTAGGATTGATAGGGTTAAGACACGGGTCTGGGGCACTTCCTCAGGCATCCAAGCGTAATGAATGCACACACGCAGTGCCTGCCAAAATTAATGCTACCCCCACCCTGACGACAGTGTCATTCTAACCTGTTGCCAATTGAGACTCAGTCGCACTGGCGCTTGTCAAAACCAATTAGTGACTGAGACCCCATAGCGACTGCTGATTAACTGTAAACCCCACAGTATACTATCTTAAATACCCATTAAATCAATGTTCACTTCAGACAATTCAGACCAAATCAAGTAAAATTAATATTAAAGGTAGTGAAATGTGTATAACGATGTGACTTTATAATATATCATTCCTTCCAATGTTTATACAGGTATCTTATCTTAAAAAAAAAAAAATTCCCGAAAAAACACAGAAAAAATATAATCAGACTTTAGCATAAAAATACAAATTTAAAGTCTAGCTCGAAAAACGTCTGCATATTCTTGACTTAGTCCGTCAGGCTGATTATTTTATCTTAATATATATTCATATATACATTTAAATGATTATGATAATTAAGGTCAGAGTTGGCTGCTTCTAAAAGATACAAACAAAAGTATGTACATATACTTAAGCACACGCATACTTATGCACACCTATCCTATGTGGCAACCCACGTGCCCCACGAACGGGCTACCTCCCGATGTCAACAGGTTGCCTGTAAAAGTCTACTTGTGTGTGGCTATTTACACTGAATGTGCGCGTGCGTTTGCCTGTGCACGTGTATGTAAGTTGTATTGGTGTCTGTGTATTGTATGCTTACAGTACTCATGTCGCATAGCGGGCATAAGTAATGTTTGCTTGTTGGCCAAAAAATAATATGAAACACGTGTGGCGCCCCAAACACGCGACAAAGGTCAGCAAAGCAAAACCATTCTCCCAGCGGTCAGATCAACATGTTAAGAATAAAAAAAACCCCATCAGAGTTTTTTCATTAGCACTCACAGTACACACACACTTTTTTAAATAATTTTTTTTTTGTTTATTTAAATACTTTCCTAATTATTTTGTTTGTCCTAATTATTTTGTTTTACACGTTAGCAATGTCCGTGTAACAGTTGCAAAGCAGCTTAACAGCTGTTAACATCTCAAATGCTTATAACACTCTGTTAACTGTTGGAGATGCGCACTGTTTGGCTGGAAACCAGCTGAAATTGATTGCTGGGTGTTTTAAATAAATTTGATATACATTAACTGTAGTAACATTACAAATGATTGACTTTTTAAATAGAATGTTATTATTATATTAAATCAGATATATGCTTGTACATGCATATGTTTGTAGGCATGCTGAAGCTAACTGTTGCTGCTGCTGCTTCTGCTGCTGTTGTTGCTTCTGCTGCTGTTGCTGCTGCCGGCGTTGTTTGATTTGTTTTTGTTGCTGCTGCCGTTGTTTATTCGTTTATTCGCCAGTTTCAACGCCAGCACAACAGACGCGTCGTCGCTTGCTGCCAAACTCCTCATTGCGAAAATTCTCGTGTTGCTGCCACTGTTTGACGTGTTGTTGTGGGCGTGTTGTGCACTTCCGTGTCAGAACTCTTTTACATTTTAGAACTGCACAGAAGAGGGGGCGGTGTGTTCTCGGCTCTCTAGTTGACAACGTCGCGCAGTCGCCACGCGGTTTCCTTTTTTTTTTATTAGTGCTGCTGCCTCTGCTGCTGCGGCTGCTGCTGCTGTTGCTGCTGCTGTTGCTGCTGATGTGGTTGTTGTTGGCGGCCTGTTGCGGATTTTCATTATTGTTTTACAATGGCCTCCTGGCCACGTCGCAATAAGCAGGCATTGGCATCGGAACTACTTGGCGGGGGTAGTTTAAACATGTCCATATAAAAGCGAAATTGCTGTATGCCTTTGACTTAATACGCGACAGGAACTTCAGCGCGAAGGTATCTCAACTGATCAAGAACCAAATGTAAAACACAAATAAATTGAAATAAATAAATATCTAAAGTAATCACAACTAATATATTTGAAAAGTGTATATATAGAAATAATTTCCTGTGGCAGTAATACGGTGCGTATACTAAATTATTGTTAATGTGCTTGTGTGTGCACTAAAATTGAAAAATAATATATATATTTTAAAATTTGGTAAAATAATAAACCCTTGAGCGGTCAAATAAACACGACGTAATTAAAAAATATTCGAGTCGGTTCTTTCCTCTGTTTGTAAACAATCAAAAACTGCACAGTGGTATCCACAAGGTCAGTTCCCTGAGGGGGCTGGTGTAAGGTTTTATTTGAAAGCACCGTTGAAATTTAAGTGAGTTTAAATCTGTTAAACTGATAAGTAAGCCCTCTTGGCTACGTCTCTGACTGCTATATTGTTTATATTTTAGCGTTTCCATTGACCTCGACTGCTGGTTTTTGGCGAGATCATAATTTAGCCAAATTCGTTTTGCCTTCTCATAATTTTCGTGGTATATGCACACATTGTTAGATAGTTTTCATTCAGGTTTCTATGCTCTGCACAAGAGGTATTTGAATATCTGAAAATGAAAGCATCAAGAAAAAATCTTCAAAGACTTTTTCGAGGCTTGCTGAAAAGTTAGATACCTTAAAAATAACATAAAAGACAACTGTTTCAAATTATATTTGTTTTATCTTTTTAAATGATGGTATTACACATATTGAAGTAATAATTTAAATCATATAAATTGGCAGAAATGTTTACAAGAGTATTTCAACTTCAATGTACAGAGAAAGAAAACGTATTTTTATTCTTACAAATCATTTTTAGTAGCTGTAGATAGATCTGAATGTTTCCGGTATGATTTGTGGCTCTGACTTTGAAAAATATTTGAATAATATAAAATTAAACAAAATTGTTGATGACTGTAACGCGTGCGTTTTCATATTTGATTTGTTTGATATGTTTTAAATTTGGCAACAAGGTCATAAAAAAAAAATGATGAAAAGCGAATTTGTTGCACAGTTTGGCGGTCAATATGTGAATGTAGCAGATTGTTTGCCAAGTGCCAATCTAATGAGCGAATTGCAAAAAACCCAAACCACTGCCATAAAGTAACATACTAGTTAATGGCACCAACCGCCAGCGACACCCACACCCATTGACTGCCGGCTTTTACTTGAAAAACCACAAACAAAAGCGGTAACATTTTTATTGCCATACAACCGCAGACGACGGCGTCAGGCAACAGCCAGCAACCAGTAGCCAGAAGCCAGAAGCCAGTGAGAATTGAGTGGGGTTCATAGCACCGCTGGTGACAATCGGCGTATCATAATTCCTTGTTCATTGAGATTGAGTGTCGCCTACGCCGGGGTCATTTACGAGCCGATCGTAAAGGCATTAAAGCTGTGCGCCGCCAAAATGGAAAGCTGCAAGTTATTGATATTCAAAGTACATCAAGCATGCTACGGGTCAGGCATAAAAGTCCCAAGTTGTTAACGGCTGCTCAATGGGGAAACGTCATAAGCCTTAGCACACAATTGAAATTAATGCTCTCAAATAGCATGATGGAAATCAATGAATGCGAATTTCACATGACTTCAGTTATTAAATCGTTATATTGTAATAAGTTCAGCCTATGGATATTTATTAGTGGGAGTGAAAAAGAGAGATATTGGATTATGAGGAGTACTACAAGTGGAGTATGCCTATACACACATATAATGATAAATGTGACTAAGCATAATTGAAATCAATATACATATAAACATTATAAGTGATTTTTGTTATTATGTGAATGCTATGATGAATTTGGTGGGTATAATATTATGATAATATTTATTATTAGCACAGAATATAAAAGATATTTGCTTGATATTCAAAGTACATGTGACAGCGCTCGAGGAGTTTGATTGAGTGGACAAAAAACAAAATTACTAAAAATAAAAGCTTTTGGTTTGATTTTATCTAAAAGGTACAAAGATATAAATTTTTAGCAAGTAAACCAGATACATATGTTATTATGTGTGACAAAAAAAAAAGATTACAAAATTAATTAAAGTTGTGCTAACAATTCAAGCAAACAATTCAAATAGATTCAAGGACACACTAAAGAAGCGATAAGCTTAAAAGTATAGCTTCAGGCCTGTCCTAAAACTCTTACCATTCCAAGATAGTTATCTATCTAAACTGGCCGCTGGCCAGCTTAGGCACGTGCTGGCCTGCTCGCACCACATTAAACAACTAACACACTGAAACACTTGCAACAGCTTACCACGTCGCACACACATACATTCATACATCTTTTCTTATTTTTATTTGTGTGTGTGTGTGTGTGTTCTTTTTATAATGTGAGTACTTGCGGTTTTTGTATCATATTACTCACATTGTTCTTCAACACTGGCCATGAGTTTGAGTTTTTGCGCCCTGACCGTTATTTTTAGTTAAACGTTGCTTATCACTCACGTTCTATTCCTGCGAACCCCCTGACTGCTCCTTCGTTGCTGCCCCGATTGTTTTGGTTGCCACAATCGACAGCGCTGTGTCGGAATTTTGATGAGCAGCCCAAAATGATATTTATAACGCCTGACTCGTATTTATGAGGCTTATTTAACATAGCTATTTGGCTATTCGAGTCCACTGTTAACTTTATGGATGATAACAACACATTTGGCCCACTTTTTGTCATATTCATTTTCTTTGTTTAACATTTTAGCTCTTACCAATATATTTATTGGTTTATTCGCAGATGTTAAGCTGCACATTATTTCTTTAATGCTTGCGATTCATACAAAATAATACTTTTAAGCTCAGATTTCAGAACAATCATTGCACTGTGTTTCACAGTTTGAGCAATTAAACTTGCCAAACTGCAAAGAGTATTTAATATTTCTCAATTTCCATGTGTAAGCACTAAGCAGTGTATTTACTTTTATATCCCGCGTTATTTCTGTGGTCTGACGCCTGGCAACCGCACACAGGAATTTTTGTCATGGCTAATACTCTGTTCAAGGCTGCTCGAAGCAGACGGCTTGTATTTACTTTCGCATGCCACATGGAAATGCGCGACAAAACAAATACTTTTGGGTCGTTGAATAATGGGGGCGACGTGATTGTGAACGAGGGGGGGCTGACCGCCAACTCTTCGGCGGGACGCTGGGTCTAACAATTTTCAATTTCAGGGCCAACAACAGTGTCCATTGGCAACAGTTGCGTATGAGCCGTTTTTATACCCTGTATCCGTCGCACTCCTAAATGGGTATATTGAAGTCATGCAATCGAAGATGACAAACGAATTAGTAATCAATTTTCACGTTATATTTTGCCCAAAATTTAAACTAAATTTGTAAATATAAAAGTAAATGTTTTTTTTTAACATGGATTTTCGTCATAAATACTAAAATTTAATAGTGATTTATCCATTCGATGTCGTATGAAAGTCTTTATCTTAGTTTTAGTCAAATGTTTATCTCCTTATTTTTTCAATATGATTTCTAAGTGCGAATAATTTAAAGTTAAAAGCAAGAAATATCACACTTTTAGAATACAATAGACTAAACTACTGGGTATCTGCACGCCGATCACACTAAAGCAGCTCACTCTTAATTTTAATGTTGTTGTTAATGTTAAACTCGAGTGTCGATTGTCGATGGCTGGTAATGAAGTGAAATGACAAGCACAAATGCGTTGAACACGCAGGGGAATGAGCAGCAGGAGGAAACGGAGTGCTGGGGCTTTTGAAGGTAACTCCAAGAGTCATCAACAAGCGTTGTCGCAACTGCCGCGCTTCCCATGACCTTCGCCAAAGTGGAAAGCGGAATTGCTTTCGCACCACGGCAACCCACGGCACAACAACTACAGCTCCCGTTGACAAAATGCACGCGCAATTGTTTGGGCTATTGATGTTTTGTTATTGGTCAGTGGTTAGGTTGATTTATTTTCTATGGAATTTTGAGTAGCATAATAATCAATGTTGGCGGATCACTCGAGCCCGGCACGTGCTAGGCAACGAGACGCAACCCAGTCGTGAACTTAATTTACCGGGAACACACAACCAATTCGTATAAAATGTAGCACGCAATAAGTTTTGATAAACATAAGCAGGTCATCAACCCGATGTCAGACCCCCATCCAACTGCAAAAACCTGGCATGGGCATACCCATCCCCAACTATCTATCCCCTCAAACCGACTCGACTTTCACCAGCGACTCGACTCGACTTGAACAAGTTTTGAATTCAATGTCTTTTCTTTGCCAAGGTCCCGACGGCTTCGGTCACTGGCGCTTAATATATGCTCGTTAGGTGTTGTCAGTTGATATTAGGGTTGTTCACACAAAATCTATTTGAGTATATCTGCTGCGTATATTGTGAATTTGCATACCCTCGTTTGCAGAAGCTTTTAGCGCATTGTTGGATAATAGATCCGTCTTTAAGTGCTTCTTCAAATTATCTAATCAAATTCCGACTATTATAGTCAATACATTTTAATATCATGCCATTGGATATTGAAGGAACATAAATTGTTGTTTGCGTGTCAAGTGAGCTCTGTTTGCCTTAACATAAATCAGAATTTAACAAAATACACGCACACGACTACCCCTATTGCTTGAAGATGGCAGATATAATGTTTCTCTGAACTCATTAGTGTGCGTAACAGTTGCTGGCATTGTTTACACCTTACTCGACTGCACCACCTGCTCCACCCGAGGACCGATTCGGGACACGACTGCCACTGGGATGGCGTGTGAAAATCCATGTGTTGCTGTTGCTGTTTTTGGGATAAGAAGAAGTTATCGCAGTAATTAAATCGGAATCAAAACAAAAGTTCCTTTCATACAGCAGACGCCGCACAGACGGCGATGTTTACGAGGCCAACTAATGGACTTATGGGCGGCTGGTCAGCGTTGAGCAGCAAACTTTAAATCCATGGCAACAGCCACTTGATGCATATTCGTCCCTCGTAGTTACAAGCTCTTAATGCTTTACGTATCCGCCATGATATCCGTCCCTGTATCGGTTCAACAAGCACACGCATTATTTTCATGGCTCTTCTGGCTTTGCTTTTGTTTGCGCTTCAAATCCACCTAATTAAAAGGTAAGCAAGAATGTTTTAAGGCGCAAAAGGAAAAGTCTTAACTGTTCTAGTCCCGGTCTAGTCTGCTAGCCATGGCATAATCAGCATTCATGTGACTGCCACTCGACTATAGGTGGCTCGCACTCCTGACTACCGCCTGATGAATATTTATTGGCACAGTAGATTTTAATACTTTTATATATGTAGCCAGGTCTGTGGCGACAAATGTGACGTTCTCGCAACGCTCAAACACGAACACGAATGGAGACATAGTAGAAGCAATTATTCTACTCTTTAATGGAGAGCACAAAGGCACATTGCTTCATATGTTTGAAAAATTTGGAAAACAAATATAATATTAATATTGTATAGTTCTACATTAATTTGGAAATATTTCAGAAAGGATATTTGGATTGGTATTAACTTAATTTGACACGCTATTATTCAAAGCACCTCAAATCTTTTTTGATGAGGTTCGAGTTAATTGAGTGAACACAGTCTGCTTCTGCAATTAAATTTTGTGATCCCTCTGAAGATTAGCTGGGCTCACAAGTTCTTCATGTCATTCATCAATCAAAGTTTGGTATAAAAGCAAAGTCCAAAAAAGTCTTATAACTTGTTATAGAATTACTACATAATTCCTTACTAATCGGTAATCAGCAATTTTCCTGGTAAACTAATGTGGCAGGTGTTACGATGTGAATAATCCATTAGGTTACTTGTACTTGTGTAAGGGAATTCAAGCTTTGATTAGGCGACGATGACGACCATTTCCATTGTTTACATGGCTGGCTGGGCCAACAGTGAGGACTGCTCATACCAAACATGCACTTGGCCGTAATGTCAAGTGGCACTTGTGCAACTAAAGTGATGATTGATATTTTATTGAATTTATTTTGCAGTGTATTGCTTCCAAGTAATCGACTGATAATTGTCGGGGCGTGGTGCGATAATCATGATAATGCTGATGATGATGTATATGTCTGTGCCAATGTCCCTGGCACTGGGTCTGCCTTTGGCTCTGCCACTGGCCAGGGTCGGCGACGACAACGCAAAAAGTGTCCAATAAATGTTTCACAGTTGTCGTTGTCGTTGCTCGCATAGTTGACCTTATCGGAGGCGCAATTAAGCACACACACTCACGTATCCGTTTACAAAATAGATGGAGCCATAAAAAGCCCCATAAAACACACACACACACACATATCTCCACCCACAAACATTCATGCGTCTTGGCGTATACTTAAAATATTTGCTGGCTTTTGTTTCTGCTGCCGTCGCTGAAAAGTATGCAATAATGTTAGAAGTTGAGCCAAAAATATGCGGCCAGGTCTCGTCTGGCTTAGGTGGGACAGTTCTACTATAGATTACAGCCAGCCAAACTATGCATCCACGACCAAGCAAGCTATGACCGACTATGGAGTACCCTTTACGTAGAATGTATTAAAAATCGGAACTCTGACTGAAACTTTGGCTGATAAAGGAGTTGATGGCAGATATAATAAGGCCAATATAATCTGATTGTTTGAGACTATTATGTGGTACTTTATAATGGTGATGCTCTTGGTTTTGCCCCATTTCAAAGATTAACCTTTATTTTACCCTAAACGACCCTTTCTATTTGTCTATTTCCAGGGTATTAAAAAAGGGTTTTTCAATTATTTAGAGCAGACGCATTGTCTTAGCTCAGACCCAGGTCTCCCTAGGCTGTTTCCTTAACCCATTGAAATGAATGCCACTTCGCCAAAGTCATCGCTGGCCAAACTGGGCCTGCATACCAGCAAACAAAAGACGCTAAAGGTCATGGTACTCGGCCAGAGCGGCGTAGGTAAAACGGGTACGTGTCATTCTTAAAACAATAGGCCAGACAAGGACTTCTCTCCTACACAAGCACTCTAACATTTCGCTATTCACAGCTATGGTGGTTCGGTTTATAACCCGTCGCTTCATTGGAGAATATGATCCAAATTTGGAGAAAATATATACCTGCCAAACAACGCTGGACAATGAGTTGATTCAGTTTGACATACTGGATGCCACCGGGCAGTTGCATGTGAGTGAATTGCATTAGTTCTTCGAGTCGAATTCGATAGAGTTCTTGTAGGAGCTGGACGGCGTTACACTGGAGTCCAACATACGCTGGGCCGATGCGTTTATACTCTGCTATTCCATCACAGACAAGTGCTCCTTTGACGAGTGCAGCCGACTGAAGTTTCTAATCAACTACAACAAGCGAAGACGCAAATTGGGCTCTACCAGCAAGGTAAGATCTTATCATAAATGGATCACTGTGCAAATAAACGGAATCCGTTTACTATGTGAATCTTTTGCAGGACTGCGGACTGGACATACCTTGCATACTGGTTGGCAATAAGACAGACCAGAATGGCGACCGCATGGTCAGTCTGGAGGAGGGACAGCGCCGTTTTCGAGAGCTCTCGTGCGCCTGTTTCCATGAGATCTCCGTTAGGGAGAGTATTGACCAGGTGCAATCAAGATTATTGATTTTATTGGCATACACTTTCTTAAAGCGTTATTTTCACAGGTGCAAAATGTATTCCGCGATGTGTTCCGTTTTTGGCGTGTATTCAGTAAATTTCCAAAGCTCAAACGTTCCACCAGCGATGTGGCGCATGCAGCCGATGGCAACTTGACACCCGATTCCGGCTCTTGTTCCTTCTACGATTCGACGCCCCTGGGCGTGGCGCGACGCTCATTTTTGTTCATAGGCAGCGCCTGCCAGGAGGAGAGCAGCGGCGATCACACCGAGTCCACGGACGACATTGCCAGCAGCAGTCTAGACAGCTCCCGCAGCAATATCGATGCACCATTCCGTAATCGCGCCTCCACCGACGGCACTCTCCTGTCTAGGCCCAGACGGTGGCGCTTCCCACCTCCAGGTTGCCTGATGCCGCACACGAATCGTGTCGAGCGTCGCATGAGCATCTCGACCAGAGGCAGCAATGCCAGCTACTAAGAACAGCGGTCATTTAGTTAGTCCAATTATTGCGCCAAATATATTTATAGCTAAATGTTGAATATTATTGGATCAGATTTATTTAATAATAATACGCTTAACTGTCTGTTATATCTGCGCCAGACAAAGTGTCAAAATTCGGGTAAATGTCACAATGCTAAAATGGGGTAATATTAAATATAAATGTGGTATTAAATTGGAGATCACATCAGATCAAAAAGCCCATACAAAATGATGGCTCTGCAAAGCTTAGACGTATCTCGCTCTCAAATTTCTTTCGAATTTCGAATTTTTGAATGACCAAGAAGGCTTTTTGGCAACTGTTGTCGGCTAATAATACTCTGGTAATACGCAGATCTATTTGGGGTTACATTTATTTTCACTCGAAACAATTTAAACAATAACCAGATAATAAATATGAAGAGTATGAATGACCCCGGTCCGTGGATTAGTCGTCGTCAATCTTGAGCATATACTCCTCGGCACGAAGGGCAAGTTCGCGTATGTTGCGCAGGCAGCCAGCGGCAGCAAGTTGCAGCTCCTTGTTGGTGGAGCCAATGCACTCTAGCAGGAAGGGCACCACACCGCTCTGTAAACAGGGGAAGCAAAATGTAATTAGCTGGGATGAGTTCAACGGCGAATGGAGTCTAACCTGGTGCATAGTGATGCAGTTCTGTGGATCCATTGATAGTTTCTCCAGTGCCATGGCCGTGGTGCGATGCACCATCGGATTCTCGCTGGTCATGTACGTGACAATGGGCGTCACGGTGCGCAGTCGTCCCAGCTCCTCGGTGTTGTTGCCAAAACAGGCGCAGGCTGCGACGGCCGCTGCCAGGTTCATGCGCAGCATATCATCCGTGGTGTTCACCAGATCGGCCAACTTATAAATGACACGAAGATCCGTCAGAATGGCCAGATTGGTCTGATCCAATGCGATGGTAGCGATCGCTGCGCAGACTGCCGACAACACCATGATTTCCTTAGACTTGAGCAGACCCACCACCAGCTCCATGGCACCGACCAGGCTGCGCACCAGCTCCGCCGAGTCGGTGGCATTCCTGACGCATGGACAAATCGCATATGCAGCATGTGCTTGGACTTGAGGACTGGTGTTCTTGAGTAGTGACCAGACCAGACGCACCGCATCCAGTTGCTCCAGAATGCGCATACTATCTGCATCCTCAGCGCACTCCTTAATCGTCTTGGCCAAGTTCTCGAGCAGCGGTGAATGCGATGAGTTGAGCAGCGCCACCATCGCAGGCAAACCACCAGAATTGCGGACGGCGACTCGATTATTCTGGAAGCGCACACACTCGGATAAGGCGCCGGTCACATTGGTCAGAACGTCATCACTTTCATCGCCGAGCAGGGCAACGAGATGATGCACCACATTCATATCATTCAATTGCTTAACATTCTCATCCGACATGGCACACATCCAGATGGCACCCGTTGCACCCTTAAGCAATGGTTTATTATCCCGTATCGTCTTATCCTTGATAATGAGGACCAGTGGCTCCAATCCACCCGCTTCTCGCACCAATTCCCTGGTGGTCAAATCGAAGGCGCACTTGTACAGCGCCGTGCTGCCCTCAACCTTGAGATCAACGCTCTCCGAGCTCAAGTGTAGCACAATGTCTGCTATCATGCCCTCTGTGGTAATCGCCAGTTGGAACTTTGGCTGCGATGAGCATTTCTGCACAGTGCCCATTATGGGTATGACCACATCGATGTGAATGGACTTCAGCAGGTTGGCCATCAGAGGAACAATGCCGCTCTTTCGCATCTGTTCCATATTGTGCTTGGAGTCAGCCAGTGTCCAAAGAGCACGTGACCCGGCTCGTGCCATGTCCAAGCATTCGATTTCCTCAACGGAAAGTTGATCGCGTGGCGTTAGCAATATGCTGCAACAGATTGGTAATATATACATATATATATATATATATATAAATATATATTTGTAGATTGCTATTGCATGTGGGTTTTTGTTTTTCGCATATGTTTTCCGAACGCATGAATTACGAGCTTGATTTTTAGACTTACCTCATCTTGATATCCAGCAAATCGACCAGCTTGGAAATGCCTCCACACTGTCGAACATATTTGCGGGCCAGACGCACTTTGCTCACGTTGGAGAGCGTTTCGGCTGCCATCGTCTTCAGATCCCTCATGGACGAGCTGAGTATGTCAACAATCAGCGGTATGCCATCCAGATCCACAATCGTCTTGCGTATGTCAATGTTGAGTGTGATATCGGAGAGGACGGTGAGGGCGCCCAGGCAGCACTTGGTGTCGCTGCACTCGAGTATGTTGACCAGGACATCGAGGCCACCAATGTCTTGGATGGCAAACTGATTGATTTGCGTGCGCAGATCGTAGTCCTGCAGACAGCACAGGGACACTATTGTGGCTGTCTGATTGCCCGCCTTGATGTATTTGACCAGCTTTTGAATGTTGTAGTATTCGGCGGGGATTTCGGCAGCACGTGCCACATCTTTCCAGCGTTCCTCCTCATCCGTCGAGGACTCCTCTTCAGTGGTATCGGAATCATCGAGAACCACGGGACGTTTGTCCCTAGAGAAGCGATCTGGACAGGAACCGCATTGTTCTCGAATCTTACGCGATTTTCGAGGCGCAGCAGGGGCAATCATTGTGTAACTCGATGCTTTCAATAAATATTTACTTGCTGATGATGGCCTTTTGCTGTCGAACAACTTGGATGTTCAGAAATTTTTGTGTAGCTTACGTTAAGGAATTTCAAATGTTAGTAAAAATATCGATTTAATAACATTTGTTTCCGGGGCGACGACGCTAACAATGTTTACGTATGTGTGCTTGAGAATTTGTGCGAGTACTTGAATAGGCATACTTAAATCCAATTCAAATACTATAAAAAATAATTTTGATTTTGTGTTTTTCTGTTTTTAGAATGTTAAGTGTCAGTTTCGCACGGTAAAATGGTTGCTATTTATATTTGTAGATTATGGTAATAACTAAGAATAATAGCTGTCTTATCTTAATTTCGACTGTATTTAGTCTACTTATTTGAACACATAAGTTTTCTGCGAGTTTCTCGATTAATTACTTCACCATTCAAAAAAAACCAACTGAAATTGAAAGAACGCGCCAAAGCAGTGCAATTCTTTTTCAAATAGCAGAGATGGTAACACTGTAATGCAGCTGCGGAACGGCGAATTGAGCAAGCAGTGCTTGAGTGGCGTTGGCACACGGTCACACTGGACAACAGCTGTGCTTTGTGTGTGTTGTGTTTTCTTTTTCCCCAATTTAAAAGAGAAGCCATCAGTAAGGTGTTTACTTTCTATTAAATACATACGCATTATCATGGGCAACACGAGTGGTAAAAAGGAATCGGACAATGTGTACACATCTGAGGAGCTGCGCTTCCTAGAGACGGCCTATCGCAACGCCTCCGGTGGTGCATTAGAGAAATTAACCTCAGATCGACTTGTGGTATGTGTTAATTTCTTTTTGTTTTCCTTCCGTGTTTTAGGTCGTTGCACTTCAACTAGCCAAAAATCAATTAAGCGCAGTCGCCTGCAGTGCGCTGCAACGGTCACAAGTTCAAGGTTTACTGCGGCAGCAGGAGCAACTACTCCGCTTTAACTGTCATGCGACTCCGCAAAAGGCACAGCCAAACACACACAAACACACACACACATACATCCATATAACGATGTACGGGTAATGCCAACGTCATCAATATTATCAATAACAATTTGCATTGATTGTTAAATTCGTTGTTAAGTTGAAAGTGGCGTTTTGGTTTATCTAATTTGTTTGCCTTGCGCTTTTAACGCATTTGTGGACTTTTTGTGTGCTTTTGTTTTGGTTTTTGCGTTTTTATTTGTTTAGTTTGCTTGCTAACGAATTACCCGTGATTCGAATGGGGCTGCTCATAATTATGTCAACGAAATTGAATTTAAAATAAACAATAGAAGCGACGAATACAGGAAATGTCTGCATTAAACATACATTGTATTTTTGTATTTCTCTCGTGCTTTCCCCCCATGCCAAAGCATTTGACAACGATCGCATAATTTGGTTTATTAACTAAGCATACCCTTGCAGGGGATACCACAATTTGTGCCACTTGACATGTAACGCTCTAAAATGTATTAAGATTATGTATATGGGTTTGTATAACATATGTTTTCTAGATCGCGGTGTCCCTTAGATGCAACGTGTCGAAAATCAATTTCTTTTATCATTTTTTTCGATATCTCCCCTAAACTTGGCTATTCCGAATTTTGTTATAATGAAAATATTTGTATATATATGTAACGTGAAATATCACAAATATAGATATGTTCAAGGGTATCTAATCTTCGGCACCACGTGGCTAATAATTGTGTTTCGTTTTTTTTTATTTCCATGACGTGTTTTGTTTCTTTTTTGTTAAACAGGAAACATGGTCTCAGACAATTGAGCGTTCCCTAGCCGAGAGCACGGCTCAGTTTCTGTTTATGCCCACGAAGCCGGGCCAACAATGTATAAATATACCGTTGAAGAAATTTGGCGAACCCTACTATATTATGGAACGTGGCACCATTGATTTGAAGATGCAACTGCTACTGTCATCGATGGAACGCAGTAGCAACGACAGCTTCAACATCAAGCAGCTGGAACAGGTGAGCGGACATAATTTCTTAGTTATTGAGCAACTGTTTACTTATTCAATGTATTTTCCTTACAGTACATACACTCGATCATTAAGAGCTATGTGCACCTGGAAAGCACTGCAAAGACGTCCAACATTAAGGAATGGCAGGAGATGGGCTTCATTACCACAGAACGGTCGCTCTGCAGCTTTGCCAAAGGTCTGATGCGTAATCTCACTAAGGATATGGAACACACTCTGTCCACTGATGCGTTGGAACGCTGGTTGCATGTGACACCCCAGTTTCTGCAGCTGTGGCGCGAGGTATTCGCGCAGCTCTACACACGCCACGGTGGCAGCAAGCGCACAATTATCAAAGAAGTGGAAATTCCCATTCTGCCCCAACTGTGTGGTATGTGTGCTCAATATGTTTACACATATTGCATCTGTCAATGAAATGAGAAACGTAAATCACACACTTTTTACACTTTGCAGATGCACCGCACAACAGTAATTATCGGCCGATCATCGAGCTGCCACATGTGCTGTATATCAATGCACAGCTGCCGCGCGAGATGCGTCATAAATGGCGTTTCCTATTCTCATCCAAAATCCATGGCGAAAGCTTCTCCACCATGCTTGGCAAGTTGACGGATAAGGGACCGACGTTGTTCTTTATTGAGGATGAAGATCAATACATATTTGGTGGCTATGCTCCTGAATCATGGTCACTCAAGCCCCAATTCGGTGGCGATAATACATCGTTGCTCTATACGCTCAGCCCGGCCATGCGCTGCTTCACCTCCACTGGCTTCAATGACCACTATCAGTATCTGAACTTGAATCAGCAGACAATGCCCAATGGGCTGGTAAGTATAAATATCTAACTTAAATTTCCATCGATCAGATTTAACTTGTGCCATATCTATAGGGCATGGGCGGACAGTTTGAGTTCTGGGGTGAGTACAATCACATTTTCAACCGGCAATTTGAATAAATTCATAAATATCCTTTTTTATTTAGGTCTATGGCTGGACTGCATGTTTGGCGAGGGTCAGAGTGTCGAGAGTTGTACCACATATGGCGACTATGTGCAGCTGAGGTGCGTTATAGTCTCAATCACTGTTTTAATGCTCATTTAAAAAATCACATTACATTCATTTGCAGCAAACGCAAGCAATTCAAAATACGTAATATGGAGGTTTGGGCTGTAGGCGATTTGCCTGTCAAGGATGATGAAGAGGGCGGTGATGGTCAGGTAAACTTTTGTTTTATAAATAAAAAAGAAAATCAATCAAATCAGAGTTCTAATTACATTTATTTTAACTGTAGAAACGTTCCATTCTGGATACCAATCTGGAGGATCGTGCCATGCTGGAGATCGCTGGCAAGACAATGCATTCGGATGGACTTCGTGAGCCGGGCATGGATGATTGATGGCGGTCGTTGTACAAGGCTTTGAGTGGAGGCTTGGTCTTATCATGTTTAAGAATTTATAGCACTATTTCTCTGTTGGGTGTGCGCTTAAATCCTATACATATTTACTTTAGCCTTAAAAACCTTACACACACACAAATAAGAACAAATTGTGCGAACAAAATTGTATTTGTTCTATCCATTCCTACGAACTTTTGTTAAGCGAATAATGTTAATATATATAGAGATATATACGTATATACAATGTATTATGCATAGTGTCTATGTAATACTGAGAGTATTGTTGTTGCGTTTTAGGATTACAAGTGAGTGAACATTTCAAAAGCAATATAATATATCGTCGTAAACCTCTTTTTCCGCGTTCAAATAAATCGCAAATTGTTTGCTGAACTCAAATTTATTACTACAATTTTTAAGCTATCTATGGATTAATATATATGTTGATATATGGGTGTTTATGGTGGGTTCTCTAAATACAAATATTTACTTTCCATGGCAATTAGAATAGTTTCTAAAACTGTTACTTGCTCCTTCATTATTAAAAGTAATTCATTTGTATTTTAAATATCCACAGCGTAACCGGAGAGCGTCACACCTGGTGCAATCTCCTCCTCGACGTAGGAGCCCGCCTCCTCGAAGGAGCGTGCATTGCTATCCTCAAAGCTGCGTCCTACGCTTGCCGGCGTCTGGCGCAATGGCGGTGCACGTTGCGCAAAGTTGCGTGCCACGCCATAATTGCCGTTACTTTGATTGGAGTACTGGCCACCCTCATCATCGTAGCGGCGTCCCGTTGAGCGCAACTTGGGTGCCTGGAATGTGTGCTGGTGCTCGTTGCCCGAGTCCTGGCGATTGTGGAAATCATAGGTGCTTGTTTCGGAACCGCGCGGATAGTTTGTCTTCCGTAGCATGGCCTTGAAATTGAATGGTGGGTCCTCAGAATTCTGTAAGGTAAATGATGCCATGATTAACACATTCTGGTATAATGATACACTGGACAGATTTAAGAAACCAAGCGGTTATTATAATTCATTCGTTACTTACATCATCCTCATTGCGTCGCGCCATATTCTGGAGTTCACGTATCGGATCTGATGGGGGATACGAGGAGCGTTGCTGATAGTTGCGCTGCTGCTGCTGATTGGCATTATTTCGATAGTAGTTGGATGAGGGCTGGGGCGGCGGTGGTGGTGGCGGCGCCGCATAGCCCTTCAAGGAATTGCGACGAGATGCAGACCGATGGACGCCCCAATTACCGCTCATATTATTACTTTGGTAGTTGCTGTCGTAGCTGTTGTAAGCATTATTGTAGGCATTCATATTCTTTTGCACTTGATTTCTGGAAAGAGAAAACTTTTGATGAGAACCCAGATGGGATTAAGTTTTGTGCTAACCTCCTGAGCTGCTGGGGATCTCGAAAGTAGCTTTGATTGTAGATATTATCGCTCTCGCCCATGCGATCCCAGTTAGTCTGACAGGCCTGCTCCTTCTTGTATGCATTGTAGGTGAGCAAACAGGAGGTCATCGAAGGATTCCGCTGCAAGGGACTGTCCCATGGCTCGTCGTCCTCCGCCTGGTGCATCAGCAGGTGGTTGGGAAATGATTGACGTGAAATGGAATTGGCTGGGTCGACCATATATTGTGTATCGTAGAAGGGTATCTGATCCAAGCGGAAGGGCATCTTCTTGATGGGCACGGGCAGCGGTCCCAGTTGCGAGGAGTTCACCTCTCGCATATTAATCCGCTCGAAAGGCACCGCACGAGTGCATTTGTTTAAACCAGCCACCATGCGCTGATTGTAGATGTGCACCTGTGGGATAAAGTTCGATTGGTTAAAACCAAGGAGATCAAACAATGCGTTAACTTACTTGCTGCGATAGATTGACCAAGTCCTGGAAGCGTGCGGCGCGATAATGTAACAGCACCTGGAAGATGGACTTCTCACGCCACTTCTTCGCATAGGGTCGAATGAATTCCGCTGTGTTCTCATTGAGCTGTCCGGACTTCTCGTTGACCAGCGGAGGCAAACGCACGCGGTCTCGGAAACCCCGATAAGCTAGACGGAAAAGTGGAATAAAGCGAGAGAGGGAGAGAGAGAAAGATAGAGATAGAGGGAGAAAGAGAGAGAGAGAGTGAGAAACAGGGCAGGTTAGTGGCCAGTTAGAATTGCGGTCATTGTGGGGAGTCGCCTTAATTTAATTAAATTTTCATTTATTTTCTATGCAGCACTTATAATTCATCTCTGTGGGGTACCAAGTCGAAGGTGTCTAAGCCGATTGGTTGCATCAGCAAGAATTGGGTGGTGCTGTTTCATTTGTGAGTGGTATCACCAAAGAGGTCGCACTAAGCGGCTTAAAATCAACATCAAGCATAGACCCTACACCCCTAATGGAAACTTGTGGCTTGATTACTTTGATATTTTATTAGTAGTATGTAGTATTTGTATGTAGTATTGGTAGTGCTATTCCCACCCGAGGGTTATAGTGCCCACATGGACATTGCTTGATTATGTAAATTGTAATGGGAACTAGTCCTCGAATGAGGCCTGTTCAATTTTGGAGATGCGCACCGCTGCGAGAGCCTCGTCCTTGCGAGTTTCCAGAAACATTTCGTCAGCCTCCGATGGTGTCTCACTTATGTCGATACGTTCCTCTTCGTAATCTCTAAGTTTATCAAGAGCAGTTTTTTTACCTTTTTGTATTTTGGATGCGGCCTCATCATGCTGTCCAGCTCCCTTCTTGCCCACTGTATATGATAGACAGAGTTTTAAGGACTTGTTCAAGTCAACAACAAATATATATATTGTGGAATCTGGCGACACTTACATTTAAAGACCTTGCCGCCTTTGACGCGCTTGCGTGCGAGCAAGGCACGCATCATTGACTGCACCTTGATAACCTTCTTCACCTGCAGCTCATATTGTCTAAAGAAGTGAACGGCTGTTAAGTGAAAAGTATGAGCTGGTCCCGATCTGAGCTCACCTGGCCATAAACTCATCATTGTAGTAGCGCAAGAATACCTTGGTCTTGCCCAGAGTCCAGCCCTCCATTTTCAAACGCAAAAACAATAGGCGACAATTTTCTTGGGTCATCTCAACCGGTTCATCAAAGTCAAAGGCCAAAAACTGATAACTGTCGAAGCACAAAAAGGACTTTAGTCGAACACACCTAACACTTTAAGTTAGGGACAAAGCTTACCGCTTGAGGAACTCATCGAAGGGCAAACGTGTGGAGTAGCCACGCTGTCTAGCGATAACTGTGTCCAGAACACCCAGTGCCTTCATCTGCTGCTGCACAACGTCCGAGTGGAAGGCACGTGGCTTGTACTCGAGATCGGCGCGTATGCAACGCACAAAGTGAACACCCAGATTCGCGTTCTGGCTGAGCATTTTGAGAAGCGTCAAACAGGTGAAACGGAAATTGGCGGCCATGGTGCGAAGATTATTCACTTGCGAGATACAACCAGTGCTGAGCGTGTTGAGATTCTTTAAGAAACATCCACATGTGAATCGAGGCATTTAAGTAATTTGAATTGCAACTCACGTATGACTTGCGCTCTGTTTCATCCTTATGCTGTACGGCCTCAAAGGGCATGGTTAAATTGCCAGCTTTAGTTAGCTGATTGGTAAACATGAGCATGATGCTCTCGTCCAGCGAGGAGCGGAACGTTTCGATCATCTCGGGCGGCACAAAGTCGCGATTGATGTCGGTGAAGGCGCGCGTATCGTAAATGATGCGGCCCGTATAATGGGCCACAGATAGCTCAGTGGCAGTGTGCTTCTTCACGAACTGGCTGTGCTTTTCCGACACGCGATCTATAGAAAAAAAGACCAACAAAGATAGAGGAAAGTCCGCTGAGTATGTCTCTAGACATACCCATTATCAAGTCCTGATCTTGACAGGAGCGCGAAGCATCGTCAATGATATAGAACAGGCCATCGGGCTTGGTAAGGAGATTATCAAGAGCTGTCTTGTTATCATAAAAGTTAAGATTAATGGCATCAATGTCCTCGGCTTCCATTTCCAACATTTCGCTAATGAAAATGCGCTGATTGTAATGATACTGCATCTGCTCATTCAACGTGTTGATAATCAGTTGCTCCAGACCATTGCGATTGAAGCACTCAAAGCCAAACATATCGTGCACGATAATGGCATTCGTATCACCGCTATAAAGTTAAGAATTCATAAGATAGATAGATAGATAAGCTATAGTGTTCTGGGGCAATTACGTACAAGACGGCGCGTGGAAATGACATGTTCATGTTGATCCTGTTGATGATGAAGTCAACCAAACGCGAGTAAAGTGTGGAGGCAACCGCATCGCGAGCATCTCGTGCTTCCTCTGTCGTATACTGGCGTCGCTCGGCTATACCACCCTTGACCATTATGAAATTGGTCAGGGACCACATGAACTTCTTTTCGTCGACACGCAGCAGCTCCGCAATGCGTGAGACCATGTCAGAGTTCTCCACCTCGGCATTCTTGCCCGACTGGCGGAATCGTATGTTGCCTATGTTGAGAATGGCAGCGAGCACTTTTCGTACCGTTTCCAGCTGCTTGTGATTGAAGTCCAAATCGCGAAGAATGTTCTCGAACTCACGGAAACGCTCCACATTGCCCTCGGGGTCGTCACGACGATACTTGAGCTTGGACGGGAGCACATCTGGCGGTATGCGGAGATAGCGATAATTCCGATCCGACTTCAAATTGTAGTCCTTCAGCTGATTCTGCTGATTGATAAAATCATAGAAATAGTAAAAGATGTGAAAGTTGTGCTGGCTGCCATCGGTGGTCGCCACACGCAGCTTCTCCAGCATATACATGTTGAAGACGGCGCCACTCATCTTGCCCGTCTTGCCAAAAGTCAAGTAATACTGCAGCACACACCGGGTGGAGTCGTTATTAACTGGTGTGCCAGCATTCACCATCATTAGTATCGCCTTGATGGAGCTCTCGACGCGACCAGTTGCGCCACGATTTCCATCGCCCAAATAGCAAAGATGCTTGATTAGCAGACGGGCATTGGTCGATTTTCCCGAATAGCTTTCGCCAGAGAACACTATGTGCTGCGGTTCACGGTGGTGCAGCATGTCCTGATAGGCAATATCAGCCACGGAAAAGATGTGCGGCTGATTCTCCGAGCGTGACTTAAATTTGTACTTGGCATGAAACTGTAAAATATACATAGAAAATATGTTGGTTGTTTATGGAATTAAAGTGTTGCACATGAAAATCAAATTTTTTGTGTTGTTGTTGTATGCAACAACTAACCCACCTCATTGCTGAACTCTTGCTTGATCTCATTGGAGTTGAGTGATAGCAAAATGTCACCAATGAAGCTGTAGGACTCGCCCATCTCCATACGATTGCGCAGCGAGTCGAGAATGCTCTCGTCCACTGGATTCTCCAGAGCTGCCAGGTCCTCGGGGTACATACGTTCCGGCTTCTCATCGAAACGCTTGATATAGCCACGATCCACAAACAGTTCGGGTTCCTTGATCAATGTCTTCACATCGCGTGCTAGCTCCAACATCTCGGCTAGATCCGAACACATCTCCTCCTCGTTCTCAATGAGCTCCGTTAGAAACGGATGCTCCACCATTTCCACCATCATTGGTCGATTCTCCGGATTCTTTTCCAGGCACTCGGAAATAAAGTCATTGATCTGCTGCGACCAGTTCGTGGGCCGCGTCAATGTGGGTGGCGGATTGCGCACAATGGCAAACATTGCCCTCGTTGGATGCATGTCCGCAAATGGAGGTTTACCATCGGCCAGCTCAATGGTGCTGATGCCTAAAGCCCAGACATCGGCACGCACCGTAATATCTGGTTCACGGGACTCCATGGCCTTCACCACCTCCGGTGCCATCCAGCAGGGCGAACCAATGCAGGTGCCCCGTTTCCCCATTGTCGACTCCACCTGGCGCGACAGCCCAAAGTCACAAAGCTTAACACGACCACTCTTGGTCAGCAGAATGTTGTCGCCTCGTATGTCGCGATGCAGAACATGATTGCGATTTAGTTCGATGGCAGCGCGACATGTTTCCCTGATGATGTACGCAATGTGCTCCTCTCGCATGCGACGGTCCAGCTTCAGTAGCTTATTGACCATGTCCACGGCGGTACCGCCAGAGCAATACTTTAAGGGATTAACGCATTGTTAGTTGTTCTCAGCTCTGTGTACACCTTTCATTTAAGTACTAACCTCCATAACGAACCAAATTTCATCGGGTCCATTGGGTTTTGATAGCTTGTAGACGCCATAGAATTCGGGAAGATTGGGATGAGCGCAGTAGTCGCGCAGAGTGCGATATTCCTCCTCAATGGACACCTGATGCTCCTCATCATAGTGCTGTATCTTCAGCGCAACGATGCGATCATTGTCCAGCTCCTTGGCCCGAAAAACCTTTGCATTGACACCCTGTGCAATCTCCTCATATATCTCAAATTTATCTGTCGGATCCGGCAATTGCGCGTACGGTAAATACATTTTCACTCAGTTGACCAGGACTCACTCACAGGACACAAAATTAGCTAAAGTGTTTGATTGTGCTTAGATTACGCAAAGATCAAATGAGGTTTCTCCTCGATGTGCTGTTGCTGCAAATTACATTAGGCATTGGCGTTGCATAACTGCATTGAAATGGTTTCACCCGATTACCAGCGAGGGCGGCTTGGGGTGGAAATCACTATTGAGAATGTAAATTTATGAGACCGTGAAAGGTCTTAGTTGGCTAAAGTTAAAACTGCGTAGTTAACCTATTTCTAGTAATAGAAGTTACAAAATGTAGGTACAAACAAGTCTCAGATCTCTGAGTTGTCGATTTTCAATCTTTTTCCTGAACGTGTCCCTTCAAGGATACCAATTAATTTATTCTTAAACTATTTGATTATACTCACAGGATAAAAGTAATTGACCAATTTGATCAAGTTAATCGAAATTAATAATTGAAATGTGAAGTTTTCTTCTATTTTTTTATAAAAATTATTTCTTGTTTTGAACAGACACTTTTGTTTAGGAAGGGGCTCAAACTTGATTCCTTCTTTTACATTTTCGCCAATGACTTGATGAAGTAAAAAGTTTTGATGTAGAGGTTTTTGTCAGTTATGTTGTCTTAGATTTAACAGCAACAACCATCGAGTATCCTTTCGTACAGACCTTTGTCTTGTGCTTAGTTAATTGTCACACCACAAATGTTGATAATATCCTTCCGTTTTATTTTTTGTCAAGTATTTCCTCGAACCGACCGCACGCTTGCAGCACGTAGCGCTGCAGAAAGCCAACTGAAAGTTGTTCAAATGGATTCTTCGGCTCTTTACTACTGAGCCAATGAAGCCCCGCAACGGCGTTTAGGCATGTTGGCCAATTGCCTATTCCACTTCACGCTGAATTGGCCAGACCCACCTTGGGCAACTAAGTATTTAGCCAACTAATTGAATTAGTTCTATAGTCGCAAACCGAGCGATATTCACGTGCAGCAAAAACCAGACAAGCGACAGAATTGGTTGGCTTGAGAGATGGGCAGAATTGAATGAAAGTCAGCTAATTGACAGACTCTAAATCGTGTATCTTATTATTCGCAAGTATTTACAAGTATTCGTAAATGAAATCCACAGCTAAACTAAGCATAAAATGTACACACTCACATAATGGATCGATCGATAGTAGCCCTATTCAATATTAAGTATTTTAATCTAGTATCTATATATATATGTATACATATATATATATATATATAATTGCATAAATTAAATGTATTTTAATACTGTTGTTATTTTAGCTGCTGTCGCTAATTGAAGAGAAGTCTTTTATCAGTTCTCATAGCGTCCACTAATCCGTTTCTCAATTGCACACGCTTATCCATTCCTCCACATGGCATTCCTCGCACTCGACACTACAGCACCATTGAAATTTACAGCGACAGCGTTCGGCGCGTCGTTCCTTGACTTGGCTGTAGCCACGCCCACAGCACAGGGAGGTGCAGCCATCGCTAGTTGTCGTGTTCCGATTACATCTGCGACCCACTGTACCTACAATTGCAAGATGTGCATAAGTTTCAAAATTCAGGCCGAGCAGATTACAACTTTTAATTGCATTCACAAATATTTTGAGCTCTTGTATCTACTATCATAATCGATATATTTTTTAAAATTATATATATATATATATATCGTCACATTAATCAATTAGTAATAGAAGATATTATTTGTTAAGTCGAGTGACAACGCTATCGATATTAGCCAATCTGCACACTTCACGTCTTGGCCATTAAAAGCTCGTAAATAAACAATTAACTGCAGCGCTAAGCAAAGTATCATAATTGTTAGATGTTAATTGCCAACGTTAATTGCCATCATTTGGCTAGACACGGCACATGAATCAAACGTTGACTGTTGACTGGAGCGACTAACGATGGGCCTTTGCCAGCAGGCGGAGGGAGGGCGACTAAGCGGACAAACCCCGGTAGCCCCCGTCAACGATTAATTATAAATTTGCGTCGTTATTAACACTTTAAACTGGCCCGTAGTCGCAGTCGCTTTTGATAATTTGCAAATGTGTCAACAGCAATAACAACAATAACAACAACAACAACAGATGCGGTCACAAAATGGCTAACAAAAATTGCAAGTGGCAGTTAGACGTTCCACGTTATTTTTGTTGTTGTCGTTGCTGTTGTTGTTGCCGCCTGGTTGTTGTCGTTGATTGCCGAGTACGTGCCGTGCGCCTGCGCAGCTCTCGACTTTGTCGTGGCGCATTTTGAGTTATGTGGCATGTTTGGTAGCTCCGTTAAAAAATGCTTTTTTTTTTGCAGTTTTTGCTGACTGCTGGCTGCTGTTAATTTGCATTTCTGATTTATTTATTAGAGGCAAATCAAATTTATCGCCAGAGCAATGTCTATAAATCATTTTTAATTAGTAGCCTCTTGTCTGAGTGTGACCGAATTTTTGCAATTTTTTTGACAATCTGTATATTATAACGGTATTTCCCATTTACGATTGTGGTAAAAAATAATCGAAATTTACGTAATTTGTATAATTATGTAGATGGCAGTAAATGTGCATAAATCAATTTAATTCATTTAAATTTGCGTGGCAAACAGATTTAATAGCTTTACAGTTCCATATTCTTCTAAGCTATAATTATCAATCCTTAAGAATATACATAAATTTTTCTACTTACCCTGTATATCTGCACTCAGATCACGTTCGCAAAAGTTCGGCGAGCGCTGATAATAGAAGAGCGACGTCTCCAGCTTGCGGGCCATGCGGGCCGCATTCTTATCTGAATTGGGTTGGCGTGTGCCTCGATCGGTGTCCAGATCACGGTGGTTGTCACCACCCGACATTGTTCCAGACACATCGGTGGCTGCGATATCGGAAGAGCCACCGTTGCCATTGCCTCCATTTGATTTCTTATTGCGTGATCGCTTCAGCACCACGACCGGCTCACCGTTGCCCAGATTGGACTGATCCACTAGAATGGCCTTGCGAAATTGATGCTTCAGCACTTTGCCCACAATGTGAAAATCGGGCGCTGATTTCCAGCAGGTCTTCAGCTGGCAACTGCCAGACATACCGTGGCACTTACAACGAAACTCCATATTGTTCGACACGGCCTGCATAATATCAAATTAAGTTAAGATAGAAATTACGAAAGATGTAAGTGCTTAAGTAATCGGTGCACTATGTACGATGTACGCTGACTGAGCTAATCTACGGGACACGTAATGTTCTTTGGATGAAAATCATTTAAGTTTTGACAGACTAAAAGGAGTTCTAAAAGGACTTTGTTTTTAGTGAATTTGGAAAATTTCAAATTGTTTTTTTTTTTTTGGGATTTGAAGCGACAAAGTGATGCTTTATGTTCGCTGGTCAGACAAAGAAGAGATGGTTTGTATCTTATATTTCTTTTACATAGAAGTGATGGGGAACGCATTGAACGCAGTATCGATATCGCTGTTATTAACATTAATAATAGGATATGGAAGAATGTTGTATTTTTTTTTTTTTTTTTCATATTTTCAACAGTTTTATAGCTAAATATATTTCCTCCTTACCATTCGACCAGCTTGGTTGTTGTGCAGATTAATTTTGGATTGTATGTCGCCAGCCTTTTCACGGCAATCGAGAAACAACTTGGAGTATTCCACGCCAAAGTCCATGTTGTGGGAGCATCCGCCCCATTTCCAGCGACTGGCGATTTTGGAGCGTTCATATTTCTTTTCCTCCTCGGGCGTTAGGATTTGATTCGTTTCGAGATACTGAAGAAATTGTTTCTTCTCCTTGTCGAGCGACTGGCGCAGATTCTTGTTGAGTGTCTTGCGATTGATGGTCGGATCACAGCCGCAGGACATCAAACGGCCTTGACTGCAGGCGCGCGCCACACTGTGGGCCACCCCGGCCGCTGAAATTGCAAAGGCAAAAGCGCTTTCCCGATAGCCTGCATGTAAGAGTAAAGTAAAGAATTTAGAATTGAGAATTGAGAACTGAGAACTGCAATTTGAAATTGTTGTTGGGAAGATGTCCCCTGGGATTCATTGCAAACTATCGCAAGTTATGCGGCGTTATTTTTAACACTGAATGCACAAGTAGTTGTTGTCGTTTGCGATCGCCAAGGGAATTGTGCGGCATTTGGCTTTGACATGAGCCGGACAAGCGTTCAACTTTTTAAAGTTTGTTTTTCTTTTTTTAGCCGCCAAGCCCCAAAAGCCCACTAGAGCCTGGGCAATTGAATCGATTCCAGCGATCGATCAGACAAGATTTAATGATGCAAAATTGTGGACACAATCACAATCACAACCACAGCCATAGACATAGACAGAGCACACCCACCCAGGCGTGGTTAGTTGACGGCTTATGCAACAGCTGTCAAACGGCTGTCAAAATTGACGTTAATCATGACCGACATGTACCGTCATTGAGCGGCCCAAAGTTGGCAACATTTGTCAATCGATTGACATGCAAATTGTCAGCGCCACTTTGCATAAAACAAATCGAAACCAAAAACCAAATCCAATGCCCCGGCGACAGTACATATGTCAATGTGACAGGCGTGCATCAAGAAGATGGTAACTGGTAACTGGTAACGGGTAACAGGTAACTGATAGTTGGGTGCTGTGAGGGGAACCCGCCATAGCTGTCAAACAATCAGTCAGATGGCCAAGAGAGTCGAGAGTCCGTCACTCAGGATGGGCACGAATGCAAATGTCAATGTTGTGACAAGTTGTCGCTGTCGCATCGATCGTTCCGTTCCGTTCCATACACAATCCATCGATTCAATTCCACGCGAACCGGCAATGTCAATGGTTGGTGTAATGCAAAAGTGTAGCGCGCATTTGATTGACGATTAAGACGCCATCAATCAATGCATCAATGCACACAGTAGCCACACAGCAGACTTCCAGCTCCATCTCACCCTCTCTGCCTCTGTATTTGTTGAATCGTTTGCGATCTGTGATCTGTGTGATCGCTGATCGGGTGATCGGTCGATTGGGTCTTGATTTATGCACGCTTTGTCTTTCCCCTCCCCAGGCCATTTGCAAATCCAAATCACATCATTGCCAGCGAGTTACATTTGACAATGCCTTGGGGCCACTGACGTGCTTCTTACTGCGCATAAATTGGCAATCGACCAAGCTCGGCCGCTCCACTGGCCCCTAACAACGACCTGTCTCTGTCCCTGTCTCTGTCTTTGTCTCCCTGTCTCTTATGTTGCAATCCCAAGTAATTGTTTGCGACATACGTCGCTCGCTTGTTGTCACATGCATTTGGCTGAACTGAGACCAAGATAAAGGTCGCTCGCTCGTCGTCGTCGTCATCGTACGTAATCCTTTTACTACTTTTGTACATGCTTGCTGCAGCTACAGTCCCAGTCCCAGTCCCAATCCCAGTCTCAGTCCCAGCCCCACTTGATTGACAATAATGCATGGCGAAGTAGCAGCCGCAGCCGCAGCCGCAGCAGCAGCCGTAGCAGAAACGATCTTGCGATCTGCGTCGACGATCAGCGATTCGAGCAGTTCCATAAGTTATAGTAGATGTATGCAAAATAGTTGACCTGTCCGTGCGCCGTTCGATTGTCAGTCATTGTGCCTCTCCGACTTGATTTGTTTCGTTTCACTTGGCCGATCGTCGATCCCTCGCCTCGTTTGGGGCTGATCGGGTTGCCACAGGTTGCTTCAGGTTCGGTTGCGCTGAACGGGCTATGCCTCTGCCCTTATAAGTCTCCCCAAGTCGCAATCGTTGCACGCGTTGCTGTTGCCTGTCAATATTGACTCTCGTTATATGCAGTTCAGTTCGGTGTTTCCTTCCTTATTTAATGGACACACGAACGGGCGGCTTGACAAACAGACAGACGGACAGACAGACAGACAGACAGAAAGTCGGCGGGACAGATCGGCAGACATGTCACTGACATAAGCTTGGGTTTACCATATTGGAACACTGCTCGCCCCGTTGAAGGCTAGTCGAGAGTTACTTGGAAGTGCTGCTGGTGTGGCATGCATTTGGAGATTTATGGTTTGGCATTGTTATATTGGGCAGTGTTGTTAACTTTAACCCGGCTTATTTTGGTATTTGGCCCGATCAAGTTTTTGTGCACTTGATGGCAGTCTCAAGATTATTGCTAAATGCAAATTATATGTAGATATGTTGTAATGACATTGTCTTTTGGCTTTGTCGGAATTAGTAAATGCACAACAATCGCATAGCTATGGAACCTTTCCAGTAATCAGAAATCTGTCCTATTTTTAATTCCTTAACTAATATAATGTTTGTTAGAGTTCCGAAGAAAAAATTATACAAAATTTTCCAAGAGAAAAAAGTTTGTATAGCAACTTAATTGAAATTGAAATGTTGTTGCTGTGTCGACAGTAAAAATATCTTAAGAGAGGACGGGTCATCTTTGATTATTTTCCTGTTGTTGTAAAATTTGCAAGCTCAGAGAAATTTTTATATTGTTGCTGATCGCATGGAGATACAGAATGCATTATTTTGATTATTACTTTCTCTTAATTTCATTTTACACATATAATCATACACAACAACGTCTAATAAGAAAACTTTAGCTGGCTTCCTCGAATCACATTAATAATAGTCATAAAAAGAACTAAGTATTTTTATATGTATATTAGTTCTGGATAAATGGTATCTTCTAAATGAACACTGGGCGTTCTAGTTGTGTCTGCATTTACTCTGTTGCAAGAAGGGAGAATGTTAATTGATTCATTTAAAACTGAGATTAACATTTATATTTTCTCACTCATAATAATATTTATATTATTAAACTCATAATTTATATTGCATACTATAATTCTGATAATGATTAATTAATTTTAAGGTTTATTGAAAACTATGCTGTCTCGTTCATGCTCTGCTGACCACAACATTTGCATATGGCTTTGCTGTGGCTGCTGCTGCGGCTGTTATTGGCGTCTGCTCAGCATTTCCATGCCCATAACCAAATACACATCCAGATCCACATCCAGATCCATGTCCGCTCCCAGGCCGTTTATTCGTTCGTTGGCTGGTTCGTTTCTTGGTTTGTTGGTTCGTTTGTCTCTTAAAATGTCTGGCTGTCGTTTTGCTGTACGTTGTCAGTGGCCGCGGCAGCATCCGTCAACAGAGATAACAATTTTTTAAATTGAAATTGAATGAAGTGGTTTGCTTACAATATAATTTATACGATGAATGCAAATAAATTACGCCGGACTCGAGTCGAGTCGAGTCGAGTCGTCTCCTTCGACTTGGTTGTGAGCCTTTCGCTTTTACTCGTCGGTCTCCCAGCCAACTCTTGTTGCTGTTGCTTGTTTGTTTTATTTATTTATTTTTTATTTTATTTTATTTTTTTTTTGAGGCGCATTGAAATTTGTGAGAAATCTTTTCAACATTGCTACTGGGATTATATCGTTTGCATCTGCATTGCATGCCGCCATTTTGATCATTGACCATTTGCTCCATTGTCTTGGCATTTTTACAGCAATTGTTTGACGCATAATTTAACTAATGAAGCGCTTGGGAACACACTTGAAACATACCTTTAGGTAACCCAAACAATCAGCAACTTACTTGCCTCATTGTCACCTGAGAAATTACCTATTCTTCTCTCGATGAGTATGTGCATAAATCACTTGGAAAATACTTGGGGACTCAATTTTAGTTTCTCAACATAATATCAAGCACATTGCAGTTACGATTAAGTTCTAAGCTGTATTCTGGCTTTCTCACTACCCGTCTGAGAAGCTTACATTTAAAGCCTTTTTGTGTGGTTCTTTTGCATGCAGAACTTGAGGTGAATCATAACAGTAGTCAGGTGATACAGTTTTGTGATTTACGATCGGCGCTTGTGATCACAAACTTACCGCTATTTGCTACTTGGCAAACAAAAGCGGTAAAGAAAGCGGCGACAACTTTGTAGATGGTCATCATGATCAAGATGATAATAAGGCACACGCCGTCGTCGGGGATCGTGTGTGTGTGTGTGTTTGTGTGTGTGTGTGTAATATAATGCCTGGACAACAGATTAAGATATCAAAGTCAAAGTTCGCACTGCCGCTGCTGGGATGCACTAGGCTGTGACAAAGGTGCGCCCAGAACAAGCCCCAAGCGACACTCTTACTACTACCAACTGGGAAAGCTTAGAAACATGATCTAGCCATGCGGAGCAACTGAACCAAGGCATTAGAGAACTAGCTCCAGCTGCAGTTCTGCCTGCTGTGGTTTTCTGCCATAGCGTGTCTAATAATGCGACGGCTAATAGCTTCGGACACTGGCTGACTGACCAGGGACCAGAACTCACTGCTGGGCACATTTAATTAGACTTTTTTTCTCGGTTTTTTGCCTAGCGGTTTGCGTGTGGGCCGTTGCTCTATGGTTAACCGCAAACTCGTTGACAGTTTGTTGTTGCCGTCGTTGTCATTTGTTGGTCATAAAGCGATTTTGTTTGCGTGAAAGCTGAGCCACACTTACGGCACATTTTAGTGTCAGCTTAATGGCTTTTGGCCGGGCTACTTGGGAACCTCAGCCTGGGCTCACCACCACTCACTCAATACACTCAACACACACTCACCTTTCGTTAGCAGATTGGATGCATGCGGATTCCGACTCTTCGTGCTCAGCGACGAGCAGTTCCAACGATGCCACTGAAACTACATTCACATAAAAAGATTAGCTAATGATGCAACAAAAATACATATCTGCAAATTAAATGAAAATTTTGAAATTGTACAATGTTTAACGAGAAATGCAAAAGGAAAGTGTACTGCAATTTGTAAGAATTTGATAAGCAACATCAAATTATAATTTGCCACTAAGCGATTTTGATAAGCTTTTATTTCTCATCTCATGAAAAACATTAGAACTGTATTATTACCGCTTGGGAAATGTTACAAAATATTAATAATGTACCATAATCATTTAATTCATTTATTATTAATTAATTCATTTTTTTATGTTTTGAAAATAATTTGAAAATTAAAAAAAAGTTTAATTTTTGATATAAGTAATCCCTTGCATAAGATCTTAGTTATATACCTGTATCTGACATTCACGTATGGCCATATCCAGGCCCTCCAGAGCAGCAGCTGTTACATCACTTGCCTTGTAGCATAGCTCCACCTGATCCTTGGTCAGACCAGGCACAGAGCGGCATGTGGCGCGTCCGTCTGGCAAGCCATACAGCCTGTAATTTTGATAGTTTTGTTACGAATAAATATTTAAATAGAAAGTGATGTCTAGCTAATCTTACTAGTAATTAATTTAATTATTTGTACATATCTAATATCTTGAAATAGTTTAAATTTATCTAAAGAAATAAATATTTTATATTTCATACGAATATTTTATTTTTGTAGACCTCACGAGGCCTTCAATTTGGATTTGAGTTTGAATCTCTGGTCTAATAGAAATTTGATTACAGCAACCACAGCTGACAATTAAATCTGAAGCCCCAACCCAAGCCCAAACCCAATTTCAGAGCCAACACAGTTCGGAGCCCGTTCACACTCAGACCACAGCCGAAATATTCGCCATTAACCTTGAACGTCAAAAACCGCAGACAAAAAAAAAAAAAACAACGAACGAGAAAATATATAAAAATGCTTGGCAACAAATTTAATTTAATTATATTTTATTTGTTTATGTGAAATTTAATTTGACTTTGTGGCAGATTTAATCAGCAAATGCGAAAACAAAGCTCTGCCCAAAATTAGACGGACGGACAGTAGCTAAATTAAATTCCAGCTATGTCATAAATCTTGTGTCAAATCTTTGGTCTATGACTCACGTCAACAGAAGCTTGACAGAGAGTGAGACGAGCAAAGGGGCTGTCCAAGAACTCGCTGAGACTCTCATTGAACTCATTTAGAGCGAGCTGCGGCATTCAAGGTCAGCGGAGAGGTGTTCTGATCTTGAGCCACTGATACAGAAGGCGAGAGCCAGTTGTCGTTGAACAACTTCATCGGGCCGTTGCTACATCCACAACAACACTTACTTCCAGATTCACAAAACGCCATCGCCATCGTCATCGCCATCGCATCGCGTTGATCTACGACACGCAGTGAGCAGTTGCCACAGCCTGGCATACCAGGCGTATACGTGATGCGCTCAACGATGGCGTCTCCAATGTTGTTTCTTGCACACGCCAGTTTGCCGGACATACGAAGGGGGGGCAGAGGATTAATTGTAGCACGTAACGCATGTAAAAAATACTCAAATGTTGAAACGTGCCATTTTCACACACGTCCTCAGCTGCAACTGATCTGAGGATCTACCATCATTTGGTATGCCATTCACGCGGCTCTCCGCAGAGCCTGTGCTTCACTCGCTCCGTCTCGCTGCACGCCGTTCAACAGTTGACGTCGTCTGTGCAGATGCAGACGGAGTACGCGATGTGGCGACACAGTTTAGCCATGTTAATGAGGTGCAAGCTTTGCGTGGGCTTACTCAAATGCTGGCCATACATATATGTAAATATATGCGTATGCGCAAGCATGCTGGACTTCTCAGAGAGTTGAACCTATGTCAACTGGACTAAGTTACTATATTTTGAAGCTCTTTCCTTACATACGCATTGAAATATGTCAAAAGAGCTCCGTTTCGTAAAAAATTTAAATGATATATTATAATTATATATATAAATTGTATTTGATGGGAACTTATATATTTCTAAAAATGGATAAATGCTTATGTAGCAGGGAGATGAAGAGACTTCCCTGACTAAATAAATAAATATAGGAATAATTCATGTTCATGTTCGATTATTTAATGATTTTCTTTCATCTGGTTTCCACCCCACAAGAAGTGTAGAATAGGTTAAATGTAATTGAACGATTGAAAAATAATTGTAAATAAATAAATTAAATAAATAACTGAACTAAAAGCTGACCATGCTTGAGGCATTTCCTTTCGGTCTAGCTGCCCATCAATTTTTGAGGCTTTCGTTTTTGCACATTTCATGACTTGAACGCTAAAATATGTGATAAATTCATTTAATTACAGCGGCATTTCTCATAGAGCTATGGAAATTGAATGCTTCAAAACTGGCTGGCAGTTGGGCACCCTGTATTTGAATAGTCGCCTTTAGATCAAAAGCATTCCTAGCTGTTGCTGTGGCTGCGGCAGCCCGGCTGCCTGGAATGTCTCGTCTCGACCGGGGCAAAGTTATCTGCCCGGCTGAGTCTGCCTTGTCTTGAGTCTGACAGTCTGTGTGTGAATATGAGTGTGTGTGTGTGTGTGTGTGGGAAACAATGTTTATGCCTAAATGGATTAGATAGCTAACTGATTTGATATAGTTGGTGGAGGGGCATAAAACGACAAAAATCCTTGATTTATGCATGGGCTACCGTTTGACAGACGGAACGGCCAAAAACGCAACTCAACTCAAGACTTTTGGCGGCGCCTATTAAAGCCTTGCCACACATTTCAATCTTTTTATGGCATTTCAATAGAACTCTCGAGTTGGCAGTCGAGCGTGAGAAACTAAAATTATGAAAATGAAATAAAATTTGCTGCCTTTTTTAAATTGCCTGATTTTTAGTTTACCTCTTCTTCTTCTTGTTTTTTTTTTTTTGGTTTGCTTGGTTATCGTGGCAACACTTTACACGCCTGATAAGCAACATCCACGTCCTTAAACTCAAATTAAGCAAGCTGGCAACATTTTAAGCCACGGCTAACAGATCGATAAATTTTATAAGCGAATCAATTGCACTGCTATCGCATCGCGTGAAATACGCGCAGAGAATCGACGTCGCCATCCACATCGGATCGACATCAAATCGGAACGGATCGAAGTCTTGGATCGCCACACTGATCTGCACGAGCTGGAGCTGGTGCTGCATGAGTCAGTGTCGGTTCCTTGACTTTGTTGCCTTATCAGTTTTATTGAATTCACTGGCAAAGTCAGCAATGCCAATGGAAAAAGCCAACGGCAACAACAGCAACAACAACCACGATGACGACGACTAAAAGCCATACGCTTTATAAAGCTGTTAACAAAATGTGCATCAGTTTAAATTCTTTATCTGAAAGACGTCTGGCAGATGCCTCTGCAAGATGCTCTGCATTGCATATCTGGCAACCAATTAAAATGCATTTTGCCAAGAATCTGTATTTTATTTTTATTTATTTTTTTACATTTTTAGTTTTGTTTCTTATTGCGGCTCTTTAAATTGCAGTTTTGTCTGCTTCATTTGTAGTTGGTGATAGAGAAGCTTTAACGATTTGCATTCGATAACAGTTCAATAGGAAGATAAAACAAAGAATTGAAGGCAGGTAGAGAAATCACATCAAGCTCTATATATATTTAACCCACCTTTCATATATTTCTTTGAATATAAATGAAAATAGGTTTTATATTCATTAAATTATAATCATAGATGATCATTCTCTAAGCTGATCTCGTACTTTTTTAGAATTTCAACTCTTGCAACATTTTCACTTCTATAATGGTGCACATTTATAAATTTTATATACTTGAGTGAAGCATATCTCAGCCGACAATGAGCTGTACATTTCAGCCAAGAATTGAAATGTTCGCAGGGACAACTTTCTCTCAGATCGCCAAACTGGCGAACCAAAAAGATCATTTGACTACCAATCGTGGCGAGTTTATCGCACTGGCAAGCGATAAGGAAATGCAACAAATTTAACAAGCAATTAAATAAGTTGCCCCGTGCACCTAAAACTGGGAACCTGAGGCGGCCAAAGTAGCAGCGACTCATATACATACATACATACATATATAATCAAGTTGCATTCCGTTGCGCATACGCCATGTGTTGCAGCTAAAACACTTGAGATTCTGTATGTGTAGTTGTGGGCTGATGCACCCAATTAGGATTTGGCTGCTGCACATTATGCATTGCACTTGCTGCACTCCTGTGCTGAGGGCGTACTGGGGGTACATTGGGGGCGTGGTTGTAGCGTGGTGCACCTTATTTGCATTTCAAACGAAATTTTGTGGCAGATGCAGTTGCACTGGCAGGTGTGTGTGCTTGTGTGTGTGCCTCATTATGCGCTGCAATTATGACGTTGCAACTACGAGGAAGACGACGAATTGCAGGCTGCTCTTCAGCTTGCATTGCTGTAGTCTCGAGTTGACTGCAACGTTCATTTGCTGTTGTTGTTGCCGTGGTTGCTGCTATGGCTGTGTTGTCAACAAGCAAAAAAGTATGTTGACAACCCCATTCAACAACAGCAACAACAACAACGAGATTAACAAGCTGCAACTACTAGGCGAGGCAACCAGTCAGCCAGTCAGGCAGTCAGGCAGTCAGTCAGCCGCACCTGGAATCTGGACAGAAACTGCCTCTCGTCCGCCTGATTGCGCACAGCGCACCGGAGTCGGAGACGGAGACGGGGACAGAGACGGAGGCCGATTGACAGCGCTAGGCACATTATAAGGCCTGAGTGCCACAGACCACCCTGCAATTGAAATCCACTCAATTGTGTAGGTTGGTCCACAGTGGATGCGAGGACAAGAAGCAAAGACAACAACAGACTCACAGCAGCCACAAGCAGCAAAAAGGGAGCTGAAGTTGCAGCTCAAGTTGAAGCTGAGCAACTGCCAGTTGGTAGTTGGCTGTTGGATCTGAGTTGATACCATTTCCAGGAGTGGCCATGAACCATTCAAAATGGCGTTGACTCTTTGGCAACTATTCGTTGCTTGGCTTGTCCAAATGCGTAGAAATGGCTGCGTGGAGAGAATTGTAGGGAGATTGCTGAGTTGACTAACAAATTGGCTAGGCAAATTATCTTTTATTCCAGTAAATACTTTTTGGTATAAGAACCGTGAATCTTCTAGCTTTCTAGAAAATTAGCGTGCCATTATGTTTCAATATAAGAAAGGATTTAAAGGAAAGAAAAAACTAGATCCCAAACCGGACTAGAGATGAAACCATGAACAAAAAGACATATCTAAAGAAATTTAATTAATCAATAAACTCTGAAATCGTTATTGTATTGTTAACAGTAATTGGTTCTTCAAGTAAATTAAAGATTGATAATAGATAAATGAATGTATTTTAACAGCTTTGGAAGAATTAATGAGAAGCTTGTATATATTCATTTCAACATAAGCTTAAAAGCTAACTTAAGTCAAATTCCCATAATTGTTTCCAAATCGAATGAACCCAACAACAACTATAAGTAATTAAGCATGTAGCTTAGCGGGTCGCTTTCAATGCTAGATCAATATTAATTATGGCAACACCTTTGGCTGACAGTTTTCCGGAGCGGTCTACGGACCGAACAGACATGTAAGACTCGCATTGAATAATCTGTTAACTCAACGATGTAAAGTGCTGTTGGGTCTGTTTGCTTTGTTGTTGGTGCTGCTGCTGTTATGGTTGTCGTTTAATTAATTAACTTGCCACCGACAACGACAACAGTAACACCAACAGCAACAGCAACAATAACAACAACAGCAACTTCAACTTCAAGCTTGTGTAATGCTTGGGTTAATTTGTTGACAGGCCATTTACACATTTGAGTTTTGCTTTACATACTCGCCAAAGTGTTGATGGATTCGCTGGACACCTACTTACACAGATAGATACTGGATGGTTGGGACGGGGTTGTATCCACAAGATACTCGGACTTACCAGCGTGTGCAGCAAGCCAAGATAATCACAACAATTAAATGCAAATGGGAATGACGCGACGGCAACTGTGCGGCAACCAAGTTGTTTCCTGTGTTGCTGTTGTTGCATGCTGGTGTTGCTGTTGCAATTGCTGTTGTTGTTGTTGTTGTTGTTCTTGTTGTTGCTTGCCACGCAGTCATCGCTCGACTTTGATTTGCATAAATTTTCATACAATTGAAGCCTAAATTTTAGTTGAAGAACATTTTTGTTTCTTTTGTTGTTGCTGTCCACATAAGTTAGTTGGTTAGTTGTCTTTGCTGCTGTTTTTGTTGTTGTTGCTGAGTTTGTTTGCGATGGCCGTGCAACAGCAAACATTTTGTAGTACACATTGAATTAGCTCTGCAACTCTCCTTGCTGGACACTTTATATTTTCCATGCATATTTTATTGAATTTACGGCGCTATTAAAATGATAAGCAATTTCAAATAATATATACTTTTACTTTCCACAAATACTTTTGCACAACTCTTTTTCCTCTACGTTTTCATAGCCATATTTTCAGCTCGAATTTCGAATCGCCGATCGTGACTAAAGAGTCAGCAAACATTGACCGTTCAAAGCTTTGGCTTTGAGCTCAGCTCGCCGGCTACTGGCTAACTGGAACACCTTTTTTCTTGTAATATTTGTTTTTTACCTTCCTTTCCTTCTTATTTTTGGTTTGTTTGTTTTTATTCTTGTCGTTTTTGTTTATTTACAATCGTTTTTTACATCGCTTTGGCGCTTGGGCTGATCTGATTGGTTTGCAGTACGAGTTGGCGCACTTTAATTCTCTTCATTTTTATTTTAAACGAACTTTGCTTCTGGGTGGCTTTCTTTCTCGGATCTGAGAATTGAGTCTGATTCGTTGCAGTTTTTGTTGAGCTTTGTTTTGTTCTCAATCATTTTGCGGGCAGTTATGCTATGCTTATGGACTGTTAATGCGTGAAAAATTAATTGTGTGATGAAGTCTCAACTAATATATTAGAAATAAATATTTGTTTCGACTTTTAGTGAATAAAGTAAATCAATAAAATGATAAAATAATTAAATATTTGACTGAGCTATACTATTCGTTTGATTCGTTTATTTTTATTTACATTCTTAGATTTTCTGTTGTAATTTTAAATAATGTTTAAATTGTTAAGATCTGAGTTTTTTACAATTTACGCAGAGTATTAAAATTAAAAGTTAATAATATATAATCCTTGTACTTTTGGAATATTTTGCATATGTATTTTATATATTTGTATGCTATTTAATATATATTCTTTTTAGTTGAAAACACTTATTTCGTGAATCTTAAGCTCTTACAATTGACACACTTTTAACTGTATTGAACATGTAATAATATAATTGAATTATTTTATTTCAACAGATGTAAATTATTTTAATATTATTTATCAATATGTTCAACCATAATGCGATCTAGAAAGTGAAATGCGTTAATATATTTGACGGAAGCCACGCACAACACACAAGACACAGGACTCGCAACGTCCTGCCACCGAAACGCGCCGTACGACTATGAGACGAGAGCCGAGTCCGACAGGCTCTAAATGCAAATTAAAATCAAAATTTGAAACAGAAACAGCGTGCTGCCTGGTCCTGTGCGTCGCAGTGTGCGTGTTGCTTGATATCCTTGCAGCGCCAGCAAATGACGTTGCCTGCGTCGGGTGGCATGCTTGATAACGATGATGATGATGTTAACGCTGATGTTGATGGAGATGAAGATGATGCCGCTATGCGCGTGCCTTGACTAACGTGGGCTCATCCTTGGGGTGGCTCTGCTCCTGTCGCTGAGAGTGTGTGTGTGCGTGTGTGTGTGTGTGCGTGTGTGTGTGTGCGTGTGCCTGCTGGCTGCTGAATGACTGGCTGGCGAAATTAGCATACATCAAAGGACACATGTAGCCATATTGAGGCAGGGCTGCTAACTGAAATGATTTTCTCAAACGCCTCGCATACTTATCGCATGCGATTTTTTACAGATTACTCTAAAGGATATTGCGTCATTGAGTTATGTTGCACTTGCGGCCTAATTACGACAAATACAAATTCAATGATTGAGGATTTAGTCATTACCCACTTCCGGAAGCTGCCACCCCCATTCACACCTGATGTACCCAATTTTCGTTTGCTAAAGGCTCTGCCTTAAGGAATTAAAAAAAATGATTAAGTGGCATTGTTGTTGCTAGGGCAAGGATACAAGGACACACGGCCGAGTGCCACTTCTGCTGAACATCAAAGAATTTAAGCGACTGCAACAACAAAAGTGAAAGCGAGCCCAGGAGCCACAGTCGCCTTCATATGCTAGTCAAGGACTCCAATTATTGCATTCGTTGTTTTTGTTGTTGTTGTCTTTGAAATATGCTAATTTAGCAAAGGGTAGTGTGTGAAAGGAGTGGGCGGAGGTCGGTTGATGTGTGTTTGACCTTAGAACAACAAAGTACCGAGCGTGAAGCAATTGATTCGCGTCTACTTCCTAGTTTGTCAGCTTAGAAGCGAAAGGACCTCAAATGTGGGTCGCTTTGATAGGAGTGTAAGTGTGTGTGTGAGTATGAGTGTGTATGGGTGTGTGTGAACTTAACCCCTATTTGACTTTTCACTTGCTACTTGTTACACTTCAAAGGGTCCGACTGCGGCCAAGTAACACTTGTTGTCAGCTGTTTGAGCTGCTAATTGTGGCAGCATATCATGCAACATCAACTCTAACATATGCGGTGTTTGTCACAAAGTTGATATGGCAACACAATTAAAAGTACATTTTCTTGCTGATGTAATGCTCTTCCTTATGTTGAGCTTGTACCAATCTTAGAATATTGTGTTAATATTTAAATTTAATATCAAAATCTAAGCAATCTGTAAATGAAGTTAGAAATGCAGAATAGTTTGATATTTGATATAGAAATTATATCATTTTGATACCCTTCAAAAAACAAAGTCCAGAAAATGTTGATTCTTGACAAATATAATTACAATAGATAAATGACGGTTTCTAAAACTCGGCAAGTAATGAACGGAAGATGCCAGACTTTAGCCAGTTAATTCTCATTAGACACATCCGTTAACAACTGAAGACATTATCTTTTCCCATACACACACACACACACAGACCCGATACTCTCTTTGACCAGTGACCACAACAAAACAGCAACCGCAACAACAACAACAACAACATCTTTGAGGATCTCTTTACCGCATGCAATTGCCATGAATCACCATCACCTGGCTGTGGTTAAGTCTGAGGCTTCAGCTTCAGCTTGAGGCTTTCTACTGGCTCGGGCCTCTGGTTCTGGCGGCACATCCATCAATGTGCCGTTGACATTTGCTGCGTTGTTGACAAGAATTGTCACAATAAACAATACAACCACGACAAGCAGCAGCAACAACAACAACAACAGCCACAAGGAATAATGATAGTGGATGAGAAGGACGGACGCGGCCACGTGACATGGCGGGGCTGGAGGAGGTAGTAGTAGCAGCATGATGATTAGTTTGGTAAGTGGCAAGAGGAGTGCGCATAAATTACCAAAAGGATTAACCAACCAGACCCAGACAGCTGAAAATGGATCTGGAACTGCAATCGCAATCGTCAAGGGTTGTCGTTGTTGTTTTCTCTGTCTGTCTGCTATTGTTATCGTTGTTGTTGTTGTTGTTGCTGTTCAACATGAAAAATGTGCAGTGAACTGTAAGGGACTCTCAGCTCTCATCATCTATCGAGGGTAGGGGACGCCATTGAAATTAAAATCAGATCAATTTCACAGATATTAACATATTATTGCACAGGGCAAGTGTTGATATCTCATTTTGTTGTTGAAGCTCCTAACGATTGGGGTTGCTTTTGTTTCAGCTGTGCCTTTATACCCGTTACTCATAGAGTATTTAGGGTACATAAGCTATCATGAAGAACTGCAAAGAAATATATATTTTGCATTAATCTGCCTGTCATTTTAATTTGAATACGCGTCATGAGAGATTGATTTTAATAAATCTAGAAAATGCTTTTGCTGAGGTTTAGGTATTTGAATAGTCGACTATATGATAACGTTTACTTTTGGTTATACCGTCAATTAGTGTCAGGGTTGAGGATTGTCTGGCCTTGTTGTGCCCATGAGTTGATGGATATAACAGCAGATTTGTCTTAATAATTTTCATGATATGTCAATTCCCACGCCCACAGAGATTGGGTTTGTTTGTTTTTGTTTGGGAAATTTTCATTAATTTACACAATTTTCAATGCTTCACATTGAAACTTACAGGTGCGCCTTAAAGTCCAAAACAATTTGAGCTCATTAAAAGGAAAAATAAACATGAATAAGAAAAAAACGAAATTTTAACATCGTTGCCCAGGGTTACACACACTGGAAAGGAGAGACAAACAAACTAAGACAGAGGCAGAAAGAGACCCCATGATTTAGTTAATTTTCTTCTTTTTTTTGCTCTTTTGCTGAATTTAATTAACTCAACGACGACGTTCATAAATCCCGACAAACATTTCAAAACGACGCAAATTTTGCGCTGAAATATGTTGCGCAAGTAAGAAATAAAAATAAAAATTAAGCGAAAATTAATCAAAGTAATTTCGAAGGAAAGGCTTCTCCTGGTGCTGATGCTGATGCTGCTGCTGCTGCTGCTGATGCCTGCCTGGCAATGCAGCAACCGACATACGACATAACAAACATAACTCGACGCATTCCACTGTTGGCAAAGTGGCACAAGGTAAGGCTAAAGTTAAAGCCAAACTTAAAGCTAAAGGGCTACCAGGGTTCGAGGCCCGTGTGTATGGGAAAAATTCCGTTGGCCTCCAATCAGTGCACGCAGTTTGCATTGCTCTGACATGAAAAAGAAATCAGTGCAACGTTCGGAATGGGTTAGGATGCTATATGTGGTATGATTTCGGGATGGGGTGAGATGGGATGGGATGGGCTGGGCTGGGCACACTCTGCCTCTCTGTCTCTTTCACTCTGTCTCTGTCCCCGCTTATCGTCGCTGACCAGTCAACAGTTGACCGAATGTGTGGGAAAATTTTTCATTTTTAATTGCACTTGGTTAGCTCGACCCGCAATGTCCGATGCCTGGCCGAAAATTTAAAGCGTCTGCGCCTGTGCATTAAAGGGGCTGGTACAGCTTCTGCTGCTGTTGCTGTTGCTGTCGCTGTCGCTGG